GTTTACTGGATTGGGGAGCTGCCCAAACGCTATTTATCTAATTTAAGGTACCCTAAGGTACAATATTTTTAGCCAGTGCTGTGTATGACTCCGGGAGCAGCTCCCGGAGTCTGAACTATAATTTTAGAAGCCCGGAGCCAGAGCTAAGGTTTGAAAAAGGTCCGAGCCGGAGCCAACAAATGCCCTTAATGGAGTAAATGTCCAAAACTTAGCACTGTTTTCAGTTTAATGGAATATCTTCTGGATGACTTACTTACACTAATAAATTAAATTTAAAAATATTTTTTATAGTTTGGTTGGAGACTTCGTAATTGTTCAGAATTACTACTCACAATTTGTCAAACATTTCCTTGTTTTTTGGGTAAAATAAAAATATTTTTCTTAATTTCTTCCCAAAAATAGATTCAAATAAACATCCCCAACATCGTTGTTCGGATAATAGTGGATGTATTTCTGTTTAGTTTTTAAAAAAAATAAAAAAATTATTTTTTAATTTTTAAGCATTTAAATTTTTGTAATGGAATTGAAGACTGTAAAAATGGAGAAGATGAAATTAATAATAATTGTTTGTGTAGTAATGATAAAATTATTAAAAAGGAATTGAGGTAAATAAATTTAAAAAACAAAGTTTAGAACAACAAGTTTTAGAACAAAGTTTGCCTGTAAAAATTAGTACTCGGCACCCCAAAAATACCGAGCCGGTATTTTCCGGTACTCCCGATGCCAAAACAGTCCCGAACAGATTTTAAAAAATTTCGGTACTTCCGGTACCTATAAGAAAAATATCCATTTTCTGAGCATTGGATATTTTATCCATTTGCTGATCTCTATTTGAACAGCTGTCTCTATATAACGGATATCCAGATAATAACGAATATTACCTTTTCAATTCGTTCTCATAAAGGTCGTTCAATTAGAAAAATAAGGTAATGAAAAGCTGCTAAAAGGTTTATAATCCCCTCCTCCACCCTTTAAAGCCTTAACTCATTATTAGAAAAGTTACCACTTTTAACTTTATTTTTAATTTTAATTCTTTGTTAGCCAAAAATCCTTGCAAATTAAGTTGTCATTTCAGAACTGATTTTTAGTTCTCTTCTCCAAAGTTTTTTTCTTTTGAATTTTAAAAAATTATTAAATTTGTAAAAAATAAAAGAAAACATTTTTATTTAAATTTATTTAATTTCTTTTTTAGTTCTCCATATGGAAATATTTATTTTCCTTTAATTAAATCATCAAAACAAAATTTAATAAATATTAAATGTCCTCAACAATTAATTCGTTATGAATGGTTAATTAAAAATAAATTTGGGGCTAAAATTAAATTAAATGTTTGTTCCTTTAAATTAAAATTTAATTTTTAAAATTTTAAAGTTTTTGTCTCTCCATTTAAATTATTTTGATAAATTAAAATTAAAATTTGGAAATAATAAAGAAATAAATATTAACAACAATTTAAATACTTCAAATTATTTAATTGATGAAAATAAATTAATTATTATTTTTGAAAAATATATTGCTGATGATTTAAATGGAAATAATGACAGCTATTTTTATTTGCAATATTTTGTTGATGGTAAGTTTAAAATCAATGTATGAGAAAATTAAAATTTAAATACAGACCGATCAGGGTGTGTGCCGAAACACATTTCAAAAAGCGAAACGCGAAAGGCCGTCCAAAAAACGCGAAACTGACACACTCCTGAGACTGGCACGACTCCCCACCTGAGACAGCCCTTTCTATTAGAGATCCCTTAAATTAGGATAGGCGTTTTTCAAATTTGAATAGTTACAGGCCACAGGGTGTGATGGTGATACTTCTCTCTATTTAGGATACACTCATTAACATAAGAAAAATTTTCCACCAACGGTAACAGAAAATTTAATAAATTATTGTAAATAAAAGTTAAAAATAATTTATTTTATAGAAGCATCCGTATGTGAAAGAACATTTGAATCCTGGGTATTTATAATTAAATATATTTATTTAAAAATTAAATTAATTTAAAAAATAAAATAATATGGTTAATATATATTTTTCTGTAATTATTTAAATTATTTCCAAAAATTTAAAAACATTAATAAAAAAAATTAATAAAAAAATTCATTAAAAATTATTTTTAAAAGAACGGAACATTTTCTCCACCATTAGCCATTCCAGATAATAACGGATATTACAAAACACCAATTAAATGTCATTGGATCATAAATAATAAAAAGAATGGAATTGTGTTTATTAAAGTATATTTAATTATTTTAATTAATTTAAAATTTAAATTTTAAATTAAAGTTGCTGTTAAATCAATTAATTTTGAATGATTGGCTTTTAATTAAATTAATTGGGAATAATCAACAAATAATTTATAAAAATTTAACTTCAAATTATACCAATTATTCTTTTGGGTTTCTATCAACATTTTCAGAAATTCATTTTATTTTTAATTCAAATAATAATTTAATTGGAGGAAAAGGATTTAAAATTAATTTTGAAAGAAGTAAATATAATTATTAAATTGGGGTTTCCAAAAAAATAAATTTCAATATTGGTTTAAGCTATTTAAAACCCTGTTTTTATTGAAATATTTCTTTGGATATATTTTTTTATATATATTTTTATACTGAATTTAATACGAAGCTAAGATTCAGGCTTTCACTACGTAAAAAGCCAACAAAAATTCCGAACTTCCTGAAAAAGGGAATCCCTAACAATTTTTGGATCTGGAATCCCGATTCCCTAAGTCGGGACTTTATATTTTATTTTGGCAAGCTCCCTGTATGCATCAGAAGTGGGCCGAATCCCACAAAATATGAGACAAGAGATTTACGAGATACGAGATTCTCAAAAAACTACGAGAACAAGATAAAACGAGAGACGAGATATAAGCCCACCCCTGATATGCATATTTTTAATATTTTGGGAGTATTTAATTAATTAATATTCATTTAAAAGGTTGTTTAAATCAACAAATTAATTTTGGAAATTATGGATATTTAGAAATACCAGAAGAAAATAATTTAATAAAAAATCCTATTAATTGTTCTTGGCAAATTAATATTCCTTGCAAAAAAGAAAATTTATGTCCTTTTAATATTTTTGTGGATTCTTTGGCTGCTACAGATGATGATGAAATTTTGGTTTTTAAACTCAAAAAATTTTTTTGAAAAGTTTTTTTAGTTCAAAACAAATGATGGCAATATTACTTCAATAAATAAATCAACAAAGTAAATAAAATCAAGCCTCATTATAAGATACACTCAATATTAGCGACACCTCTATTTAACAGACGTTTTTTGAAAATTTGGGCGAGATATTGGGCAGGGAAGGCTTAATCGACACCTTCTATTTAATATAACATACCCTCTATTTAATAGACCCCTCATTATAAGAGACAGATTTTTCAACTCTTAGGGGGTATCTTATAGTGAGATCCGACTATAAACTTTCAAGTAAAATATTTTTTTTTAATTTATTTTAATTATTAGCTTAAAATTGCCTTTTCTATTCCGTTCCAATTATTCATCTACACAAATACAAATTCACTCAACTTCACCAAAATTTAATTTAAAAATTAATTATTCAATTGGTTTGATAGAAATTAAATAAAAAACAATTTTTAAAATAATTTCCAGATTGTTTATTACCAAAAAACCAAAAAATTCCAAAAAATCAACAAAAATTATTTCCGTACAGATTTTTATTTGAATATATTTGTAATAAAAATAGAGGAACTTTAATTTGTTCTGAAAATGGGAAATGGAAATATTTTGATGGAAATGAGGAAAATAAAATATTTAATGGATGTTTTTCTGAGGAGGAGGAAGGAGAATGTAAAATTTAAAAATAATTTTTTTATAAAGAGATCTCAGATGTATAAACATCACCAGGTCGGGTTATTCGAACGCCGGCCCAAGACCTAGACTTTTCTTGCTGAAATCCGATTCGTAGAAAATTTTAAAACCCAACCCGACTTACTTCTAAACCTGTCCCATCCCTAATAGTTTACACCCAAATTTACATACACCCTCTATTGTACATACGTATATTTGCGATTATTTAGTTGGCCATTAGAGGGATGCCTAAGCAATCCTTTCAGAATTACACAGATTTATGTAATCCTTAGTTTTACGTACGAAATTTTTATCCTCAAGGATTACCGGAATTTAAACTGTATTTACTATTTTACTAATTCCAAATGAAAAAATTCTTAAATAATTAATTTTAGTTAATAAACACAATAATATATCTTGTATTGTGCCGATAGTACACAACGGATTTATTGTTGAATTAAATCGGTCTAAAGGATTTTTACGTTTTGGCTGTCAATTAGGGTAAATAAAAAATTAAATTAAAAATTCAAAATATTATTTAAAGATATAGACCATTGGAAAATAAAAATAATAATTTAATTACTTCGTATTGTTTGCTTAATGGTAATTGGGAACCTTTGCCGAAATGTAAAGGTAAGTAATTTTTAATTTAAAAATTAAATTATGAAGGATTCAAAAAATATAAAAATTATATAATTTTTCTGCCCTTAAATTTTTTAATATACTAAAATAGTTAAACTGCGCGTGCTAATTCAAACTCTAATTCGGGGGCAGGGGTGAGTGCAAGAGGCAATCGTGAAAAATGCACGCAAGTCCAAAAAACAACATAAAACGCAAGGCCAAATTTTAACGCAAATAATACAGGACGCAATGCGCTCATCCCTGATTGGGGTTATGTGTCGGGAATTGTGGTTTTCCAGGAATTGACCTATCGTTATTCATCATGGGAGTCTATACATATTTCGAGATCCGGGTTTACATTTTATTTTTTATTTAAAATAGAGGAGATATGTTAGTATAAGATAAAATGATTTATTAAATCTTAAAAAAATATTTTTTAAATAAATTTTTTTCTTTTATTTTTATACAAACAAAATTATAATTTAGTACTTTTTAATACAAAATCTTTTAATTCCTTTAAAATTTTCTTTTATTTTTCTTTAAATTTCACTTCATTATTTTTTAATTAATGTTAAAAATTCTTCTCTAGTTTTTGGATCATCTCTTAAAAATTATTTTTTAAATTTAATTATTTATTTATTACCTAAAAACTCCCAACATACAAGAAGTTGTTGTTGTTGCATTTATTTTTTGGACTCCCCTCATAACCATACACATATGGCTTTAAATTAATTAATTAAATTTATTACAAAAAATTCTATACCTAGCTTCAATAACAACACCAACCCCCGACGGATGTACAGCTTGCAAAACAGCTGCGGCTATTTGTTTTGTTAATCTTTCTTGTACTTTTGAATTAAATAAATTTATTTAAAGAAATATATTTTTAGAGAAAATACAGTCATACTTCAGTATAAGATACCAGGATTGGGCAGGGTTATCCGAAAATCAAAACAAGAAATTTTTAGACCCCAAACCCGATCCGAAAAATTTTTTTGAAAATCCAACCCGACTTTTTTCTCAACCCAGCCCATCCCTGTAAGACCTTTTTAACTGAAAAAAGTGTCCCTTATAAGGAAGTGTTCCTTAAATGGGGGGGGGGGGGGTATTGCTTAGACATGTCACCCACTTAGTAGCCTTCCAAAAAAGGTATCCTAAATAGAAATTTAGGTATCTAATCACATAGCAAAGTCTGTCTGTATTTATTTAATTCAAAAATACCTTGTAATCTTCTACTAAACATTTCAACTAATCGAGCTAATTTACTTAATCCAAGTACTTTTTTATTTGGTAAATAGCCAATATGTACTTTCCCAAGAAAAGGAACTAAATGGTGTTCACATAAAGAAAACATTTCTATATCGCGAACAATTACCTTAAAAATTATTTTTATTTTAAATCGCCTCATTTTTAGATATCCCTTTAAGAGTGAAAGAATTGTAACCTATAATGAGGGTAATAGTTAAGTTTGCAGACCCCTTTTGTTTCCTCACCAAGTTTTTTTCTTCAATTTTACCGATTTTCCCCAAATAGCAGAAAAGAGAATTTGGGAAGAAAGGAAGGAAAGTCTTATCATTATGTACATTCTAATAAAAAATTTGGGGAGGAAAAAAAAGGGAGGGGGGGGGGTCTGTAAACTTCAATATTACCAGGGATTCTCTCATAGCTTAAATTGAAGGTATAACTTATAATGAGGTTGAACAGAATTCTCGGACCGAAACATGGTCACATTCAGAGTCCTGATTGGCTAGACCCCACCTAGTAGAAACCAATTTTAAAATACCTATACTAAACTGAATGTATTTATTATAACTTATAGTGAGGTTTAGACAGAATAATAATTATTTAATTCACCATTTCATCGGTATCTTCATCAAAAACAGCTTCATTTAAAACATCTAATAAAAATTAAAATATTTTTTTCCGAAAATATTTTTATTTCTTTTACCATCAAAATTTTCTTCATATCCTTTAGTAAAGTAAAGCATTGCTTTAGCAGCACGAAACGGTGTTTTTTGTAAACCTTGTCTGTTAATATCTTCACCTACATGACTTATTATTTGTTCATAGGCTTTTACCTAAAAATTAATTTTATTTTTATTATTTTCCGGGCCGAGACGGGATCCCGTTCAAACGGGATATGAGTAGTATGAACCGATAATTTCGGTTCAGTTTCGGTTTAACCAAAGAATTTAGTGAAACTGCCTAGGTATGAGGTTGGAATTTTTTAAGGATATCGATTTTGCATCTCGATCATTCCTCAATCCTCAGGTCAGGTCTCTAATCCTAATTATTTTTTGTATTCTTGTCTTAAAAGTTCCAAATTTGTCCTAAATTTTCATCCTCCTTTTCTATCGTTTTAAGTCAATCTATTCAAAAGTATCACGCTTATTTTAATATTACACTACTTTAATTTTTACCCCAAACTCTTTAAAAAACATTTTTAATTAAATTAAACAATTTATTCCCCTACCATTTCATTTAATTGTGGTCTCTGCGCAATAGCTGCCGGAGGTATTGGTGAAGGAACCTTTAAATAAATAATTAAAATATCCATTCCCTTCCCTTTTATTTTTACTTTCAATCCAATATTTTGTTTTCCAATCCTCTCTGCAATTTTTTCTTCCTTTGGAATAGGAGAACCATTTGAGTGATTATCATTATCAGAAATACTTAAATTATCAATAAATCCACTGCTATTACTCATTTTCATGGGATTTTTTTTTGTTGAAAGATTTTTTTAAATAAGGTGTAGGAAAGAAAGCTTTTTTAATTAAATACCTAAAAATATTTTTTAAATGAAAAATTAATTAAAAAATTGTTTGACCATCTTAAGAAAACCTCTCCTATTTATTAAGTCCCTATCATACTAAGAAATACCTATCACCTTTCTACCTATCACCTTCAGACTATCCTCATGACCAACACAATATTAAAGTAACTACTAATCATTAAAAAAACTAGCTGCGAACAAACCGTTAAAATAAACATGAGTGGGGGGGGGGGGTAATAAGCATCGAGGATCATCAGAAAAAAATAAAATCAAGCACAAGGTACGAGCATGCTTAAGATTTCCCAATGAAATAAAAGTTTTACAATTATTTGGGGTTTAGTGCAACAAATATTCATATAACAAACTAATTTTACTTACCTACATATTTTTTGAATAAATTATTTCCTTCCTTTATCTACTCGAATTTCATGTACATATAAAGAAACTTATAAAAAATTCAAAGAAATTCATAAGGAAATTTTCTATTGGGAAAGATATTTTTTGAATAAAGGAAAAAGAATTTTTTGGAAAAAATGGGGACATATGTACAAGAATATAATTATTTAAAAGTAATGAATAAAAATTAAAATTAATTAAATAAATATATGTAGAATGATAAGAGAAAATATAAATTTTTTATTGTTTCATAATTTTGAGATAAGAATTTTAATTATGTCATCAAAAATTTAAAACAAAAAAACTTAAGCTAAATTTAATTTAAATAAAATAGGGCCTCCTTATTTTTGGGTAACCCCCAATAATATAAATATACTTCTATTTAAGATTTGGTTATGTAAGGAGTAGAGATTGAGTTGGGTCTGGACCAAGGCCTGGGCTTTTACTGTACCCAGAGTCCAGGCCCAGGCATTTTTGACCTTCCTGGGTTTTTCCTGGACTACAGGCCCAGGATCGGCCCAGGCTTTTCAAAAATCTCGATCTCTTTTAAGTAGTGAGGGGGAGGGAGGGGGAGGAAGCTGCTTAACTAATATTCGCTAAAAATGGATATATCCAATTTTATATAAGTATAATATACCAGGGTGAAAATTGAGGTATTTCTAAATTAGAAAAAACAATCTTTGCTTTATCCAATTATTTTTGCATAAGAAAAGCCTTCAAAAAATAAGGGAAATGAAAAGGAACAGAACAAACACACAACCATTTATTTGAAATATTATTTCCGTTCATTTTTAAACGGTTATTATGTATTTAGACTATTTTTAAGTGTGTGAGAAAATAATGGCATCATTTTTAAATATTTAAGTACCTACATATTTCTTATTCTAAACCCTCTATTATAGTCTTAGAAATTATATAATTAGTGAACTAATGTTTAAAAGAATTTTTTAATGGAGTTGTTAGTAGAGGGGAATATTTAAATAGGTATATGTATTAAGCAACCAAAAATGAATGAGGGAACTCGATGAGGGAACCAGTGAGATCAAAAAGAGGTAGTACGAAGTAAGTAAGTACAAGCAAATCTGAAATTTATAAACACTGGAGGGAACTTGATAATGAAGGGGGTTCTCTCTAAAATTGCGGTTTGCTTCATGCTGAACGTTTATGCCATAGTATCATGATCCATGATAAGACTCGATACATATGGTTCTTTAGGTTCAAATTTAAATCCGTATTGATCTACTTAAAATTTAATTGTTGGGGGTAAATGAATACTTCCAATAACTAATAGAAGGGGCATTCTAAAGAGAGAGAGAGAGGGAGAGTAAAAATAAATCATGAAAAAATTAAAAATAATTTTCAAATAAATACATACATATTATACCAAAAATAAATTTTTATTTTCAAACTAAAAATAATTAAATGACGGTATTCTCCCCAAAAATATTTTTCTTTTATTTAAAATTATTTTTTCATATGCAATGAAGCATTGCTATACTCCTTTTATTTTTTCTTTTGTTATTTTTTTGCGGGGTAGAATTGTTCTTTTTGAAGATTGGCATTAAAGATAAATAAATAAATATTTTATGCGCAAATAGATTTTTCAAAAATAATTAATTAATTAGATTAAAAAAATAAATAGCTACATAAATTAGCGAACACAAGTCTAAAAAATTATTAGATTTTAATTTTTGTGAACCAGTTTTATTTTTAAATATAATACACAATATTACAAAAAGTTTAATTTATGGTACACAATGGGGGGTATTTTAGTGAGGCATGTATTAGAGATAAGAAAAGCCTGGACCTTTTTTGAAAAGCCTGGACCTTTTCCTGGACTCTGGGTTTGATTTATTGACCTGGGCCGTATCCTAAAAGCATATGAAATTAAGAGTTTATATTTACATACATATAATATTAAGGGTATATTTATAAGAACGAAATCCGATGCATAAAAATTAATTTATAATAATTTACTGTTAATTGCTAATTAAATAAATAAAAAAAATTTTATTAATGAATAATCAGAAGATTCTCTAAATTAATTCGCGTGTTTTTGATAAGAAAAATATAAAAAACTAAAAAATGTGACGAAAAATGACTGTCTGATTATTTAATTATTTTTTCTTAGGTCTTAAGGTTTTATTGCGAAATGATTAGAAAAAATAAAAAAAATATTTCTTAATTTTCCAGAAACAATCTGTTCAGAACCTCCATTAAATGCTTCATTCTCCAAACAAAAATATTCTCCAAAATTTTTTATACCTCCCCAACTTGATCGAAAAACTAACAAAAATTTATTTGGAAGTGTTGCTTTTTATGTTTGTCCAAAGGGGACAATTCCTCGAGGAAACAGGAATTTTGCTATTTGTGCGGAAAATGGGGAATGGACTGAAGATGTTGATTTGGCTTGTCTTTGTGGGGTTTTTTTAAATTAATTAAAATTATTAGTTTTTATTAAACAAAATACACAAAAATCTCTTTATAAGGCCGTCCGATCTTTGATAAATTACTTCCTATCAATGCCAATAAAATTCTACGCAAAATTCGATCCCATGCATATTAAAATATTAGGGAGATAATTTTATGGAGAGAAGAAAAAACAAATTTTAAAATATAAATGAGAACGTTTAGGTTTACTAGAATTTTTCAAATTTAAAAGATAATAAGTGGAAAAATAAATTGAAAAATGCCATTAAAATATATTAATTAAGGGCAAAGGCTGATAATAATAATTAAAAACTAAAGAAATATTTTTTATGCTATATCTATTATAATATTGAAATTAAAATGTATGGTCGAAAAATTATGTTAAAAATTAAAATAAACTACATAATCTAATTTATCAAATTAATTTTTTAAGTAAATGGTTGTCCACCTTTTCATTTAAATTTTGGAAATTTCACACAAGTTTGGACTCCATTATTTTCTTTTGCACAAATTAAATGTCAAGAAGGATTTAATTTAACAAAAAGAATTCCTCAATGTATTTTAAATAAAAATACTAAATTACCTGTTTGGGATTATGTTGATTTTAATATTTGTGGACAAATAATCAAAGGTAAATTTATCTAGGAATTATGACCTACCAACTCGGGGAAGAAATTTTTTTCTATAATTTTTGGTTAAAGCCTTTATTGCTAGATTAGCAATATTATTGGGTGATAGATGGAGGCATTTGATTGTGAGAATGGGGTTGAAATTTCTGAAGGTGATGAATTCTATAATTCCGGTAATTAAAAAAGGGGGGACAACTACTGGAATGGGACAACTACTGGAAGTGAATTGGGAATATTTTCGCTTTCTTAAGGGTTTCTCAGCGATCAGCGTCAGAATCGTAGGAATTTACTTTTTTTATTTCATTTCTGCTCATTATCTCGATTTTAAATTAACTTTTCAAATAAATAATTATTTTAAAGATGAATTTTCTAAAGGATTAGCACTTTGTTCTAGTGGAAAATGCCAGTCAAATAATTCTTTAAATATTTCTTATAAATGTGAATGTCCTGATACACATTTACTCTATACTAAAGAATCGGCAAAAAATATAGTAAAAATTATTTATTTAAAGTACAACGGAGCTCACTATAAGACACACCCTTAGGGGCAGAAAAATCATACCTTTTAATGGGGAGTATCTTAAATAGAGGGTATCGTTCTTGGCAGTCCTCCCCCATATAACGGCAAACCAAAATTAAAAAATGTCTCTTAAACAGAGGTGTATTTCTGTGTTGTTTTCACCAAATTCTTCGATTAACCGAACCGAAATTTTTGGTTTTTCAGTCTGGGCGGTTTGAAATTGACAACCTCTCTAATATTGGGGGTATCTTATAATGAGGTCTGACTCTGACTGTATTCAAAAATATTTTTTAGTTAATTCCTTCAACAAAATCACTACGTTTTGAACATTCTTGCATTCGTAAGATTATTTTTATTTTTATAAATTTTTAAATTAATTAAAATTAAAGGAAAACGTTGTCCAATAATCTCAACAACAAAATATCAATTAAATAATTATTTTTTAAAAATCTCTAATCCTTTATTTTTGATTGGAACAAATATAACAATTTATTGTAAAAATGAAAATTCTTCTTTTTTAATTGAAAAACAAAATAATTTAATTAAATGTTTAAATAATGGAGAATGGAGTGAACAAAATATTTTTGAGAAAATTAAAAATTTATGTTCCTCTAAAGGTATTTTTAAATTTAATTTAAATTAAAAAGGTAACTAAATTTTTTTTGAAATATTTTGATAATAAGAAGCTTTTAAGCCAAATAACTAGCCCCCGAAATATTCATAACAAAGCCTAAAATTTGGGACATTGAAATAAGGTATTTCCTCGAATAATTAAAATTGCCTTAATCTCTAAGGTTGCTTTAACCTCTTATTGGAGATGGTAATTAATCGAGGAGAGAAATTATGGAGTGGGGTAAGTACTTGGAATGGGAGGAAGGAGGGGAGGTCAAAATTAGTTTTTGGGGAAGGGAGGAGGATGGGCTACTTAATCGAGGTACTTGATTTCATTTTCCAAATTGATGAAGACTTGATAGATTTCCATATTCCAAGGGTGTATATCAGGGCTGTATTTTCTTCCGCTTCCGGGTTCTGCCTTCCGAAAAATTCCGCCTTTTTTGGCCCTTCTACCTTCCGCCTTCCTTCTGTCGCTTTTTTTATTTCGTTCCACTTTTTTCCGTTTATGCCTTCCGCCTTTTAAAAATTCAAAATTATGCAGCCCAGACATATTAACGAAATTCTGCATTAATTATCTAAGTTGATTATTCAATTAAAAAAATAATTTTTTTCCATAGAAAACAAAAATATTAACAATTCTTATTGTTTATTTAATACATCTTCTTCAATATTATTACCAAATAAAAATAAAGTTTTAGTTGGGGATAAAATTACTTTTGTTTGTTCACAACCAAATTATTTAATTAATAAAAATTTAACAAAAATTTGTGTTAAAGGTTTTCTTCTTTTAAAAATAATATTTAAAAAAATTTAATTTAAAGGAGGTTATATAAATTTAAATACAAAAATTAAAAGAAATAAAAATGAAAATATTATTAAATGTCCTTTTGGGCTTCATTTAAATAATAAAGGAGAATGTACAAAAAATGGTGAGAATGTTTAATTTATAAAAAATTATTTTGGGTGGAAGACTAAAAGTAAGAATTTTCTGGGAATTATTGTTTTACTAGAGATCAGAAAAATGCAAAAATCAAATGTTAAGTCGTTCGAGTTCCCGTACATTTTTGCTTAGTTGACCTTTACATGTTAGGGGTTAACTAAGTTAATTTCTCACACGAAATGCGAGTAGCATTAACACAAGTCTAGGTTTTATTTCGTTATGAGCAGTGTTTGGAAACTGTACGAAGTACGAATACGAGGAAATTTTAAAATTCCAAACACTGGTTATGAGAACCCTCAATCCTCTAGCCTTATCTTAAAACTTTAAGTCAATCAGTGGGTTAGACAACTCACAACATACATACCTTTTAAAATTTGCCAACTTTATTAATTTACCTTCCACTCCCAAATAAATTTCTTAATTGGACAAACAAAAAAAGAATTTATTTAAATTTATAGAAAGTATTTGGTGCCATTCATGTTCATCAAAATCAGATATTAATTGTTTAACAAATCCAACATTAACAAAAATAAATAAATGTTTATTAAATCAATTATGTTCTGTACAAACATTTTCTAACGGAACTGGACAGCCTCCTTTTGAAGTTTTTAGAGGATGTTCTGATAAACAAATTGATTGTGGAATATTTGAAGTAAATTAAGTTTTGGACTTTAGTTAGAGATATTTCCTTGAGGGCTGGAAAGAAATATTTCTTATAAGGGGGTTTAGGTATTTTATATAGAAGCTTATTTAGAAGAATTTAAATGCACAGATGAACCCCTTGGGAGTAAGGTAGGCGGATACTTGATAATCTTTGGATATCCGGATTTGATATCCTTACCGAAAATTTCCGGATATCCGAATCCTCCAACCTTACCTCCAACCTTACCTGGGAGTCCGATAGTATACTCATTAGGGCCAGAAAAATGATATATTATAGTGTTATAATTAAGTTAGGATTTACAGTTGGACCTACATACTATAAGATACAGTCAATAATAGATAAACTTCAATAAAGCATTCATATTTTAAAATTTCGTTGGCCACTGGATGGCGAAGTTGCCTAAATCATATCCCTCTATTTAAAGTACCTCTCGAAATACACTTTCCGGCCTCAAAGTTGTATCCTACTTAAAGTTAGCTAATTCATATATTTTTAAAGGAAAATATAAGTGTTAGACAAAGTTGTCAAACAAATCACTTGGGCATTGAAAAATGTATTGGTTGTTGTTCTGTTGATTTTTGTAATTATTTATTACCAAATGAATTATTTATTCGAAATAATTTAAATAAAAATAATGAGAATGGAGGCAAATTAGATAATGAAGAATTACCTGAATGTATTGATAAACAATTAATTGAAATTAAATGTGAACCTTTTTTGAATGTTAGAAAAATGGGAAATGGATTGACCGAACCTAGTTTGATTATTTGGTGTGTTATTTAAAAAAAATAAATTTTGGAAAAACAATATTTAAAAAATATTTTTACTCAATCGGGTTTCATAATTTTCAATTAAGTTTAAAAATTTGCGGTTAATGTTCGGTTCTATTTTCCAAATTAATACTTAAAAAAATCATCCAGGCTGAAAATAAAAATAAAAAAATCATAGAGATCGGTCGGGCTATGGAACAGTCTGGATTTTTCCTAGATCCAGAATCTGCCCAGGGTACTAACCAAAATCTAGATTCAGAATCCAGATCCAGGATTTTTGAAAATGCCTATCTCTAAAAAATCACTTTGAAATGAAACAAAGTATAAGGGAAAAAATGAATACTAAAAATTATGGCAGCCAATTCGGAATTGAACCGAGCAGTATAACTGAGAATTTTTCGATCTTCGGTTCTTCAATTAATTCTCACTTTTTTAATTATCAAAGATAAATTAAATTATATTTTAAATTTTTTAAAAAAATAAAAATTATTTTTATTTTTTAGGCCTAAAATAACAGATAATGATCCTTATTTTAATATTCGTTCATTAAATATTCCTCTAGTTCATCCAAATATACCAATTTCATTACCTGCTAATTTAACAGAAATTCAATGGGAAGTTGTTGATAGACACGGAATTAATGTTAAATGCTTTACAAAATTAAAATTTTTTGAAGAAGAAAAAAAGAATGTAGAGAGGTAGATTTTTATTCTTTTAATTTAAGAACGTACTAATTACATTTCGGTTTTTTCAATTTTTTTATTTCTATTTTTTAAAATCAAGTGTGAGATTTCTTTATTAAATAAAAATCTTGACCCCTTCCAAATGTTTTTTGATGGAATGAGGCGATGAGAACCAGACTTGGTAATGGATACGGATATGAATGCAGAGAGTATCAAAATGCCGGCGGATATTCTCCTGTTCCGTCGTGAATATTCGTATACGGATAACAAAATCCATGCCCATTACCAAGTCTGATGAGAACAATAAGTTTTTTATGTGTGATGTTATTTTTCCTTTAATATTGAAGATTTTTTTGGAAATTTTTATTGAAATTTTTTAAAATAAACCCCGATACCCAAGCAGTACGGGCATCCAATCATTATTTAATTTCACCCCAAACCCGGAAAAATCGAAACTTCCTAATTTTAACATACCCATCTCTGAATACCTTAATTAAAAATATTTATTTATTTTTAGTCCTCCAATAACAATTTCTATTGAATTATTACCTATTTGGTCTACTACTTTTAATAATAATATTAATTGTATTAAAAATTTAATCAAATCAATTAGGTAATTTTAATTAAATTTTATTCAATTAAAATTAATTTTCAAGGCCATCTTTATTAAATTTAATTAGCCATAAATGTCCAAATATTAATTGGGGGTCTCAATCACAATTTTATAATTTAACCAAAATTATACAAAATTTTACAACTAGAATAGAAAAGTGAATAGTTTTAAATAATAAATTATAATTAAAATTTAATTTTAGTACTCCTAATAATTTAAATAAATGTATTCAATTACTTGAAGAATTTTTTGTTAATTCATCAATGCCTTTAGTGCCAATAAATTTGTTTAATGGAGAATGCCCTAATGGTAGTTTAATAAAACTCTTTTTTAGGTACCTCCAAAATTAGGTAGACCTCTATTTAAGAGATATTTTCTTAAAATCTGGTTGGCCACAAGGTGAAGGGGAAGGAGTCGAAACAACACCTTTATTTAAGGTACACCTCATTATAAGGTACCTTTTCTACAAGGTACTCCAAATACTGGATACACCTCTATTTAAGAGACATTTATAAATCGGTTGGACACTGATTGGAAGAAGTCTAGGCAATACCCTCTATTTAAGAAACACCTCATTATAAGATACAAATTTTCAACCTCTAAGAGGGTATTTCATAGTGAAGTTCAAACTGTTTTAAATAACAATTTAAGGTCCTTTTTCTGTCCAAAAACATTCATTTATTTACCATTCAAATTGTCCTGATGGATGGATATTTAACAAAGAATTATTAAAATGTGAAGAATATTCAAAAATTTTAAATAAATCTTTAAGCAATTTTGAAGAATTAAAAATAAATGATAAAAATTGTAAAGGTATTTTAAATTGTAAAGGTATTTTAAAAATTGTAAAGGTATTTTAACTTAAAGAGAATTATTTTTCAAATATTTATTTTTTAAAGGTTTTTGTTCATGCAATTTGGGGTTTACAGGAATAGATTGTTCTATACCTTTAAATCTTTGTAATGCTTCTTTTTGTCTAAATGGAGGGAAATGTTTATTTGATTATTTAAATGGGTCTAAATGTTTTTGTTTAAATCAGGGCTCTCATTCGTGCTTTATTTGAAAGTATTATACTTTGAAACCGACCTCCATACTTAAGAAATTGAATTTATACTTTATTGAAAGTATATACTTTAAAATCAACATTTTGGATTGAAAATGAAATTGGGGAAGGGATTGGGCAAAAAAGTGAATTTTTTTAGCCTTGGGCCTTCGAAATTATCAAAATTTTCGCCTGCGGCGCTGAAAAAGAAAGAAATCTGGCTTCTTGGGCTCCAAATTTCAAAAAATTTTCGCCTGCGGCGCTGAAAATGGGAGAAATCTGACTACTTGGGCTCCAAATTTCAAAAAATTTTCGCCTGCGGCGCTGAAAATGGACGAAAGCTTGAGGTTAAGACTGTCAGGGCTTTATTTCTTGTATCAGCGAATTTTGACATGTCATGCGTTGAAATGCACAAAATGCCCAATGGAAGCAAGAAATTATTAGAAAAGATTCATTTAAGAGAGAAATATAAAAGATTTGAGCACGAACAAATATTTTCCAATTTAATTTTGAGTATACTTTAAATTTGGAAATTTTCTCCCTATATACTTTTTTATCAAGATTTTGATACTTTTGAGTGGCATTTTGTCGATGAGAGCCCTGAATTAATCGTATTTTTTTTATTATTTTCACCTTTCTCCAATAATTAAAAGTTTTATCTAATTTTATAATAAATATATCTTTTACTATTTGATCTTCTGGGGTGGATACACATTTCAATTTATTGATAGAGTTTTATACCAGGGCTCTCATTCGTACTTTATTTGAAAGTACAGTACTTTAAAATCGACCTCCGTACTTACGAAATTGAATTTGTACTTTATTGAAAGTATGTACTTTAAAATCAACATTTTGGATTGAACATGAAATTGGGGAAGGGATTGAGCAAAAAATGAATTTTTTTAGCCTAGGGCCTTCGAAATTCTCAAAATTTTCGCCTGCGGCGCTGAAAAAGGAAAAAATCTGGCTTCTTGGGCTCCAAAATTCTAAAAATTTTCGCCTGCGGCGCTAAAAATGGAAGAAATCTGTCTTAAGGACCCCAAAATTTTCCAAAATTTTCGCCTGCGGCGCTGAAAATGGACGAAAGAAAGTAGCTTGCTTGAGGTTAAGACTGTCAGGGCTTTATTTCGTCTGTAAGCGAATTTTGACATGTCATGCATTGAAATGCACAAAATGCTCAGTGGAAACAAGAAATTATTAGAAAAGATTCATTTAGGAGAGAAATATAAAAGATTTGAGCACGAATAAATATTTTCTAATTTAATTTTGAGTGTACTTTAAATTTGGAAATTTTGTCCCTATGTACTCTAAAATCGAGTTTTTTGTACTCTTGATTGGTATTTTGTCGATGAGAGCCCTGGTTTAAATGGTAAAGATTAAATTAATTTAAAATACATTAACCCTCCCTGTAAGATACCCCAAGCGATACACCCTCTATTTAATAAACGCTCTTTAAAAATTAGTTAGTCACTGAGAAAGGCGGACTATTCTATTGATGGGAGTTGTAGCGATAATTCCTTTTAAATACATGCCATTATAAGGTATGATTTTTTCATTCCATATCAAGTCGGGTCTGGTTTCGGGTCAAAAAATCCGGGTTTCGGGCATCTGGTAATCCTCCCTTGTAATAATTTATTTATTAAAAAGGTTTTAATGGAACTAGATGTGAAATAAATCAAAAACATGAAGAAATAAATAATGTTGTAAATAAATTAAATAATGATGAAGAAATAAATAGAAATAATTGGCAATTAAATAAATGTTCAAATGGAGGGATTTGTTCTATAAATAATAATGAAAATATGTTCGTTTTTTATTTTTTTTAAATTAATATACAGTCGAACCTCATTTTCAAATAAATCCTTGGAATAAAAATTGTACCATAAGTACAACGAGTAGGGTTGTTCCCCGACGAGGGAAGGGGAGGGCCACGATAACTTCTAGGGAGGCAGCAGCACGGGAGGGGAGGGGGGGGGGGGGACAACCTTAATGAGGAGTATTTTAATCCCCTTCCCCCGTGCCTAATCAAAATTTTTAAAAGCATATCTTAAATAATAGAGTTTAGCTAATTTTGGGGGCATCTTATTGTGAAGTTTGTCTGTATTTATAATTAAATTAACAACTAAATTAATTATTTTTTTAAATTAAAGTTCATCAACAAAATGTTTGTGCCCTTCAAATTTTGAAGGTAATTATTGCCAAATTAAAAAAGAAACAAAAATAGAAAAATGTATAAAAGAAAATTGGTGTGGAAAAAATGGTTATTGTAAAATATTAAATGAAGAAGGTGGAAATAATATTTTTGAAGAAGAAATTATTTTTTGTGAATGTAAAGAAGGTAATTTTAATTAAAAAAATTAAATTTATATTTTTAATAAAATTTGAGTTCTTTAATTTTTATTGGTTATTAATCGGCAGAGGTGGATTAGAATCTCATTTTTAATCTGACACTTCCGGTCAACCTCTAGTAAACGAACACGGGCGAAAAACAAAAATTTAAGTGTTCGAATCTCTTTTTATTTTTAAATTGGAAAGAAAGTTTAATTTTAGGAAATTAGTTTAAGCCCGTATCAAAATTTGTACTAATAGTATGAAAAAATATTAAATTCCCAAGGGTACATGTAAAAGATTTTCATTTATGGGATAGAAATGTTTTTTAATTAAATTAATTAAATGTTTATATATTTTTAAATTAATTTTTTGGAAAAAATTTTTATTTAAATTTATTTTTAATTCAAATATTTTATTTTTAAAAGGATTTTTTGGAGAATTTTGTGAAGGTAAACAAAACAATAATTTAAAAAATAATTCTTGTGAATGCTTAAATGGAGGTGAATGTATTGAAAATAATTTATGTAAATGTTTAATTGGATTTTATGGAAATAAATGTCAAGTAATTCAAAGATTTTCTTAAAAATTTTAAAAATTTCTTAAGTTTAAATTAAATCCTTGTAATTTATTTAATGGTTTGTGTGTAAAGGAAGAAAATTATGAATGTAATGCTTATTTTAATATGAGTACAGGGGCAATAGAATTATTATGCAAATGTGGAGAAAATAATAATAATGAAGGTTGGAAAAATTTGGAAGATTTTTTTGATTTTAATTATGGAACCCAACAATAAGATATTCCCTATTACCTCAATTTAGGGCGCTTCAAATTTTAAATTAGCTATTGGTTGGGGGAGGAGGGAGGGAGGGGAGTTTGATCTATCTAAGCAATACCCTCTATTTGGAAGGTATCGATATATCTATAAGATACGATTTTAAGAGACTTCGAAAATTCTTGATTATACATATTTGTTTCTTAGTTATTCCCCTATCATATAAATTTTATTTGAACTCAATATCTTTATGTTGAATAAAGTTATGCCAAAAATTGTGTGCCCGGTAACTTTTGGATCACCCTGTATTCATAATCCGCGAAACGCGAAACTGGCACACACCTGGTATCGATCACTAAGATAAAATTTAAGATACTTTATTTACATGGGCCGTAATGACTAAAAAATCTAAAAATTACTTATATTTTGTTGAACTCAGTCAATTGACCTTCGTTAGGTAACCTCAAGGGGAAAAACATTACCACTGTTTTATACTAACAGTAAAAACAGTTACTAGTTCGGTATATTTTACAGTTAGTTTGGTATTGTTAAAAACGGTTATTCGGGCAATCACGTTCTTATACATAGTTAAATTTAACTAAAAATTTAATTAAAAATATTCTTTTCTAGGAACTTATTCTTGTATTCCTCAATTAAACAATTTATGTATTAACCAAAACAATTTTTGTAAAAATGGGGGAGAATGTATTTCCTTAAATTCTTCAATTAAATGCAAATGTTTAAATAATTATTTTGTTTGTTTTTAATTTACCTAATTTAAAATTAATTTTAAAATTAAAAGGGTAATAATTGTGAATATTTAATGAATTATTGTTCTTTACCTGAAATTTGTTTAAATGGAGGGAAATGTTTAAATGTTGATAATAAATATTTTTGTGAATGTTTAAATAATGGTTTTTTGTGAAAAATTTTTTTTAAAAATTTTCTTGAAAATATTTTTTTAGGTTCAGGTATAAATTGCGAAAATTCTAAAGCAAATTTATTTATTGATGGAGATAATTCCGTAAATATTTTTGAGGTAAGGGAAAGCAATAAAGGATTAATTCAGCCAATAATTTTAAAAATTAAAATTTATGTAATACCCCCATGAGATTGAAAATTTTGTATCCTATAAAGAACTTTAAAATTCTAAAAAATAAAAATTATTGAGATCATCTAAGCCTCGGCTCTGAGGACTTGTTAAACTCTCAGAGCTTGACTCATTAAGGATAAAATTATCTCGGACTTAAGTCCTATCAAATACCTCCAATAATCTAAAAATACACTCCATTGTTTACTGTGTTTCGTTATTATTTTAGTTAAATAATACTTTTAAAATTATCAAAAAATATCTAGTTTTCTAAATTATTTTCACACAAAAAATCTATTCAGAATCCTTGTAAACAAAATCCAGATTATTGTAACAATGCTGGTGAATGTCATTTATTACCAAACACAACCCATCGTTATTGTAAATGTTTACCTCAATTTACTGGAATTTATTGTGAAACAAGTAAATTTGAATATTTAATTAAATAATTAATTTCTTTTTCTAAAGAAAAATTACCCAATTTTAATTTATATTTTGCTGGAATTAAAGCCAAAATAAATTCCCCAATTAATCAAAAAATTAATTCTCAATTGTTTCCGTGTAAAACAACTTTAGGTAAATTGCAAATTAAATTAAATTTAAAATTTAATTTTTTAAAAGAAAAGTTTACTTTTTGTTTGTGGGTTAAATTTGGAGAAATTGACAAGAATTTAATTAATAATTATTTTGAAAATGAAAGGAAAGGGCAAACGTTTTTCACTTTTGCTATGGTTAATGGAAACAAGTAATCTTTATTTTTAAAATTAAATTTATCTGGAGTTCTGTTAGGATTTGAGAGATAAAAAAATTAAAATGAGATAGGGGATACTTTTTTGAATTTATTTACTTAAGGAATTTTCAATAACCTTTAAGGAATGTGTATCTCTTGTACATCTCTTATTGTATGACAGAAAGAATTTAGCAAAAGTTTAGCCATCGGGCAGGATTCGATGCTAGGCACTTTCGCTCACCACATATGGGAGCTCTACCACTGAGCTACCTATTGCTTTCTTTTCTCTTTTTAGAGCATTTAACCCCAGCCTACACGTTTTAAATTTTGCTAGGTGACTCATCCTTGGATGACTAACAAAGTTTCACGCAAAACCACTCGCTCTTTAACGCGCAAGGAAAATTTCATTTTTCCAAAATTCCAACCACGAACACAAAATTACTTTTATATACAATATAAACAATCAACAATTTACATACACACAATAATCTATATACAATCACAAAAATACATATATCTATTTAGAGAATATCTATATCAACATTATTATTAGCATCCTTCATTATTAGCATTTGATCCTATTTGAAGCATCGAAGACGTCATTGTGAGAGAGCAGAATCAGAGCTGGTCGTTTCTGTTCTGAAGAGCGAGACGCCTTCCCCAGTGACAGGCCAAGTCTGGAAAAAATATTTTTTTCTTCAAAAAAAATTTTCAAAAAAAATTTCCGCAACCATATGGTCGATTATCCACCAAGTAGTAGTTTCCGCCTTCCAATGGACGAGAACATCCTTCACAGCGAAAGCATTGCGGGTGCCAGTAGTTGTCCAAAGCGAAGTAGACCTCTCCAGCCAGGACCTGTTGGCAAGTCTCGAGGGCACATCTTGGATTGCGGCGATTAGCATGGCATTCCAGGCAGTAGGGACGGTTCTCGAACACCTAGAAAAAAACTTTTGTTTATTGAAAATTCAAATCAAATTTGAATTTCTTGCCTGATAGTTGGCATCCAATGGACGGCGGCAATCATTGTTGGCGCAACGGAAGTGCTCACGATGCCTAAAAATGAGGGACGAAAGACTTTTTTAACTAAAAAACAAATTGAGAAACGTACCAAAGCTGCCCCTGAGCGAAGATTGTAGGCTGGCTTCCGACCTCCGCCCTGCATTCGGGACAAGTTGCGCGCTGAGCCTGAGCCATTTGATAGTTGACAATGAAGACGGCTTTGGTGATCAGTGGTGAATGTAGAGTTGATTAATTTAGTGGGTAGGGAAGTAGGCCTTTTATAGTAAATTAAATTGGGCCTGACTTGTAACACAACTCTCGTGATCACGTGAAGAAAAACTGATAAAGTGAGACTGTCGTACAAGTGGTGTCAGTGTCGAATCTTGCTCGTATTAACCTTTTGGCCAGAAAAACTGTAGTTAATGTGATCAGAATTGCAAATAGGGGTGTCTTATCATGTGTTAACTTACTATGTTTAACACAAACATAGTTCACGTATGTATGTATATTTTCCATTTCAAAACTGAGTTTCATTACCTTAAATAATTACTAATTATTTTTATTTTTTTAAAGTTATACAAGCCTATTAGAATTAGATGAATTTAACTTGTATATTTTTACTTCAAAAAATTCTCAATTAAATATAAATTATGGAAACAAAGAAGATTTTGAGAATAATAATTGGAATCACGTATATTTAAATATTTAAATAATATTTTTTTAATTTTTAAAGATTTGTATTGTTTCTAATGGGGATAATTCAAATAATTATTTAAGTCTTTATTTAAATGGAAATTTAATTAAAAATTTAATATTCTCTTGGAAATGGCCTGAATTAATAAATAATGATTGTATTATTTTTATTGGAGAAAATGGAAATGAAGAAAATAATTATTTTATTGGACAAATTAGCAAAGCTGAAGTCTATTTTTTTATTAAAAAAATTGCAGTCGGTCTATACTAGGGTTGGGAGCTGGTTCGGTTCGATAAATCGAATTGGGCATCATATTTTGGCTCGAAAAAATGACGCGAACGTCGGGCCGATTCGAAAAATCCAACTCTAGTCTATTCTATAATACAAGATTTAAAATGCCTCACTTCAAAATAATCTTCCCCATTGAGCGAGGAGTAAGGGTGGATATGCATAATTTTCTGTTCGGATATCCGAAGATTTCCCAGTATTCGCCAACCTTTGTGGGGGAGCTGCCTAAACAATACCCTCAATTTTTAAGCTTCTTCTCATTATAAGGTGCATTTTTCAATTTCAAGGCCTTCAAAAAATTATAGGAACCGACTTTATTTTTTAATTTTGTTTAAAAAAAAATTATTTTTAGCTTTATTCGGAATCATTTAATTCAAAACAAATAAATTATTTATTAAATAATTGTCTAAATAATAATTATTTTTCCATTGAACCGTTGATTGCTTGGAATGATTTTAGTAGTGTTATTGTTTATAATTCGGCAATTATTGTTATACATCCTGGAATTTGTTTAAATAATTATTGTAAATTTGGAGAAAATAATCGTTTTAATGAAGATAAAAATTGTAAAATTGTCTAAATAATAATTTTTCTATAAGATAAACCCTCAGGATTGTGGGTATTTTAGAGATGAGGGAGGCATTTTTATTTCCCAATAATAGATACACCTCTATTTTAGGATACATTTTTCTAAAATATGGGTTAGCCATTGATGTCTAAGCGATACCCTCTATTTGTAATACGCCTCATTATAAGAGAGGTTTTCAACCTTAAGGGTTATCCTATAGTGAGATCTGACAGATATTTTCGTTATATGTATTTTTAAGTTAAATCAACTAAAATTTCAATTAAATGTCCAGAATCTCAACAAATTATTTTGGATAATCCAAATCAGAGATTAATTAATGTTAATTGGGATGGTTAGTTTATTATTTTTTTGAATTGAGCTGACTTTCCTATTATTGGTGTGGATTTATATATTTGGTGTGGATTTATGACGAGAAAGTCAACTCTTTCCTTTAGAAATTCTTTTAAAAATTTCCAATTTTTTAGATTCATTTAATAAGATGTTTCCTTTCTCCATTCAAAACCCAATTGTTCGTTTTGAAAGCAATTTTAGACCGGGACAAATATTTACTTGGGGTTATCATAGAATTATTTATTATGTTGAAGATTCTTTTGGTTATTGGAATTCTTGTGAGGTAATTTAAATTTAATTAAATGTTTGGATCTCTATGCCTTATTTTAGGTACATAAAATACCCCTCTTATAACGAGAAGGGGTATCTTAAATAGGTATCTTAAAATTGCTTAAGCTCTTAAACATAGACTTTGCAGTAAAATTTTCGGAAAATTATTGAGCTTCCGCACATAAGGCTGACTTTAGAATCCAAGGGAAGTAGGATTTTGTAACAGTTATCTAGTTAGTTGGAGGGTTAGAGAATTGTTTGAAAAAGAGTTAAGTTTGTTAGATCAGCCTAGTTTGTCTGATCAAGCGTTAGACTGATTTCTATTATTTCCCCATCCTTAATGTATCGGGCCGACTATTTAACTTATTGTGGTATCTTTTATTTAGTAAGAGGTCTAATTATTATGGAGCCCTGATTTTCTTTCCTATTTAAAAAATTAAAAATAACTTTTTTAGTTTAATATAATAATTTCTCCAAATAAATGTCAATTACCTTCAAATAATTCAAAAAACAATAATTCAACAATTTTTATTTTAAATGAAATGGATTTGAAAGAAAATTCTGAAGCAGAATTTAATGCAAAATTATTTTGTAAAAATACTGAATATATTTTTAAAAACCAACAGCCATTTTATATTTGTGATAGATTGGTTTTTAAATTATGTAGATTTAGAAAATTAATTTTCTAGGGAAAATGGAATCATTGGGAAAATATAGGAATTCCTTTTGAATTTCCTTCATGTTCTTCCACAAAAAATGTTTTACAAGAAATCGAGGGGAATTTAAATTTTAATGGTTTTTGCTCTAATTATAATGAATATCAAGATGAAATTGTTAGTTTTAAAATTAAAGTTAAAATATCAGGGCCTCATTATAGATACTCGAGTAGACTTTAAGGGGTTTTGAGAGACCAGGCTGACCCTAGCTTTTCGGGAATCGAGCCAACTTATTTAGTTCTTCAAAAATACAAATAAAAAACTGGGCTTCAGGAATATTCAGACTACAAACCTAGACAAGATCTCTAACAAAAATCCCTGTTATCTTGATCGGTATTCTTCGAGATATCAGTCTCGATCCACTTACGACCCTCCGCTCAAGTTTCTAGTCTAGATTGATTTTTAGGATTTTCAAAAATATATTACCTTATCTACTTCCTTATTTTTTCCAATATTTCTGTTTTATAGACTCGAAGTATTCTAAATATTTCTGAAAAACTTGGAGGTTTTTGTGAAAAAGAAAATTGTGATGGTCAATTATTTATTAGATCTGCTTGTTCTTTTGAAAATGAAGAAAAATCTACTTTTTGGATGGAAGGAAATTTTAATAAAATTCAAAAAAGATTAATTAAACGGGAAGAAAATGTAAAAATAATTAAAATTAGATTTTATTTAAATTTAAGGTAATTTAAATATTTAAAGTTAAAATTAAATTTATTTTTTAAAAAAGAAATTTAAAATATTCTGTTGGCCCTATTATTTTAAATTATTTAAAGTCTTTGTTTGGAACTGATTTTAAAGAAGAACAAACACGTTTAAGTTGTTCTGATAATTTTCCTCAACTTTATATTGAAAATAAGGTGATTAAATTATTTTTACATAGGCCCTCATTGATAGTTAAATCTCAGGTTTTAGGGTACGTTACCGGTATAATGAAAATTCCAAAATCTGATCGATATACTGGAATATGGGTTCGATTATTTCGATGATACAGCGGTAGTACCGTACGTGCCAGAAACTAAGATACGCTATTATTAAATTAGGAGGGGTTGTCTTTCTGTTTAAAATGCCTTCAAGATAAGGCACGATTTTTCAGGCCTATAGTTTATAATGAAATCCAACTTTATTTAATTATTTTCTAGTCAAATACAAACATTTCTGATCCAAAATCCCTTCCAATTATTCAATGTTCTACTTGTGCTCCAGGAGAAACTTGGAAGGATACTGAACAGAAATTTACAACAATTACTACGAAAGTAAATTATAATTTATTTTTAAATTTTTTTGAAGACTTTCAAGGGATAGGAAATATTGATAAAGAAATTATAGAAAATATTCTAGCCTAATAAATTAATTTATTTTTCAGAATTTTGACTTTATTTTGAATAAAAATGTCTCATCAGGCAAGTGTGAGAAATGCCCTCCAAATACATTTAAGACAACTGAAGGGTTTTTAATCTAGTCAGAAAATATTTTAGAATTTATTTTAAGAATTCAAAATTGTATTCCATGTCCAGATGGAAGAATAACTGGGGGTGTATCTGGCTGTATATATTTATCTGATTGTTTTAGTAATTATTGAATTAATAAATATTCAAATTATATTCTAATAAATAGAGAATTGTTCTCCTGGCTATATTTATAATTGGGAAAATGATAAATGTATTCCTTGTCCTCGTGGTCAGTTTATGCCTTATAGTGGAAGATTAAAATGTTTGGCATGCCCAATAGATAGAACTACTGTTGGGGAGGTAATTAATTTATTCTTGTTAACAAATGGACGGCCGGACTAGTAGAGTGGATCGTACAGGAAGACAGAACACTATCTCGAAAAATCTTGATTCTTGATAACCGGGTCCTATCTCTAGTCGGAACATCTGTATGTGTTGGAAATCGGTTCGGTGCTAGCACAAATGTTGGAAATCGGAACTCGGAATTCCGATCCACTTCATGGTATCTCAAGTTCGAGCCTTTAGTATTTTCACTAATGGTTTACATCTAGTTTCTACTAATCTAATCTCAATCCACATAATTTAATCTCTGAAGAGTTACTTAAAAGTAATTTTGTAATTTAATAAAGGGCTCAATTAGTAAAGAACAATGCTCGATTAAATGTAAGGATGGAGAAGAAATGAGTCAAAACGAACAATGCCAACCCTGTATGAAAGGAACATTTAGGGAAGGATTAATGAGTGTATGTCAACGATGTCAAGTAATAAATATTTAATTTAAAATATTTATTTTTTAAATTAAAAAAAAGATTGGTTTTACAACAACAAAAGAGGGTTCTTTAAATTCAAAAGAGTGTAACCAAATTAATTGTCCCCCTGGCTATTTTACAAATAATAAATTAATTAATGAAGAAATTAATTTAAGTTTTAAATTTTTACAAATTTGTTTGCCTTGCCCTATTGGTTATTATGAGGTGATTCAGAGGAAAAAATAAAATAAAAAATTAATTTTTAAAAAGAATGAATATGGCTCTAATAAATGTAAAAAATGTCCAGAAGGGTATATAACTAAACAATTAGGTGCTAAAAATATTTTTGAATGTGATCAAGTATGGGATGGAAGTTGTAAACCTGACCAGCCAGAACCTTGTCCTAATGGTTAAAAAATAAAAGAATATTTTTGTAAAAATTATTTTTAAAGGAAGTGAATGTATACAAATTAGAGGGGAAATATTTGAATGTAGAAAAATATCTATTGAATTTTTAAATAATGAACAAGTAAATTTGATTTTTTAAAAATAAAATTAGTTATAAGGGAAATACTTGGGAACAAAAAATTGTATCCTCAAAAAATCTCCATCTTGATAAACGAGATTTTTGATCGAGATCTCGTTCCGGTCCATTAGGTTATTTATTACTTAAACATCTGCCTGAGAGGGTAATTATTAGAGTTCGAATCCGGACCGGATCCGGGCGGGATTTTCCGATTTTCGGGATTTTGATCTGAAAAATCGGTCCGGATAAAAAAAATTCTTAAATCCCGGAACGGATCCGGCATTTTCCAAATTTCGAATTCTAGTAATTATTTATGCGAGGTTAATTATTTGAGCATATACGTGATCTTAAATGAGAAGGTATTGCTTAGACAGCCCCTCCTCCTTTTGGTCCACTAGTTTTTAATAGAGTTGCACGAGATCGATATCTCGACCGAGACCGAGACGAGAATCTCGGCCATTTTCCAATCTCGGTCTCGGTTTTGCCGAGACGAGACCACCTAACCGAGACGAGATTCTCGGCACTTAATCTCGCCGAGATCCGAGATCAGTATACACCCCTGAAGATTGACCTTCTTGAATTTAAAATTTCGCTATTGGCATATTGTTGTGCTCACTTTAATTTAGTTGTCTAGAGAGCGGAGCAGGACAAATAGGCGCGGCCGAATACACATCAACCTTCCCGATGGTTAGAGAGTAAAGTCTGCGCTGCCGTTAACTGTCTGCTCTTCCCACTGTTCTTAGTTGGAATGCTCGCGCCGCAGCAAATCGGCGCAAGGTTACCAGGTTCTTTACCAGGTTCTCTCATTTTTGGGGGGAAAAATCTCACTCTCTGTTAAGAGACCTGTGGTTGAGTGGCTTAGTTGTTGGGTTTAGCCTTTAATTCCATGAACATAGGATTGGACCTGGATCCAAATAATCAGAACTTGTTTGGTTTTATTTTTTCTTTACAAAAAAGAGTTATTTTAAAATGTTAATCTTATTTTTAAATATTGTCACCGGAACCGAAATTCTGACCAGAACCGGATCCAATTTGAGTTCGTATCCCAGAACCGGACCGGAACCAAAAAACGCCGAACTTTACGAAACTGGAACCGAAACCGAAATTTCCGGTGAAACACTTCCAGATATACATTTTAAATCAATCAAAACCATTAATCCCACCTTATTCTCATTAATTCTGAATAAATTAGCGAAAATAGACAGAAAATGGCTTATTTTTAGAGCATTTTTTCTTTAAAAAATTTTTCCAGTAAACCCCCGTACCCTGACCCAAACCCCGACCATGTTTTGCTCCCCCGACCCGAACCCCGCCCCGAAACAATTTGAAAACCCCATACACCGACATACCCGCCCCCGAGCGTTCTGGGTCACCTAATTTAAATGGGTTTTAGTGGATAAAAAAGGTTTTGAAAAATCTCGGTTTATCTCGGATCTCGATATCGGTCTCGGGTAAAATTTTGCATCTCGGTCTCGGTCTCGGTCATGCGAGTCTCGGTCAATCTCGGTCTCGGATTTTTTCTAAAATCTCGATCTCGTGCAACTCTAGTTTTTAAATAAAACGTATCGCCTAAAGTAAGGATTTTTGGGGGTATTTTATAGTGAAGTCCCTATTATAATTTATTCAGAAAAATTAATTTTAACTAATTTAAAGAATATCAGAGAACAAAGAATTAAACGTTTTTGGTTTCCACTTATTTTGGGAATTATTTGTGTAATTATTATTGGAATATTATTTTTATTTTTTATTTTAAATAGAAAAAAATGGTTTGAATTTTTTTATTTTTTAAAAATTTCCTTTTAAAGTTTATTATTTTTCCATCAATATTTTTATTGTTGTGGAAAGATTACTTTAGATAATTTAAATAATAATAATTTTACAAGAAATGATTTGCCTTATTCAACACAACCCTTACAAAATATAATTAATCAAGTATTTTTTCTCTTTAAATTAAATTTTAATTTAAAATTTAATTTTTAAAGTCTTTTAATCAACAAAATCACCCAAATAAAAATATAAAAAGAAGAGCAATTTCTGATTCTGATTTATTAAAAAGAAATATTGACCAGAATTTAATACATGTATGGAAAAATTAATTTTAAAAAATTATTTAAAAATATTCTTTGTAGGATTCAATAAACCAAATTAAAAATAATTTGATGGAAGAATTAGAAAATAAAGAGAACAATAATATAGAGGTTTTTCTTAAAAAACAAGTCGACCCTCATTTTTAGATACTCCCAAAATTAGGTACATTTAATCTAAGATACTTTAAAGTTTGTTTGGCCGTTGCGTGGGGAAGCTGTCTAATATTTAGGATATCTTTTATTCTAAGATACGGTCCATAAGATACATACTAGGGATGGATCCGCTTCCGCCTTCCGCAGAATTCCGCTTTTTTTTTGCTCTTCCACTTCCGTCTCTCGCTTTTTAAAATTGAAAATTATCCATCCCTGATACATACTCAAGGTTCCGCGACATTTGTGCCGTGAACATTTGCGCCGCGACTTTTGCGCCGAGCGACTTTTGCGCCGGGGGACTTTTGCGCCGCGACTTATGCGCCGGGGGACTTTTGCGCCGCGACTTATGCGCCGGGCGACTTTTGCGCCGCCACTATCATTAATAATTATGAAAAACTACAGCCGGACCCTCAATATAGAAATGCCGGATTCGGCTATCCGGCCTTTTTCAGATCCGGATATCTGGACCCGACAACCCTATACTATAGTGCACCCACTTCTGGCAGAAAATCATGCCTGAATAGGTGTAGCAGACCAAATATCCTGATCCGAAAAAGTCAAGTTTTTTGAAGATGAACCCTTTTGGGGGTCGGTTTATTAGAGGGGGCTATTGTACTTCCCGAAATATTGTATGTACTTCCTGAAATTCCTTCAGCTCCTGGATACAATTTTTTAAGGAGTATTAGGTCCGATTTTAGATATTATTTTTTTAAAGCATGGCGGCGCAAATGTCGCGGCGCATAAGTCGCGGCGCAAAAGTCGCCCGGCGCATAAGTCGCGGCGCAAAAGTCGCGGCGCAAAAGTCGCGGCGCAAATGTTCTCGGCGCATAAGTCGTGATACCATACTCAAGATGATATTTAAAATAGAGGTTCGACTGATTAATATCTTTAACAAAAAAATTTTTTAGAAAAGGGTTCTTCCAAAATTAACAGTTCAAACATCTTTTAAAGAAATTGAGAATAATAAATTTAGACAAAGAATTTATTCCTGTTCTTCTTCATCTTCATCATCCTCTTCTAATAATTATGGAATAATAGAAGAAAATGAAAATAAATGTCAAAATGAAAAAACTGAAAGTAAAAAATATTTTTTTGTTAGAGTGGAAGTGATTAAGGCAGATTTGTTTAATTCTGAAAATATAAATGTTCATTACAAGATTATTTTTAGTTGAACACTTTAAGTTAATTTCCTTCTATGAATAACTTGACCCGAAATAGCTGGCTAAAAATCTAAAAAGAATTCCAGATACTTTACAATTAATTGTTTCATATAGAGTATCAACTGGATTTATTGTGATTAAACGGGACCTCTATATCCCTTAATCCCTTTATATCCCCCATAATTCGTCCAAATTGCCTTATATGCTCCTGCTCTCCTTAATCCCTCCTTCACCTTCCTCAACTCTCTTAACATAAATACAAATTATAATTATAGTTTCTAATGCTCGTCCATGTGTATTTACAATGGATGAAGAAATTGAAAACCAAAAGTATCAAATAAGGAAAGATTCTTCTTCAGAAAAGTCAAAAGGTAAAGGTAAAAACAAACTAAAAATTATTTAATTTTTTTTATTCAGAATTTCCTTCACCAGAATTAGTTAATCAAATTCATTTAACTAATGGTTTGAATAAAATTTTAATTTTAAAAAATTATTATTTTTTTAAAAACAGTTGAACTTCGCAGAATTCAATTAGAAAAACAATTAAAAATAACTCCTTTCCAGTCAGGACTTAGATCTTCTTTAACTGCAAGAAATATTAATAGATTACCCCCACCAAATAATAATTTAAAGAAAAAACATCCACCAACAAACACTCCTTCCTACGATGATGATGACGATGTTTGTTTGTTTTTTTGGAGGGAGAGATTTTAATTATTTTTTTATTAAATTTAAGGCTTTCTTTTCGTGAAATATTGAGAGGAGGAATTAAAAAGGAAAAAAACTTTAATTAATTTATTTTTTGTTCAATTGTTAAGTTTATTTTTTGGTTAAAAATACAATTAAACTAATTAAGCACATCTCTTTTAGGCAACTAACATAACTTAAAATATTCGGTTAAGTTTTTATGATTTGGCAACTGGCGCAAAAAGACCCATTGTGTTTTTATTAACTCTAATAAATTCGATTTCCACACGGTCACTTTTAGGCTTTGGACCATTCCTAAAAAAGGATAATAGTATCCACATTCGTAAATTTAATTTTGAAACAGTAGGTCACACAACGCCTGTGGGCTGTCGTTGTGAATAGCTACTCCGATCTACGGATTTGTCGAACGCTCTGGAGCTGCATATGTACACGTGGTCCGTAAGGTGAGTGACATACTCAAAATTTTAAAAATTATATTATTTTTAAAAAGAATGGCCCCAAGTCAAACAATGATCGTATTGAAGTTGAGTTCATCCGAACTGATGATAATATCAAAGATCCTTCTGTACCATTTAAAACCCAAAAACCATCCCGGATAATCAAAGTGGAATTGAAAAATTGAAGTGGTGTTGAGAAATTGAAGGATTTTTTTGTCTAAACATTTGTGTGACTGATTTTTCTGATGTTGTTATAAATAGCTGCCAAAAATTGCATTTGTAGTTGCAAGTTTTATAACAAAACTATTTATAACAACATCAGAAAAATCAGTCACACAAATGTTTAGACAAAAAAATCCTTCAATTTCTCAACACCACTTCAATTTTTCAATTCCACTTTGATTATCCGGGATGGTTTTTGGGTTTTAAATGGTACAGAAGGATCTTTGATATTATCATCAGTTCGGATGAACTCAACTTCAATCCGATCATTATTTGACTTGGGGCCATTCTTTTTAAAAATAATATAATTTTTAAAATTTTGAGTATGTCACTCACCTTACGGAACACGTGTACATTTGCAGCTCCAGAGCGTTCGACAAATCCGCAGACCGGAGTAGCTATTCACAACGACAGCCCACAGGCGTTGTGTAACCTACTGTTTCAAAATTAAATTTACGGATGTGGATAAATATTGGTCCGATCCTATCAAAGGATTTGTCGAAGGCGAGGAAGCTGTTAAGATACAAGTCTTCCGACTGGTAAACGACTTACTCAAAAGTTAAACTTTCTTTTGTTTTTTAAGAATGGTCCAAAGCATAAAAGTGACCGTGTGGAAATCAAATTTATTAGGGTTGAAGAAAACCCCAAGGATCCCTCTGGGCCATTTTCCGAAAATCACGAAAACTTAACCAAATACCTAAAGTGATGTTGGTTGATTACATTTCAATTTTACAACAAAAATTAAATTAATATAAATATATCAAAGTGCAACACTACTATTTTTATTATTATTTTTATCTTCAACCTTCTTTTCTTCTTCCTTTTTTGATTTTTCTCCTTCAACTTTTGCTTCCTTTAATTTACTACCATTTCCAGTTTGTGATGCATAAACAGAAAGCAATGTTTTATTCTCAATAGTTACTTCTTCTTCGCTTACTGTTTTAGAAGTTGCATCAAGTTTTTCTTCTTCTTTTAATGATTTCTCTTCACTTTCGCTTCTTTGAGTTTTGTCAAATAATTGTTTAATAGTAGTTTCCCTTTTAGTTTCTCTTTGTGTTTCATCAAATCTTGGATGTTTCTTTTTATCTTTTAGAATTTTCATTGAATCCTCTTCTGTTTCCCTTTCGGTTTTGTCGACTTCTTCGTTTGATCTATCCTCTCTTTTAACACCTTCTTCAACAGAATGTTCTTCCTTTTTCATGTAGTTGAGATAGTAAAAGACTCCACCTACACTGAGACATCTGAAATTGAGGTAGATTTAAAAATTGGATATTAATAGAAAAATAAATGTAGTCGGACCTCACTACGAATACACGAGGGTTTTTTAATTTGGTTGGCGCTAGAGGGCACTCTCATTTTAGGAGAGAGGGAGGGAAGAGTGGGAAGCTATGATACTCCCACGTGTTCAGCCCAAAGGTGTATCACACAATGAGGTCCCAACATTAAACTCACATCAAAAGAACAACCACAACAATAAAAATCCAAATTTTTGAAGGACTTTTAGTTGCAGTTAACGCTTCTTGTTGTGTTGTTTTAATTGCTTCTGTTGTTGTTGGTGTTGTTATTTCAGGAAGATTTTCTGAAGTTTTAAGAGGAGGAAGGACCATCTGAGAGGTAGATGTAGTTTCTTCTTCTGTTGGAGAAGCAGAAGTTGCTGTAGGATCAATAAACGTTGTGGTCATTTCAGATGAAGTTACGATCGTTGTTGTTGTTGAGGTTGTTGGAATGCTTGTTTCCTCTGTTGGATATTCGGTCGTCTCTTCATCAGTCGTATCTTCGGTAGTATCTTCATAAGTCGTAGCTTCGGTCGTATCTTCATCGGTCGTAGCTTCCTCAGTTGTTGTAAAGAAGTCTTCTGTTGTTGTTTCGACTAACAACGTTGTTTCCTCAATAGTTGTTGCTTCGGTTGTAGTAACTATTATGGCTGGGATGATCTGTGGAGTTCCAGAATATATTTCGTTGATTGTCGTTTCTTCTGTTGGAGTTGTTTGCTCATTTGTTAAATTTCCGCCAGTTGAGATTTCATTTGTCAAAGTGCTGAACATTGTAGTCCCATTTATTTTGGCGATAATTGATGTTTTGTTTGTTTGGGTAGAGGACGAATTTAGTTGATTTGTCAAGTTTTTTGATGAATCAGAAGTCGAGCTTTCATACTCAAAGTCCCCATTGTCTAAAAAATAAAACTGTAAAAGGTTATCAGAAAATACAAAAACTACTTTTGAATAAAGTGATAATTTCATCAATTGTTGTTCCATTCATTGTAGTAAGAGGCTTTGGAGGTAATGGAGGTAATGTTGTCAGAAGAGAATATTTTTTACCAGACTGGAAAAAATAAAAAAATATTGTTAAAATGAAAATTGTAAAAGCTCACAAATTTCAGAGAAACAAAATGACATCCTCTGCGAAATATAATCTGATATCTAGGCAAAAGACTGAAGGCCAGCAAGCCTTTTCCTTCCAGCTTAGCATTTCCCACAATAGGCCAAACTTTGGGTTTAACAGGCGAACACAAAGGCTTTGCAAAGTTCTCACTTTTACATCTTGAGAAATTATAGTCCGTATGGTTCACAACAAAAGTTTCTCCATTTATTTCCACATTAAAGTCCAATTGTTTTAAATTTTGAAATGTTCTATTAGCATCCCGATGACACCAAAACCAAAAATTCAGAGGTCCTGGAGTGTCTAAAAGAGTAAATATCAAATTTACAGTCGAAAAGGCACTAAGTACCTATAAACGACCCTATTTGTATTTCATCGCCCGAATAACAAATTCGAATTTCAGATGAACTCCACAGCTTATTCCACGGCCGTTGACAAGGCCATTCGTTTGGTGGCATTTGAACAAGTTCGTCGAACTCATTAGAATCTATGTTGAAGACGAATGGAATTCTAAAAAGAAATATTTTATTTTGAACGTAATTAGATAAGATTAACATATTGCCGCTCATACCACCACAGCTCATGCATGTGTTTAACTCTGACTCGCCATAATGATCAAAGCTCACTGTAAACTCCACAACGTTGGTTTCTTTGTCGCCCCCAATTTCGGTAACCAAATCTACAGTGCATCCCTCATAGGCAGTGTTAGTGAACCAATCGAAGTTCAGAATGCTGTAAATAACAAAAAATTTTGTTCAAAAGATTACAAATTCCTCACATATTCCCTTCAGCGTCGATTTCCACGTTGCAAGCTCGTGGTTGATTTTGATACTCATCTACATCCACTTTGGTTGCGATCCTTGACCCATTTGCCAACGTAACTGTCCCGTTTTCTATCGTATGACGACCTTCACCAATTGTGGAATAACCCGCTGAATTGACGAATCCGTTGAAGAAAATTAAGAAAATTGTTACGCTAAGGCGTGAAAATTTGCTAAAGTGACGACTAAACATTCTTGACGAAATTACTACATATGGTCAAATATCATGCTTTTATACCCTAAGAAACGTGAAAGATAGAAACAATATTGCAAATAGGATTTGAATAATTGAATCCAATCTCTCTCTCCCAGGGATGTCACGGGTTACCCGAAACCCGATACCCGAAACCCGGCCTTTTTTTCGACCCGATACCCGAAACCCGATCCGAGGAATTTTCTAAAACCCGACCCGAAACCCGACCCGAGAATTTTTATTTTTCAAAACCCGACCCGAAACCCGACCCGAGTTTTCTCAAAATTTTCGCCCTCGTCGGAGAAAAAGGGAAGATTTTTCGCTTAATGATCTTCCAAAATTCTGAAAATTTTCGCCTGCGGCGCTGAAAAAGGAAGAAATCTGGCTTCGGACCTTCCAGAATTCTCAAACTTTTCGCCTGCGGCGCTGAGAAGGGAAGATACCCGGACTTTTTTTCGACCCGAAACCCGATCCGAAGAAAATTTTGAAAACCCGATCCGAAACCCGACCCGACTTTTTGCTCAACCCGAAACCCGATCCGAGAAAAATTTTGGAAACCCGACCCGACATTTTTCTCAACCCGTGACATCCCTGCTCTCTCCTATACATAGCTGTCTTAATTGTATTTTAGCCACTTAATGTGCAATTATCCTATGTGCAATTGTCTAGTACACAATTGTCTCAATATGAATTGTCTTTGTGTCTAATTGTCCCAAAAGAACGAAAAAACATTTTGCCAACTATGGCATTTTGTTATTTAGAAAAAATTTTTCGGTGAAATGACAATAAAAAAAAATTTTGGGTCCGCAGGCGTGTTTTTCTTTGAAAAATTTACTTGGCGAGATCCAAAGGGATTAATCACGCAAAGCAAGAAAGTACAGGAAGGATCTTGCCTTGCAAAGCGTCCCTCACCGATCACTATATTATATTCATTTTAGTCTTCATTACAATGTCTCCACAAGCAGATCGCGATCTAACTTCTCTCATTCGACGTGCCAGAATGAAATTTTGCAACGAGGCCAAAGAAGATTTGGTTAATGTATTGAATAATTTTAAAGACCTTAAACCAGATGTTAGCAATTTTACTTTTGGTGATGGAATAAACAAAAATTGTTTAACTTTGGATGGAACTATTCCAATACATTATAAGGTTTATTTAGAAATTTAATTTTCTTATTTATTTTTTATTTTCTTTAAGGGAGGGAATTACCACATTCCAGTAATTCTCTATTTTCTTGACAACCATCCTTATATGGGACCTCATTGTTATGTCAAGCCGACTCAGAATATGCGCATTAAACCGTCTAAGGTGGTCGATTCTGCTGGAAGAATTTATTTACCTTATTTGTCTGAATGGCAATATCCAAATTATGACACTGCTGGTCTTCTTCAAGTTTATTTTTGGGTTTATTGATTTTTTAAAATTGTTTTAATTTAAGGTTATCACTATTAGTTTTCAAGAGAAATGTCCAGTTTATACTGTTGTATCGCCTGCGAATAACAGCAGCAACAACAATCATTCTACTTCTCAACAGACACCTTATCCTTGCTCAAATCCAACTCCAAATGCATATCCTAGTGTGTCGCCTCCTTATCCAAGCGTTGATCCGCCTTATCCAACAGTTGAACATCCATCTAATTTGATGCCTCAACCAAATGTTGGAGGTTAGAAATTTAAGAATGTTAATGTAGGCAGTTAATGGAGATTCTAGTACCTTTTTTGAAATCGGTTACTTAATGTTAAATTTTAAGAACTAGAATAATCACAGGGAAATTTTTTTAATTTTTTTGGAGTTAAAATTTTTGATTTGAAATAATGTTGGCCTGTAACAGTTTTTATTAGAGATCAGGCCGGGACGAGATTTCGATCGAAAATCTCGGTTATCGAATTTATCGGGATCTCGATTCTTTTCGACACTCCCAGTCCGATCTCTAGTTTTTATCATGCCCTTTACTCTAATTAATTTGTCTTTGGAGTAAATTTTTGAAATTTCTCTGTGTATACTTGTTTTATTTTTAGGATTTCCTGCACCAACTCACTACCAACCAGTTCCTCCTCCATATCCATCTGTTGAACGTAGTTCTATCTCTGCAAATCCGACTGCTTTGGGTACAGGTTATGGTTATTCAAACAGCACAATTCAACCAACACATATTAGAGCAAGTCTGTTAAGTGCAGTAGAAGACAAAATTCGACAAAAAGTTCGCAACAAAATTGGTTTATTTGAAAGGAATGTTTTTATTTAAATTTGTTTATAGAAATTCCATTTGCTGAATTGCAATCAGTTGATGCAAATCTTCGTGATTTACACAGTGGAAAACAAAAATTGAGAGAAATGATGGAAAGTATTACACGGGACCAACAAGAACTTGATCGAATTCTTGGAGTTTACACGGTTTTTTGTAAATTATTTTAAATAATTTTTTCTCTTTTTTAGTCTAAAAAGGAGGAATTTGAAAAGGCTTTAAAAACAACAGAAGCAAGCGGGTCAGATTTAAATCCTGAAGATGCTATTGATGCACAAAAGCTTGTACATAAACAAATTTTGCGATGTTATGTTCAAGTAAGGGAATTATTATTTTTATGACTTCTTGGTTTTTTGTCAAGTTTAGGTGTCCCATAAATCGAATTTTATGTTTTGTGAATCTAGGATTGGGTTACTTAAAGAGTGGGGTTATCCGATAGCTTATTCATATTAGTGTTAGCTAACCTATTTTGAGAAATTTCAGCCAACTAATAGCTCTTAAATTAATAAGGATAAGCTAACGAATGGTTCCAATTAAACTTTCTTAGGTTGCGAATCCAATAAACATCACATATGACTAGGATTGTCGGTTTGAAACCAAACCGAGTATTTTTCTCTTCGGTTCCGGGGATATCCGGTGATTTTCCAAGATACGACAACTCTTTCATAGGATAACTCTTCATAACAAAACTTTATTTTTATTTAAAATTTTTTACATTTCAAAGGATTGTGCAATCGACGACACAATTTATAGCTTAGGGCAATCACTTAAACGCGGTTCAATCAATCTACAGACTTATCTAAAACATGTACGTCAACTATCTCATCAACAATTTCAACATCGATTGTTAATGCAAAAATGTCGTGAACGGGCCCATCTTCCAATTTGAAAAAGAAAAAATTTTTGGAGAGAAAAGTAAATATTTTAATTTTAAAAATTTCTGCTGATCACTTTTAGTGATCCTTAAAAATGTAAGAAAATGAATTTTTTAATATTTTTAAGAAACAAAAAAAATTTTTTTAAAGAAATTAATTTAACTTTTAAAATTTAAATAACTTGCCTATAAATATATTAAAAATGCCATTTTTCAACGAATATCTTTTATATTTTTTCTAAAAAAAGTATATATTTAAAAATGTATTCTCTGTATTTCAAGTTTTTTTTTCGAAATAAATGATTGACAAAAAAGAAATTTAAGATTTTTTTTAAACACAAATTTGTGTAAATTTTGATTAATTTTTGAATTTTAAATTTACATTAAATATTTATATAAAAAATGTGTTTAATTCGTATGAAAGAAAAGTTTTTTGGTCTGCTTTTTTTTTTTTTGCAAAAACAGGCGGACTAAAACAGACATAAAAAATTGAGTATTTAATACGTATAAAACTCAATTTTTTTTATAAAAATGTGTTTGATTATTTTATATATTTTTCTGTTTTATCCAATTTAATCAAAATCCAATTTTTTAACTGTCCCGACTGATTCTCATAATTAAATAATTTTTTTTATTGTCCCAACTAGAAAAGGAGAAAGGAACCTCATCCTTTAAAAAATAAAATTTTAAAATTTATTAAAATATCGAACTATCTAAAAATTATAAATTTGTTTTTGAGAGAATAAATTTAATTTTACTAGATTAATTTTTTGGAATTTTCCTCAAAATAATTAACAATAAAGTTTTTTTATTTTATGTTTTTTTCATTTAATTACAAAATGTTCTCTAAATTAGAAAAAAATGTTTTATTATTTTTTGTTCATTCCTAAAGCAAATTAAAATTGTTTAGGGGGTATTCACATTTAACGAGCAATAAAAAAATGCTTAAAAATATAAGGATATTTTCTAAAAAAATTTTTTCTGTATTTAATTTAAAATATTTTAATTAAAAATAATTTATTTTTAAAATTTTTTATCTCCCTAATACTGTACACAGCAGGGATCGCGCCGACCCGATTCACGATTCCCGAAAATCGTGAATTCCCGACAATTTTTGTGTCGTGAATTCCCGATTCACGAAAATCGTGAATTCGAAATTTTCGCGAATTCACGATTCCCGAATCGGGAATTTGATTTTCTGTCGGCGCGATCCCTGGTACACAGTAAATGTTCTAATATTTCTAACTACATTTGCTTCTATTCTTTAATCCTCTCGTAGGGTGGATGTGCGGAAATAACGGGATTGGGGTAACTTTAGGCTACTTCAACTTGTGGAGTTTTAATTTACTTTTGTGCTAAAGCATTTCTTCAATAGGAATGTACTAGCCAAGACCCAGTGGCTATAATATTTAATAATTGTTATTTTCTTTAAATAAAAATTTTTAATAATTTAATAATTCTTTTTTACTATTAATAATTTTACATATATTTTTTAACCCAGTTTTTAATTTTAAAATTATTAAAAAATATCAAAAAAAAATTTTCACTTTTCATCTTTAAATCAAAACTTTAGGTAAACTGTTAGTTTAGGTTGTAGAATTTTAATTTTGGCTTTTACGTAAATCTTTGTACAACCTTTCAATGTCTTTTGATTTTAAATAAAATTTATTTAAAATAATTTTTATTTACCTAAGTTTTTTCTTTTAATATTTCAAAAAATAAAATTATTTAAAAAAAAGATTTTTTTATTTCCGATTATTGAGGGTGGAGGGGGAGTATTAAAAATAAATTGGAAATATTCGAAACAAATTTAATTTTTTATTTTTTTTAAATAATAATAAAATTTATTGCAAAACAATTTAATTTAAAAAAAGTAAAAAAAAATACAATTTAATTTCCCTTTATTTTACGCTTTTATTGTTTAGAAAAAAATAAAAGGAGGGGGGGGGGAATTTAAATAAAAATATATTTAATAAATGACATGTTTTTTAGAAAAAAAATTTTTTTTATTTAAATAATAAATAAATAAATTAGACTTTAAAAGGAGGCTTTACGTCATTTATTTATTTTTTTTTCTTTAAAATTTTGTTGATTAAAATTGTTTTTTTTATGAATAAATTTATAATTAAGAGAATTTTTTAATAAATAGACTAGTAATTTTAGAAGTTTAGAATATTTTATATTTATAGTCGAAAAAATTTTTTGAAAAATATTTTTATTAAAAAATAGTGTATTATTACTACTAGAGCCGGCCCGATACGATTTTCTCTGATATTTTTCGATATTATCAAACAATATCGACCGAGCCAGCGTCTGGGCTCTAATTATTACAGTCCAACTAGAGCCCGGAATTTTGTTCCATGCCGTATTACGTACCGTACTACCGAACAGAATACTGATACAGAATACCGATAAATACAGTCCGAGACCAAGTCAAGCTTTGTTTTTTAGTTACAACCAATACTGGAATAATAAATTTGAAATTTATTTAGTTTGCCAATTAGGGGAGGGAGCTGATAATCAATACATCCAATTTATTATGTATATCCCTCATAATTAAATACTTTTCTAATTAATTGGGATATAAAGTAATGAAAATTGTTTATGAAAAATATTCCTTCAGGTTTTTTGCAGCACCGAAGGTATCTAAAAATTAAATTTATTTTTGTTTCAATTATTATTTTAAATAGAGATGTAATATGTAGATATGCTCAAAAAATCTTCTAAAATTAATAAAGCTGTAATAAATATATGTATCTCTAAAATTTATAAAATATCTCACTCATAGTTAACATTTGAATCCTAGCATTTATTAATTAAATTCTTGTCCATTCAATCAGCATAAATTTTATTTCATAATTAATTAATTAATTTTTTGGATAACTTAAAAACTATATAAAAAAATAATTAAACTGTCAGAATTAAATAATTTTTAAAAATAATTCTTAAATAATTCCCTAACCAATTTCCTCATTATTTTATACCCCAATTAATTAAAAAAATATTTTTTTACATTTTACGTAGTATTTTTGAAATAAAAATTAATCTAAAAAATTTTTTTATTTTTCTAAATAAAAATCCTTTTATTTAATTATATATAAAATAATATTATTTTTCTAAAAATAATTTTTTGTGTGTATTTTTAATTTTGCATATATATTTATGTACATAATTGTCATAAATAATTTATTTCAAATTATTTTAAAAAGGTTTCGTTTTTGTTTCGTTTTTGTTTATTAAATATTTCCTCCTTTTTGTGCTTTGTTTTATTATGTAAAAGTTGCTAAATAAATTTTGAAAAAAATTTTTTTCTCGAAAATTTACATAAATATATTCCTCCTAAAAATGTCTCCACCCACCCACTTTCCCCTCTTCATTTTACTTTTTTTGTTCTTTAAATCTTTTTAACTTTAAAAAAATATTTCTGAGAATTATTTTTTGATTTTTTAGTTCCTTTTACTTTAAAATTTTTTTTGTTAGGATTTCTTTATTTTTTATATAATTTAGAATTTTATTTCAAAAATTTAGCTCTTTTACGTCACTTTATGATACTCCTTGAAGTTGAAAAAATCGTAACTTATTATAAGCTGTATATTAAATAGAGAGAGTATTTCTTAGGCAATTTGGGATAATGTTGGGGGTTCTTGAGAAATCTTTGGATATCTGGAACCGATAACCGAACCGAAAATTTCCGGATTCCCAAACTTCTTTTGGATCTAGATCTAGATATCTGAAACCGCTCCAACCCTAGTTTGCTAAAGCTAAAAAATCGTACCTTATAAGAGGTGTATTAAATAGGAGGTGTGGGTTCCACATAATCTTAGGCAATTTGGGATAGGTTTGACGTTTCCTGAGAAATCTTCGAATACCCAATCGGATCCGGCTTTCGGAACAGCTCCAACGCTAGTTTGCTAGTATTTTATAGTTGAGGTTTGATTGTAATTAATTAAAAAAATAAATAAACTTTTTTTAAATTTTCTTCCCAAAAATTTATTGAATACTTAATTTAAAGGAAAGACTTTTCTAGCTAAAATAAATTTTGTTTTTTATCCAATTTTTGGGCATAAAAGAATTTCTAAATAATTTGGTTTTAATGAAAGAGACTTAACTTTTTTATAGAGCAAATTAATTTAATAAAAATATTTTTTTGTCTATTTTAAACAAAAAATTCACATTTTTATTTATTTAAAATATACTCTCTACTATTTGTCTTCAAGAAAAAATTTTTTTATTCAAAAATTTCGCCCACTTCCCTGCGGGAATTAAAACAAAATAATTTCTTTTTTAACTTAAGTAATGTGCAAATTTTTCGTCACTTCCATTTTTTTATTATGCTTGAAGGATTTGTTTAAATTTTATTTCTCAAGTAATCTAAACAAGCCAATATTAGGGTGATAAGCGATTAAATTTTAAAATTTTTTTAAAGATGTTTTTCTGAAGATTTTAAAATTTTCTTTACGTGTCACACGTTTATTCGCGAATTTTGTTTTAATAAAAGAGACATTTTTTGAAATTTTAATTTTTATTAAAATTAAAAATAGATAGGGAACTTTTACTGGATTTTCTCTAAAATTATTCTTTTTTAAGTATTTCGTCTTACATTTTTTATTCAATTTAAACGCGACTTTTCAATAATACGTCACTTCCATTTTCAATTCTATGTATTCCGAGTAGTTTATTTTTAGCCTTCTTTAACTGTTGATCGAACAACACTCTCATTCATAAATCTACAACAAAATTCGGCACGATGGGTGTCGTATTGACGGGATTTTTTGGTATAAAATTGGGTACTAAGCCGATTTATTAAAGATCTATCGAAAAGAACTTTAATTTAATTTTAAGAAAGTGAAAAGGAAAATGGGGAGAGATAATCGGATTTTCTAAAATAAAGGGAATATTTGGACAGTTAATTTATTAAAATAAAGTATTTTGTCTTACATTTTTTTATTTAATTACTCAATTAGAGGACCTCCCCCAAATAATTGACCCGTAAGCAGAGGTGGGTCGGAACAGTCAGAGGTGTCGGAAATCATAATTCGGACCCACCTCTGCCTTATAGGTATTTATTACCTCACTTTAGCGAAGGATCGAAATAATAATTAATTAAAGCGATTAATTAGGTCAATATTAATTTTTTGAAATTTTAATTTCTATTCAAAATTAAAAATAGGTTAAGTACTTTTCACTGAATTTTCCCTAAAATTTTATTATTTTCTTTATTTATTTTTTTGTTTATTTTTATAAATTAAATAAAAATACCTTAAATGTGATAAAAATAAACAAATAAAAAAATAAATTTATTTACTCTTAAATACAATTAAAATATTAAATTACCTTCGATTAAATAATTCGTTGTGTTGTTGTTGTAGTCCACACCTTTTTCTCATATTTTTTGTGTTTAACGTCAAAAATTATTTATTTAATTCAATCCTTGTATTTAATTCAACCCTTTATTAGTCCTTGTTTAGCCCTTTACCCTTAGTTTGGAAGATTTTATTGAGGGTTAATTGTAATTACTTAAAAATAGGGACTTCCTAATGAGTGAGGTAATAGTTAAGTCATTAGGGAGTTTTGAAGTTTTTTAAAAAATAGAGACTTCCAAACTCCCCAATGAGTAAAGTAAGGTTGTTTGTTATCCATTTATCCTTGTATATTGTCGACCATATCACCTACGTATATTGTCGACTTTATAATTTTTATTAAATCGAGATAGGTTTAATCAACGATCTAATCAAATCTATTCAAATCTTCGCTCTTCTGAAACTTATAATTTTTAACTTCTACAAAATTCAGAAATGTTCCAACACTTAAAATCCCTTTTTTTAATTTTAAATATGTAGCTTTTAATTTGTCCCTTTAATTTTCTGCCCTAATTATTCAACTAATATTTTATTAATATTTTTAAAAATAAAATTTAGAAGTCCCCTCAATCGTACTTAATAAAAAATAATTTAAAAAATTTTTAAAACAATTTTTTAATTTTTTCCATTCCTTTTTTTATAAAAATAATATATATATTTTTTTATATATTTCACTTTTTAATGGCTTGATATACATATTTCAAAATTAACATGTTCAACAAAAACACTTGATAGAATCCTCTCGGGAAAACAATTTAAAAGGGGACTAGTCTATACATACTTTCAACTTTAAATTTTAAAAACTAAATAGATGATGATGGGAAAAAATTTTTTTCAACAATTGAGTGCCATCTCTCTCTTTCTTTCTCCTTTTTGTTTGGTTGGCACGAGATGTTATCGAAAATTTCCCTTTTTTCCAAGTCATTTTTTCAGTACATAAAAATATTTTTAAAAATCGGAAATAAAAGTCACGATTATTTGTTGTTTAGCTTAAAGAAAATTTGTTTTTTAAAAATTCTAAACAGATTATAAATCAAAATACACAAAAAATTTTTACAAATTTTAAAATACCCTGACTTATAAAAATATTGGCCCTTTACAAACCTTCAAATATAGGCATTTTCTTGAATAAATAGGGATTTAATAAATTTTAATCAAACTAAATTAATGAAATAACCAAATATTTGTTACTAAATATTATATAGTTGGGGTGAGGGGTGAGCGCATTACATTTTGCGTTTTACACGATTGCCTCTTACGCGCAGCAGTGATCGGATCTCAATATGGTGTCAACTTTCGGGCTAGAAAACCTGATAGTAAAGTGGTAGTGACATACTAATGGATGTCAGATTAAGCGGAAATGAACTATAAACTTATAGGGATATTAATGCGAGGTTGACATACAAGTACAGTGACACAATAAATGAGGTCGAAAATATATATCTAAATATATTTTTAATTTTAAGGGATTTCCTTAATATTAATTTAAAATTCAATTAATTCTCTACTACATAAAATAATAATAAAAATGCGCAGAAAGTCTTCATTTCCATTTTATTTTTCGCCTTCAATTTTGGCAATTTTGCTGTTTTCCATTTCCTTCCAATGGAGCCAACAAGTATCCGCCTATTATTCACAACAACTTTTCATGCCTAGCGGATATTTAAGCCATAATTTATTTGGATTTCAGTAAGTTTTTTTGGAAATAATTCAAATATAGACAGACCCCTATTTAGATACACCCAAAGACTAGGCAAGAGAGCTGTTTAAGTGATACTGCCTATTCAAGATATCCTCCTGTTATAAGGTCACTGATTTTCTCAGTCCCTAATTGGTGTATCTAAGTGTGAGATTAAAAATTTTTACTTACAAACTCCTCGCTTTTTTAGTTACACCCCTAATATTAAACAGCTCAATTTATGATAATTCTTTTTAAAACTTGGTTAGCGGGAAAGGGAGCTTAGGTATATCCCCCTATTCAATTATACCCCTCACTATTAAGGTCACTGTTTTTCTCAGCCTCAAGAGTTTATCTAGAAGTGAGATCCGACTTTAATAATTAAAATAATTAAAATGATTAATTTATTTTTAAAAGGCATCCTTCCCGAATTGGCGATTCTGGACATGTAAATACTGTAAGTGAAGAACCAAAAATGGTAATAATTGAAGGAGAACAAAATGACAACGATTTGGAGACAAAAACAGAAAATCAAAATTCAGCAGAAAAAGTAAAAGAAAAATTTTTTGAGTCAAAAAAAAATTTATTTTTCAAAAAAAGGAAATTCCTCGGCGTCAAATGCGTCATTTATTGGCTGATGAATTTGGTACTGGTCGAATGGGCCGACAATATAAGCGAATGCGACCTTGCTTTTATTCGCCAATTCAGTGTTTAATGAGAAAAAGGCGATCGGGAGAATAAATAAAAATTAAAGAATAAATTTTGTTTTTTTATTTGAAAAAAGAAAAATGGCTGGGCAGGCTAGAGAAAAGAAAAAAATTTTTTTAATTAGAAAATGATCTCAAAAATTATTTTTTAAAATATTTCTTTTTCTCCCTCTTCTTTTGTATGAAAAAAAATTATATTTTTTTGATAAATGAGATTTTATATATAAATTTATTTTTTAAAATATTATTTAAAAATTAAGGATTATTTTATGTTTGAAAATTTTAAAAATATTTATCTTAGCTTCTCTTAAGTTTCTTGCGTAAATTGTAAGTGCCTTTTAATTAATAAAATCAAAATTAACCTACCGTACTCTTTAATAACTACCTGGGTAATTATTGTTTCGACTTTTCACTGGAGGAAGTAGTTAATCGAGGGAGGGTATTTATACGGGGTTTGAAATCTGAACGTGTTTTGTTTTCATTTGTTTGGGGGTAATTATTGTTTCAATCTATCTCTGGATTGGGTATTTAGTAGAAGCGGGGGTAATTATTTGAGGGAGGGCAATAATGCAGGTTATACAGTAATACTTTTTTATTTTATGATCTGGATTGAGTTGCTACTTAAAGATTTAGGGGAATGTGTTAAGAGGGAAATGTGTTATCAATTTAGTTTCATTAATTAATTGAGAACAAAAGCTTTTAATTAAAAATTCTTTTTTTTCTACAATTAAAAGACTCACAATTTTCAGCCAAAAAGTTTACTCACAATTCAACTAATAAATATGAATAAAAAATAAAAATAAATTTAAATAATTTTCTTTAATCAAATAGAGTGGTAGACAAAGGAATAGGGGGGACAAATCTCAAAAAATATTTATCATTTTTGTCCCTTATTGTATGTATAATTTACTAAAAATTAAATTTTTTCCTTTGATTTTTTTTCTTCTTCTCATTTAATTTCGTTTCCAAATCTTTTATTTCCATTCTTAATTTTTCATTTTCATTTTTAATATATTTAAAGGTTCTTTTACAATTTCCTTCTTTTTCACAATTTTCTTCTTCTAAATTTCCCAAATTTATCATTTCACCGCTCTTATTTTTTAAATTAATTTCATAATTATCCTCAATTAATTCAATTTCATAAATACATTTATATTTCCCTTCAATTTTAATATATTCACATTTTTTTGCTTGTTCAATTTCCGGTATTGGTCTATCCAAATTTATATGTCTAGTTTTTTGACTATCTAAAAATATAAACAATTTAAAGAGCCTGGGCCTGTTCCTGGACTCAGGAGTTTGTTTTGTTGACCTCTCTCTCTCTCCAGACAAGCAGATTACTGTATATACTCTATTAATTACCCTGGGTAATTATTATTTCAACCTCACTATGGAGAGGATAATTAATAGAGAGGGGGGATTAATAGAGGGGGTGGGTAATTAATAGAGGTTATTTATGAAGGCGAACTATACCTATCTTTAATTGGGGTGATTATTGTTTCGATCTCTCGTTGAAGGGGGTAATTAATAGAGGCTAGGTAATTATTTGATGGGAGGGTTTTGATTGTCGGTCCTGACCAGATTTTCGGCCATAGGTCAAGGAAAAATCAAGGGACACTCAAAAATCTTCCTGCAAAGGGCCGACATATGGAAAAAATGGCTTAATCTTGACTTTGGATCCAGAAGAAAATTTAGGCCTTGATCCAGACCAGGCCGATCTCCACTAAATTTATTCATATTTACAAAAAATTAACAAATATTTTTTGCAAAATAAAATAATTATCTTTCGATTAATTTGAGTAAAAACCTTTTAAATATTCAAAAAAAGCTTCTGGCATCCCATTTTTAGTCAAATTATTATATTTTAAATAAATTGTATCAACTGGACATGGAGCAGAAATTATTAAAATACCAAATATTGCCCCTTTTAAATATTTAATTGGTGAAATTTTCTTTTCCAAAACATTTTGGAATTTTATTTTAATTTTTTCTTTAAAATTTCCAACAAATTTACAAACAGAATTTGACCAATTGTTAGGTGAAGATTCTACTCCCATTTCAAAATCTGGTAATACTTTGGATGTGGCCCTCCCTTTTCCTTTCTATTTTTTCCTTTTTTTTTCTTATTTTGTGGCAAATTATATACTCGTCTCTTCGAGTCGAGTCGAATAACACTAAAATCAACGAGATCTGACTTAAGTCAACACGGGTATGATTTGTTTTAATCCCTTGAAACAGGACAAGGTTTTTCCATCGAGGATTGTAAAGCATAGGGCTATTTAATTACTAAGGCTGTGCAGTAGGGCTAACACATCAGTCCGGACTACTGAAGGCTCGCTCTCAGTCGCCAAATAACCCTTTGCAATAAATAACCTTTTGCACTAGCTAATGGAGAGAAATAGCTATAGCCCAGTTGCCTTACTGGATTGAGATTCATAATCTTGTACAGAATGATCAAATCTAACCGATAATGGTATCATTCGACCAAGCTCGAAGAGCTCTTTGAATAAAATAGGTTATATATCAAACGAAGAGCTCATATTGGCCAGGGAAACGGGGAAAGAGGAGGTGAAGCGTGGGCGAAAAAAAAGGGCATTTTTAGTTTATTTATTTATGTGACAATCACATGTACAAATTTGTACTTTTTCGATTAAAATAAAGCATCAAAAGAAATTTTTTTTAAAATGAAAAAAAACAAAAAAAATAAACATAGCTTTAGTAATAAATCTGATTTTCTATTGGGACCTCTTGTCACATCCGGCCTACTCACCAGACTTGGCACCTTCTGATTTTCATGCATTCCAGTCGCTGAAAAACTACCTCAGAGGCAAACAATTAAAAAATGATGAACAGCTCGAAAGACAATGGATTGCTTCCAAACTCGGCACAGACTTTTGGGAGAAAGGAATTTTCAAAAGTTTACAAAGCGCTGGAGACTTGCAGTGTTACACAGTGTTACAACAAGGAGATTATATCGCTGATTCAATTTGTTTTTTGTTTATTTATTACGTTTTGTATATTGAGAAAAGATGATAATTAATTATACTACAACTCAATATAAAGTGGAGAATTGTAGTGTTGCAACAAGGAATAAGTTACAACATCTAATTATTCTATTAAAACTCCCTTTGCTTCTATTATAATCCTCATAATTTTCATTCAAATACAAACATCGCTCCTACTCCTTAAACCTCTTTTTTTTTTAAATTATTCCTAATATTGTTCCAATTAATAGCCAACATTTTTTCTAACAAAAATATATTTAAAAACAATTAAATGGGGGAGAGATTATGCAGTATATTTAATTATATATATTTTAGTTCATCAAATTAAAAAAAATTTCTTTAAAGCTTGATGAAACCAAAAATATTTTTATATAATTAATATGGCGCGGTTAAAGAAATAATTTTAAAGAAGAAAAAATTAATTTTTAAAAACAAAACAAAAAAATTCTTTTAAAGTTATGGGAGGAGAGAAAAAAAAATTAATTACTATTTCCGATGAAGGTCAAGTTTATTCAAGGTTATCTTTCTTTCATTTCTTCTTTTTGGATTTAAATATTTGTTGTTGTCCGTCTTCTATTAACTTTTTATTGGTTCCATCAATTCTCCACTGCTAAAAGTAATCAAAAATAATTTTTTTTATTATTTTTTTTTCTAAAATTTGTTTTTATTGTTAGTTTGTTAAACAGGTGTTTTTGATTCTTTAATTTAAACTGAAGACTAGAGGTCTAAATCAGTCATCATAACCAAAGACTAATATTCTTTATAACTGATTAATAACAATTAATCAACAACTCTAACTAGTATTTACCTATTTTCTATATAGTATTTAATTTTTACAAACTACCCACCAAAATAAAAAAATTATTTTGAGGTTTTATAATCAAAAAAACTGTCCCATTTTTAATCCTATTCAAAAATAAATTTTTTTAATTTAATTTTACCAGCTTTATATTTTTAAATTTACCTAATAGTAGTTTCAGAAGTAATATTATTAGCATTTCCATTAGTTAAAACTTCTTTCGATTTCTTTTCAATTTTTGTATAACGATTTCCAGAACGTAAATAAGTTTGATAAAAGAAATTACAAAAAAGCAAAAAATAACTCAAATAAATTAAAAGAGAAATGTAGAGATTAGTCCAAGTATTTTGACATTCAATTCCAACAGATTTTAATCTTTAAAAAATAAAGATTTTTTAGTAATTGAGTTATTTGAAGCAGGGAGAAAAGACAGACTGGGTTTTAGATTTTGGTTCGAAAAAAGTCCAGATTTCGAGTATCGGATACTGGTGAGGGACTGGGTGAGAAAAAGGTCAGATTGGGTTTCGGACAGGCCCGTAGCCAGAATTTTTTTCGAGGGGCCAAGGGGGGAATTTTTCTCCATCCTCTGGCTACGAGCCTGGTTTCGGAAAAAGGTTCGGATCGGGTATTGGATTTCAAACTAAAAAAAGTTCAGGATTCGGGTAACGAATAATCATTCCCCTTCCTGATATTGCTCAAATTTGATTACACAAACTGAAAACCACAATTAAAAATCGGTGAAACCGAAAATCAATTGACAGGCTATAAATCGAATTTGAGCACCCTATATGGACCAATTTCTGTTTTACCAATTAAAAATTTTAAAGATCTGAGAAAAATACAAAAATTTTAGAATGAAAAGAAAGTTCTCAAAATCCCCTTCCAACCAACACAAATATTAATTTCTAAAATAAACATCAACAAACAAACCTGACGATATAAATACTTATAGCTAATCCAACAATCATTTGAGATATTTGTAAAAGAGTAACAAAAATTGCAGTCCATTTGGGTAATTTATATTGTAAAGCTCTTAGGGCATAATAAGTATACCTTTAAATTTTGATTTTTTAGAAAAAATTTTCAGAAAAATTTTACATAAAAGAATGAACAACATAATTCATTGCAATAAACCATCTACCACTAGCAGCATGATCTTTGTACATCATCCAAGTTGAGATCAATACCTTAAAAAGGAGATTTACAACAAATTAAATGGATTTTGAATAAAGGTAAAAATGCTTGGAATTAAAAAAATTTTTTTTGAATACTAATACTGAAGGTGTTAAAAATTTCTAAATTTTCTCAAGTTTCTTCTAATTTTTCCTAGGTTTTTGTTTAGTGTTCAGAAATTTAAAATTCTATAAATAACTCTCAATTTCGTACAGGCTTTCTTTCTCCCCAAACTCTTACACGCTCAATTTTTCTCGTACCTATTATTATTCCCCATAGTTTTTCTCCAAAACAGTATAGGCAACACAGGTACGAGTATGAATTTTGATACGAGAAATTGGACGGATTCAACCAAGGAACAGATTTCCTTGTTATTTTACTTCGATCGATTTATACAAGAATTTAGATAAAATTTATTTGAAATTGAGGGATTAGAACTTTGCCAAAATCAAAATTCTGCGAAAATTTCGAACCAAGGCCTGGGTTTTTCCTATATCCAGAGTTCAGGCACAGGCATTTTTTATACTTCCTGGGTTTTTCCCGGACTACAGGCCCAGGATCCGGCCCCTAGAACTCAAGAACAGGCCCAGGCTTCAAAAATCTCGATCTCTACTTGAAATTTTTCCACTAATTAAATAGTTAAAAATTTCCAAACCGTAACATGATGATACCAATGAAGAAAGATTAAAGGTTTTTTACGCAAAACAATAAAAGCAGTATCGGCAAATTCAATAACCTTTAAAAATTAAAAAAAAAATTATTTTTTAAATTTAAGAAAACCTTAGACATTGCAAATTTATCCCCCCAATATCCACTAATTCCTTGGGCATAAGAACCAATACAAATTGAATAGAAAAAAGAATTTGAATTGACAGACCTTTTTTTGAAAATAAAATTTTTTTAAATTAATTTTTAAAAAACCAAAAAAGTTCTGGTAACATTCTAGCAGCCCCAACAGCAGAAAATGTTGCCAAAAATATATTCCACCAAAAAAGAGCATAATCCAAAGCAAAAGGTTTTCGATTGATCATTAACTTTAAAATGAAGAAGATTATTTAAAATAAATAACTTTATTTTCCTTTTTTCTAGTTTTTAAGTCTTATTTCAAATCGAATTCCTTTGGAAAAAATAAAAAATCGGCAATACCAAGGCTGCCCCCTCCCCTTTTTTTCTGTTCCCCTGACCATTTTGAGCATTTTTGCTTGACTTGGAATTACCAACAAATCTTTGAGAACACCCTTTAACAACAATTTTATGTCCTTCAAAAACAGTTAAAGCTCCTTGTTTTTTATGTCAAATAACTCAATTTGTTGAGCTTTTCAAATTATCTATTTGCCCGTAAAGGACCAAAAAAGAATCCGAAAAATTTCGAAAAAATTAGATTGGCATTTTTTAAAGTATTAAAAAGATTTTTTAATAATTAGTGAATAAATATTTGAGGTCGGTAAAATCGCATTCCCGGGATACCGTAACGGGATTCTTTTCAAAAAATTTTACGAAACAGGATCCCGTGGGATTAATCCCGTAATCCCAATAATCCCGTTCGACGTCTAAAATACGAAATTTCGGGACAGGATCCCGTAAAATCCCGTACGGGATCCTGTCCCGTGCCGAGCTCTAATAAATATATTTAATTTTAAAATTTAAAACTTTACTTTTTGTCCACCAAAAATACCAAAAATATAGATAACAGATAAAGTAATTGAATGAATCCAATTTCTTCGCATCCATTCAGTTGAAGAAACCATATCAAATGAAAGTTCATAAGAAGTAACAAAAGAATAATTTTCAACCCCGTACCTTGGGAAATAATCGGATTTTGCCATTTTCTAAGATTTTTTAAAGCTTAAAATAAAAAATTAAAAGAAAATTTATAAAAAATGAAAGAAAAAATATCTGCAAAAAGGTTAAAAAAGAGAGAAAGAAAATTTACAGAGATCAAAAATGTTTGGCATTCTGATATTTTATTTAATTAACGCGTTTTTCAAAAAAACAAAATACTAAATTACAGTGCTGGGTATTTGTTATTTGTTGGCCCCGGCTCCAGGTAGAAAATCAACGAATTATTTTTCATTGGAGAATTTGAATAAATAAAGGGTGTATCGAGTGATATAAGAGGATTAAGCGGGGTATAAATGGATTAAATGGGATTTGGGTGGAGCCGAGTTTCCCAAGACTTTGAGAAATTTTTTGATACTAAAAAATGGAAATTTAATTCAAAAATAGTAAAGATAAACGCTTAGAAACATCTAAACGCGTGCGGAAATATATTTCTCATTCAGAAGCATCGAAATAGCTTATAATTCCAATTTTGAAAATTTTACTCAAAAAATTTATATTTGCCAAAATAATTTTAATTTATCATTCATTTACGTCGAAGCTGCTTGATATTTTCGTCATTCGAATCAAATTTTAGAGCTGATTCGAATGATATGAAGATTTCCCATATCAAAATTTTAGTCTTGAATCTAGGCCAAATTTTATTAGAAAAATCTAGCTCAAACTTTGAGAAAAAATTTATTCGACTAAATTATAAAATTTTAAGGATTTTTTAGTATCAAAAAATTTCTCAAAGTCTTGGGATTAAAATAAAAAAAGAATTATCAATTTTCGATAAAATTGAAAAAAGTTATGACGCAAAGAAAAAGTGCGCCCAAATTGCCGCACCCTGTATTAAATTTTTATTTTGCTAGCAATGATTCATACTTAATTTAGTAATAATTTCCGCATTGTTTTTTAAGATAGTTTAATTATTATTTTTATTGTTTAATTAATTTCTTTTGTGTCCCTTCTATTAGAGATAAACATTTTTTATTGTAAAAAGGGGATTTTGTTGATTAGCATTTAAAACGATAGCTAGGAAGGGATTTTAGACATATAAAAAAAGAGAAGGTGAAAACAGATCCCGATATATAGGCTGTACTTTAGTATAGGCCCACCGAGATTGAAACTCGAAGTATATAATATTCTATTTGCCTCGCCGAGCGGAGTTCAAATATGCAAGAAATTTCTGCGGGAGACGAAAACTCGCAAAGATATATAAGTCCCCGAAAATCGAAAAACCATTAGGGGGAGTAAGCTGATAAGTAAGCTCACCAAGTACTTTTACTTGGTGAAAGAAGACACCTAGCTAATAATTGCCGGGAGGTCTCAAAGCGATGCCTGCCCGGAACTAAACTTTATTTAATTTAAAAAATAAATTTTATAAAAAAAGATCAAAGTTTATTTTTTTTCTTTGTTGTAAAAAAATAAAAGGTGAAAAAATGTGATGATTATATCTCTTGTTTAAATTAAATGTAATGAAGAAAAAAAATAAATGGCCTGAGTAAATAAAATATGTGTAGATAAAAAATATTTTTAATTATTTAATTTAATTATAAAAATAGTTTTAATTAAATTTTTTGTTCTGGCAAAGCTTTAATTTAATTAATTTAATTAGTATACAAAAAGGGCCGCGGCTATAGTATTTTACCTGGATGCCCCGTCAAGTGTACCCCACGACACCCACAAATTTCAGGAGGCTGCCGTTATGCTGTCGGGGTTATAAATTTTTTATTTTAATCGGCTTTTTCGCTAGTAAATCCTAGCTAATAATTGCCGGGAGGTCTCATGTAAGTGATGCCTGCCCGGCATCACTTAAAATCCTGCATTCCACCAGCAACAGAATACCATTTAGCTCCATTAGTAATTCCCCCTTGCCTGGCAAAATTATTTTGTGCTGTTCCATCGCAGGGTTCATGATCGTTTTTAGCCATATGTGCATGTGATTTTGCATATGTTTCGGCAAGATATCTTTTTTGAGAATAAAGAATTATTTATTTAAAAGTAAAATAAATATTTTTCGCTAGTAAATACAGACGAATCTCTTTTTTGATTTTAATTATTATACATATGTATGTATATAATATACAAAACCAAAGTTTAAATATTCTAATAATTTAAAAATTAACTTGTTTTTGATTTTTAAAAAATAAAATTAATTAATTAACATTTCTTTTATTCACTCTCTTTCACTCAAAAATGGTACAATTTTAATTGATTCACAAGTAATTTGTTAAAATTTTATATAAAAACTTAGAAACATATGTATTACATAATTATATATTTACAAGAAAAATGAGGGGGGAAAGGAGGGGGATTTTGTTAAATACCGTATTTCCTAAAATAGTACGGCCGGCCGTACTATTTTTCAACCCTCTTCCAAAGGGCCGTACTATTTCAGGGGGCCGTACTAATTTAGGGGGCCGCACTATATTTCAACCCTTTTTCAAAATTATCTGAATCATTTTTTGCTTAAATTTTTTTATAGTATCCACAATAGTATGCTCGGAAATTATCCCAAATCAAAAGCTTGTTCCAAACATAAAATTAGCAGACCTTAAAAATTATTTAAGACCCGTCTATAATGACATCTGGGCAATCCCGGAGAATCGTGGTCCGTGCGGAAAAAAATCTTAAAAATAAGAAAAAGGATTTTTCTAGGGTAAAAAATTATGCTGATTACGAATCTGAACTCGGATTTTGAAAAAGTCGAATCCCGAACCCGAAATTCGAACATTTGACATTTTTGGAAAAATTTCGAATAATAAACAGAGCGCAAATTGGTCAAATAATTGCTCATTCGAAAGAGCTCGACGAGTTGAGTCGAATGACACCAAAGCATATTTTTTTACCCTAGAAAAATCCTTTTTCTTATTTTTAAGATTTTTTTCCGTAGGGACCACGATTCTCCGGGATTGCCGACATCGGTATCAAACTAAGTTTTTTAATTTCGATGTATTAAGAGAGTAGAAAAATTATGGTGCTGTCCATAATCAAGAACGATGGGGAACCTCTGATATCGATAGGGAACCTCTCATGAACCTTTCATATCCTCATATCTCTCTTAAATATTTCATATTCTTCAACGTATAATATAAAATATTCTTTACATTACCAGTTTATCTTATCTTAGCCTCACTATAGTGTACCCCTTGGGGTAAAAATGGTATCCAGGAATGAACTATAGAGAGGTACTATAGAGAGGTCCGACTGTAGTTATTCATATATTTTTAATGATAGCGCAAATGTCCTACTATAGAGAGGTCCGACTGTAGTTATTCATATATTTTTAATGATAGCGCAAATGTTCTCGGCGCAAAAGTCACGGAACCCTATAAACAGGTATATTCGTTATTCACCTTGATTCCAACTAATCCTTTTAAATTCATCCATACTTAAATCACTCCAAGTCCATAAATATCCTTCCAAATCCGATAAAATCCCCATTAATCCCCGATATCCTCTTAAGCACTCCTATTTCTATACCAATAGATATTAAGATTCAATAAATTAATTAAATATTGCGAGGAATAATGACTATGATTAGAAAATCAAATTTTGTCTATTTTTATATTTTTTAAATGGGGGCCGTACTATTCTAGGGGGCCGTACTAATTTAGGGGGCCGTACTATTTTTCAACCCTCTTCCAAAGGGCCGTACTATTTCAGGGGGCCGTACTAATTTAGCAGGCCGTACTATTTTAGGAAATACGGTAACCGGTAAAAATATATAATTAATTAATTTAATGACCGGTTAATTTTGTTGATTTTTTGGCTTTTGAGGTTGGAGAAAATTAAAGTTTATTTTTTAATAAAGAGGGGAATGAGAGATCAGTTTTATAATATTTTTTAAAAATTTCTCTTTTCTATACAATTTTGTTTTTAAAAACGTTGTTGTTGTTCTCTCGCCATTTGTTGTAAACGTAAAAGTTGAATAAATTCTGCTGCCTAAATAAATAAATAAAAATATTAGAATTATTTTTTTGTTGAGTTTTGGAGTTAAAAAATGTTTAGACCCTCCCTCGATCTACTACATTCCCAAATCTACCCTAAAGCTTTCGATTAAATATATAAAAGTTGGGTCTAGTCAAATTTTGCATGATTCTACTTATCTCGCCGAGAGTTAGATGGTACCAAAATTGACTTACAAATTAATATATTTCTACGTTATATCGAGCTCGAAGAAGAGTCCCTTTCTTTTTTGATTTTCAGAATGATTGTTAGTTATCGGAAAATCTTGGGATATTCGTTTCTGAACCAAAGAATCGAACCTAGAAATCGAGAAACCCTTGGTCCAATTCATTCCCGAAGCGACAACCCCCTAGTTCTCATGTAGATTTTAATTTTGTTTTACTTGTTCAGGTGTAAGCATTCCCTCATTTTCATTTTCTTGTTCTAATTCACTTTCCAATTCTTGTGCTTCTTCTCCATTTTCTTCGGGTGTAACGATTAATTGTTGTTCTTCTTTTTGTTTAATTGGATTTAATTTAAAATTTAAAATAACTGGACGACGTTCAATAACATTATTTAAACTTAAATTAACAGCTCTAACACCAATTTCATAACCTTCAGCCTCAACAGCTATTTGGTAATGTCCAGCAATTAGAGGGCGGAAATAGTCACCAGTGATCCCTTAAAATGAATTTTTACTGCAAGATGGGCAATAATTAAGCTAGGATGGAAAAGTGGGAAGAAAATGATTAAATAAGGTGTTAGTGTCTTTAGTAGTAGTGGAAAAGCGGTTACTAGTTGATTGAAGGTTTAGTTGGAAGTAATTTAGTTGAGTATTTTAGCTATCAGGGATAGTCCGGATTACCCGAAATCGAAACCCGATCCGAAGAAAATTTTCTGAACCCGATCCGATAATTTTTCTAGACCTGGTCAATCCCTGCTAGCTATTAGCCGGCGTATTAATCATCGCAAGCGTTTAATCCATCCCGCAAAGACTGTCTCATTGCCGCAGCATAATAGAAGGACTTTCCTTCTATTTTGCCTGTGCACTTGCACGGAAAAACCTCTGGGATCCTAACCAACGCACGTAACCGTTAGCTATTAATTCCATCCATTTAAATAAAAATGTTTACATGTAGTGACTGGATGTTTAATTGCATTTCCTTTTCCTTCTCCATTTTTTGTTACATTTCTAACCCAAACAACAGCATTTGGAATTGGTTCACCCGTTTCTGAATCTTGAACAATTCCTTTAATACCCATATGTGCAAGACGAATAAATTCGAGTAAAGCTATTTTGTTGTCTGCCCAAAATTGTGGTAATTGTTGGGGATTCGGCATTTTTTCACATCCCAATTCTAATGTTATTTCAAAAGCCTAAAAGAATATTAAAGATAAAATCCTTCAAATACCAAATGTTGGGACAGTATATGGGGGATGTAGTTAAGAATGGTAAAATAAAGCTGGATAACATTTAAACAGGCGTGGGCTATGGGAGAAAGTAATGCTATAATCTCGATAGCCAAGATAGTGACTGACAAAATTTCTGACAGGCTATTCCGGCCTGGGGCTAAGCTTGCATATTAAGATCATCCAGGAGACCTTAAGTTCTCTTAAAAAAGAGAGGAGTATTGTATTTAGGAATGATCCTTCTCTTTATTAAATCCCTCTTTATATTCTTATGTCCCCATATTTTATTAATTTTTACATTAGTAGCCAAATAATTAAAATCCTGCATTCCACCAGCAACAGAATACCATTTAGCTCCGTTAGTAATTCCTCCCTGTCTGGCAAAATTATTTTGTGCTGTTCCATCGCAGGGCTCATGATCGTTCTTAGCCATATGTGCATGTGCTTTTGCATATGTTTCGGCAAGATATCTTTTATGAGAAGAAAACATTTTATTTAATAGTAAAATAAATATTTTTCGCTAGTGAATACAGTCGAATCTCGATATTACGGACGCTGAGGGACTGAAGGAAAAGTTCGTTATATCGAGAATTTTATTAAATATAGGAGTCACAACAACACAAAATTCAAAATAGAGGGTATCTCTTCTCCTTTTATTAAATCTGAACTACCTAAAAGTAGCATCATCAGGTGATTTAGAATAAGCACTTAAAGACATCGGTTCTCGACTTTCATCAAAAGGGTAATTAGCTACCATATCCCCTTCGTGCAGATTTGCAGAAATAACAAAAGGCCAAGAGAGTATCCATTCCCCAACAGAACTGACTTCTGGCTCGAAATGTTGTTGGTTTGGATTTTGGAATAATTCTAATAAATGGTCGTAAAAAGGCCAGCTTTTTGATTCCATAAAGTAAAAGAGTGTATTTAGATCCGGAAAGTTTCTGTTTAAGTCAACGCCGTGGGCATTTCCTCTTCCTGTTAGCCAGCCACGATCTTCTGGTTTCTATAAAATATTTGTTTTTTATAAAAAACATTTAGACTCTCATTATAAGAGACACACCTCTTAAGGCTGAAGAAATTGTATCTTATAATGGGGGTATCCTAAATAGAGGGTATTGCTTAGGCAGCTCTCCTTATACAGTAACAGCACATTTTAAAAACCGTATCTTATATTGGGGGTATCTAATATTGGGTGTGTCTTATAGGTAGGTCTGTTTGTGCGATTATTCTTTACAGTTTTGTAGGCCAATTCAAATCCATCAGGATTCATTGACGGCATAATATGAATATTTGTTGAATTTAATAATTCGACAATCGGTCTTTGTGCCCCTCTCCACGCATCACATAAATAATCCGCTAAACGAATTAAAAGTTCCCTTCCAATAGCTTCATTTCCATGCATATTTCCAACATATTTAACTTCTGGTTTAACTTTAAAGAAAATTTTATCTCAAAAATTTTTCACAAAAAAAATATTTTTTACGTGTTTGATGACGTCCAGGATGCAATGAAAATTCAATAACGGCTAATTGCCTTCCCTCAACACTTTTACCGACGCTGTAGAGACGAGTAACGCTTAAAGAATAAATTACCCTATTAAAATGCCTGGGTAAAATACTTTGGACATTTTTTATTTATTTCTTCCATTTTTTCTTCCATTGCTTTTTGGTTATGATATCGAGTCCAGAGTTCGTCATTTGATGATGAGGCTTTTTGTTTGTTCCAGAAGAAGAGGCCTATAGTTAGATTTTTTAGTAAAATTCATTTCCTTATCATACTCACTAAAATGTTAAATAGGAGAGACTCCCCTACCAGAGGTGGGTCGGCATTCCGGTTTTCGACGTTTTTAACTTCCGATTTCCGATTTTCGAAAAAATTTTGATTCCCGATTTCCGTCTTTTGAGCCAGTTTCGATTTCCGGCTCTTCCAATTTCCGACACCTCTGACTGTTCCGACCCACCTCTGGCCCCTACTTAGGTCAAGGCCTGCTTTGGGCCTGGGTAACCTAGCTTGAACCTACGAATTTGTGGAGTAGTTTGTCTGTTTACTAACGTGAACCTCCTCGGATAAAATAATGATTTCCAAAATATAAATGACTAAGCACGGCACAAACGGGATTTAGTTTTAATTACCCATACTTTCCACAATAATTCCTTAAATGACGTCATAATTTATAAGAAAATCTTACTTCCAAAAGCCTCATTGATAATGAAACAAGATAACAAGACCGGCAATATTATTTTAGTGGAAATCATATCGACGATTTCTGTCGATTCTTAAAAATTTTTTAATTAAAATTATTTAAATTAAATGTTCGTTTTGCCTTTAAGGCAAAAAAGCTTTAGGGGGGAATGAAACACAAACTGGGGAAAGGAAAGGGAAGGAAAACTGTGGTTGGCCAATGCCTAGGTCGGAGAATAAAATGGAAATGTATTGACAAATATTGACAGATATATGTATAGAAAATACTTGGAATTTTAAAAAAAGAAGGAAAGAAAAAAGGGGCATCGACTGGCAGAAATGCCGTAAAAGAGAAGAAAATGCCTAGTAACTAAAAAAAGGGGAAAGAGGGTAGAATGCAGTATTTCAATAGAAAACCCCGTTAAAAGGGGTAGAGAATAAAAAAAATTTTCTAGAAAAAAAGAAAAAAAATACACTAACGAGTAACAAGCTTATTTCACAAAAAAATTGAGTGGGCGATACTGCGAGTTAAGTAAAGACAAACATAGAGGGGGTATTGACAAGAAAAAAATAATGAAAGGGGTTAGTATCTTTTTAAAGTTCTTATCAAAAATTAATTAATTTTTAGAGAATTTGATAAAAATAAAAATTATTAAGGCAATAAAGATACATATTTAATAGAGTAATTAAAATATAAGGAAAATTAAAAAATTATCAATTTTAACTGAAATTCTTCTCTTTTACTCATTCCCCTATTTTTAATTTTCATCAAAGGTCGGTCTAATGCCGAAGATGTCGAAACTCGGAAATTATAATAAAATTTTGGAAAAATTTGAATTAATACCGTATACCCTGTATTAATTGACCTCCCGAAATAATTACCAAACTTCTATTAAATACCCCCTCCGGGGTAGATTGGAATAATAATTGCCCCCCCCCCAACAAATACCCTGAAACACGTTAAAATTTCAAACCTCATATAATTACCCTCCCTCAATTACCTCCTTATTTACCCTCCAGCGGAGGGTCGAAACAATAATTACACAGGGTAATTATTTAAAGTTTTATGGTATATAATTAATTATTTAAATTTTAAATTATATAAATTAATTTACTTTTATTTAGATATAAAAGAAACAATTTAAAAAATATTTTTACAAAACTAAAGAATGTTTGATCTATTAAGTAAAATGAGAAATTTAGAAAAAATCTCTCATTTTTCGTTAAAAAAGAAAAATTATTTTTCAAAATTAAATTTAAGCCTTTTTTTACATTTACGTGCATAAATGTTTTGTTAATTATTCTCTTTTTTTAGAGAGGGGATTTCCGGTAATTTAATTATTATTAAAGAAATAAAAAAATAAAAAATTATTTTTGGTTTATTTAAAATAAATTTATTAAAAAAAGTTTTTCTGTCAAAGAAAATATTTAAAAATTAATTTAGTTCAAATGCACTTCACGAGAATATAGGTAGACTTTACAACAAAATAAATTTTTTGGTTTGGGTCCAAAATTCTTTTCTTTCTTTCTATTTGGGAAGTAAATAAAAATAAAGAGAGAATTAATTACTAATTTTGGCTGTACTCCAAAAATTAAAAAAAAAAAGAAAAAAAAATAATTTTTGAAACCTTAATACCAGTCTATTTTTAGGTATATTCTTTTCGAATTTGTAAATCAGATGATTGATAAAGTTACTCGAAACCAGACTTTTTTCGTTCCGAATTCCGATTCATGTTTGAAAATTCGATGTTTTATTGTATTTGTTGTGGGGCTGAGCTGGATTATAGCTATTTCTCTCCTTCAGCTATTGCAAAAGATTATTCGACGGCTGGGAGCGGCTGGGAGCAAACCAGCATCTTCAGTAGACCGGACTGATGTGTTATCCTTCACAACACATTGCCTTCTGTACAGCCTTAGGAATTAAATAGCTAAATGCTTTACAAAGTAGGGAAGACTTGTTTTTCTGTAAGATTTGAGAAATATTAAGAAAACCCTTTAAAAATCAGGATACTTATAAATGGTCTACATATAATAAAATAAAAAAAAATATTGCTTAAAAAACATGCTATTTATTTATAAGAAATATTTATATAGAAATTCTTATCATTTATACTAAATAAGAACATTTATTTAAATTAATATATATTTATTTATTGACCTTATTTATTACCCATATTATTTAAATAAATTTATTTTAAATTTAAAAATAAAAATGTCCTTATTAAACAAAAATGTTGTTAAATTAATTAAAAAAGTTTGGTCCTTTGAAGAAGCTTTTGAAATATTTAAAATGCCCTTTCCTAATTTGATTAAAGGTTTATATTTATTTAAATAAATCTTAAAATTTTTTAAAAATTTTCTAGAAGCCCAATTAATTCATTCAAAACATCACAATCCTTGTAAAATACAAATTAGCGCCCTTTTAAGTATTAAAACTGGTGCTTGTCCAGAGAATTGTTCTTATTGTCCACAATCGAGTTTTTATAAAACTGACATTAAAAAAGAGCCTTTAATGGATTTGGAGTAAATTAAAGGGAAATTAATTAAATACATATATATTTTTTTAGAAAAGTAATTAAAGCAGCTAAAATAGCAAAAGTAAATGGTGCAACAAGATTTTGTATGGTTGGAGAATTTTAAATTTAATTATTGTAGGACTTCGTTGACCTTATTATGACTCATTTGCACCTCATTATGACCTCACCTCATTTTTAGATACACACAATATACCTCAATTTAAGAGATGTTTTTTTTAATTTTGTTTGGCCATTGGGGGAGGGAATTGCATAAGGGATACCCTCTATTTAAAGTATCCCTCAATATAAGGCACAATTTTTTAGCTTCATGGGTGTATTTTTAATGAGGCCAATTCTATGTCCAAATATGTTTTTAATTTAAATAAAAGGGTGCAGCATGGCGTGGACCAAACAACAGGGATTTAGAAAAAGTTTGTGAAATGATAGAAAAAGTAAAAGAGTTAGGATTAGAAACATGTGCAACACTTGGACTTATTAGAAATGATAAACAAGCAGAAAAACTTAAGCAAGCTGGTAAATAATAAAATAAACTATTAAATATAAAGGGGATCACCCAGAATATCGACGCCCAAATATCACCACCCAAAATATCGTTGATTCTAATTAACGAAAATTAATATTTGAGCGTATCATGATCATGTGTTATTCATTTTAAGGCCTCGATTTTTATAATCACAACATTGATTGTTCCAAAGAATTTTATTCTAAAATTATCACAACAAGACGATTTGAAGACAGAATTGATACTTTAGAAAAAGTTTTTAATTTAAATTTATCAAAAAAAATTTAATTTTTGGGTTCGTTCTGCTGGAATTAAAGTTTGTTGTGGAGGAATTTTAGGAATGGGAGAAACTAATGAAGATAGAGTTAAAATGCTTACTATTTTGGCTAATATGGAACCTGTGCCTGAGTAAAAAATTATTTATAATTTTATACCTCAATTTTAGATGCCCCCAATATTACATATACCTCTATTTAATGACCATTTTTAAATTTTGATTGGTCACAAAAGGAGAAAGGGGGTGGGATTCTACTAGAGATCGAGCTGGGTCTGGGTTTTTACCTAGGCCTGGGTTTTTCCTATACCGAGTTTTTCCTGTACCGAGTCTTCCTGGGTTTTTCCTGGATTACAGGCCCAGGATCCAGCCGGGGTTTTTCCTCAAACCAGAGTCCAGAAACAGGCCCAGGCTTTTCAAAAATCTCTATCTCTAATCCCTTCCACTTCTGTCGTCCTCAGAATTTCGTTTTTAGATGTTCCACTTCCGTATTCCCCCTGGGGAGATTCCTAATTTATACCTCCATTTAACCCCATTATAAGAGGCGATTTTTCAACCTCAAAACGGGAGTATCAAAAAAATAAGGATTTGATTGTGTATCCAAATATAATTTTTTTAATTAAAAGATCAGTTCCAATAAATAAATTAATTAAAATTCCTGGAACACCTTTAGCAAATGCTGTAGAATTGGATTCATTCGATTTTGTAAGAACAATAGCAACTGCACGATTATTAATGCCAAGAGCATATATTAGACTTTCAGCAGGAAGAGAACAAATGGGAGACGAATTACAAGTTTTTTTGACAAAAAAAGTTAAATTTAAATTTCCATTTTTAGGCTCTTTGTTTTCTAGCTGGAGCTAATTCTCTCTTTTATGGAGAAAAATTATTAACAGCTGCTAATCCAACACCTGAACATGACTTGAATTTGTTAAAAAGATTGGGTATGAGTGGGGAAACAATTGAAAGAAATAAAGAAGAGGAATGCTAATAAATACTTTTATTTCCCATTATAAATAAAGGCCATTAACTAGGAAATATTTTAACTACCTAATTTATATTTTATAAATTTTTAGAAAATTAAAGTAATTTAAATTTTATTCTGTCATTACAAAACAGAAATAAATTAAAACAAAAAAGGGGTACTTAACGGTTATACGCCCACAGACTGTGTGCCAGCCGAAAGTGATCGCTTTAACTTTTTGATGCTTGATCCAATTCAAATAAATCTTATAAATATCATTCGAAAGCCCTCGATAAGAATATTTTTCCGGCTTAATATATCAAATATGATCACCCGTTAAAATATTATAATCCGATAAATGTGAAAAACACCAAATAACTGGACTTATCGTGTGTAACTTTTAAATGCGTGATCAGACTTGATCTATCCTATAGTAAAGGGTACCGCTTATCGAGGGCTTTCGAATGATTATCAAGGGCTCTCGAATGCCCATGATAATCTATCCTATAGTAAAAGGTAACGCTTATCAAGGGTTCTCGAATGATATCTTGCGAATGATATAAGATCTATTTGAATATGATCAAACTCAAAAAAGTTATAGCAATCAATGACGGATGGCACTCAGTTTGTAGGCGTATAATAGTAAAAGTACCCAAAAAATATTTGCATATAATTGAGATTGAAAACTAAAAATAATCAAATTAAAACTTAAAATAAATTAAATTCCTCGTATATCTTGATGAAAAATACCTTTAAAGGCAGATAAGTATTTATTTATTTTTAGTATTTTTTGTAGTAGTCACCAAAAAACCCGTTATTTCTCTCTTCTCATTTTTCAATTTAACTGTCTTCTTCCAAATTAAAGTCCTCAATTTTTGCAACAATTAAATTAGCTTCATAATTATTCAAATATTTCTCCATTAATTTAACAAAGCGTCGCTTAACCAAATTAAATTGCATCAACGATTCTGGCTTTTCATAATCCCAATAATCTCCAAAAAGTCTAAAAACACAGCCTAAAATTTAAAAATTTTTTAATTAAAAAAATATTTTTAAATTAATTTACAATAAACTTGATGAAAATGATCCATTTTGAGTGGAGGTTGCTCCAAAACATTGTAAAAATGATTTTTAAGCGCATCATCAAAAAGTAATTCTTTACAAAGTGCTGTGATTGTTATACCACAGATGGCGAATGGAAAACTGTTTTAAAAATAAATTTTAAATAAGGCTTGGACATGGAATACAAAAGAATCTAGAGGTGGAAAATCCGAAAAAAGAGAGGTATCTAAAATTTTAGGTGGCTACGGGGCAGGGATGTTAAATTAACAGGGAAAGATGAAAGAGAAATACCACTAAAGGCAAAAATTCGGCGAAAACGCATTGTAACCGGCAGATCCCTGCCACGGGCCTGTCTCTCACCCCAAATTTTAATGAACATATCCTAAATTGAGAAGAGGGAATCTTATAGTATCATTTAACCGTAATTTAAAAATATATACCCATAAACGGGATGCATCGAAAGAGAAAGAACACGGCGGCAGTTTTCCACATCAAATTGAGCAAAAAACACCAATTGGTCCAAACCAAGCATTCCCATTCCGCGAAAGTCAGTCTTAAAAATATTCTTATTCAAAAATATTTACAGAAACTCACAGCTGGGTCATCTCCTTGAAAGCCAATATCTTGCCATTGGTTGGAGACACGATCAGTCAATGGCTCATCTGGTTTCAACAAAGCCCATAAACGCAACAATTCCTTCTCGTGTTCCTCAATTTTGCTGCAATAAATTTCAAGTCGTCGCTCCTCAACCTATGAAAATCAAAAAAATATATGGGCTGTGAACAACCCTTAGGTTATTGGTAAAATATTTGGGTGTTCTGTTGACCATTTGAATTCTAAAAATTTATGAGACTGAAAACGCTGAAATCACGAAATTAATGGATGGTCACAGAAAATAATCAAAAAAACCTCAAAAAATATTAAAAACTTCAAAACAAACTTCTTGAATGAGCTTTTGGTATCCTTTAATTTGGCGCATTGAACGGGCCAACGTCTTAGACAAGTCATGACGTTTCTCATCTTCCATAACAGACTCCTCAAGTATTGCTTCAGCAGCCTCGGTTTCGTCTCCAGTGTCCCAAGCCATTGACTGAACTAATTCATTCGGGAATTCTCTAAGCATTTTTTCAATTCGACGATTTCTGGAAGCACGAGTAGTCTCTTTCAAGATCTAAAAATTAATTTTTAGAAAAGATAATATAAAATAAACCCATACAATGTCCTCAATAGTTTGTCTGCGTGTAAAAATTTTAAGAATTCTTCGACATAAACGAGAAAAGAAATTGAAAATTGGACGAAATAACGATCTAATAAATGACCACATATCTTTTTTAAAGCTCTAAATTTAAAAAAGAATTTAAAAAAGATTAAAATTTAAAGGAAATATTTAATTGAAATTAAAACAAAATTAAAAAAAAAAATAAAAATTTTGTATTTAAATAATTTTATTCAACAAATTTATTTATATAATTTACATAAAATTAACATATTTAAATAATTCACAAAATTCCTCTTTTTTTTCTTTATCCCATAAAATTAAATACGACAAGATGAAGAACAACGTGGGCAAATATAAAGTCAGCGAATGCACGTTCAGGGCTAATATGTTGAAACTCGTGTTTATTTTCTGGGTTAACTTGAATGCGAAGATTGGCTGAAAAGTAAGCAATTAGTTTATTAAATAATCTCAGATATAATTTGACCAAAAACTAATAAATTATTCAAAAAATTTCTTATTATCAGAATAATTTAAAAATTAGTAATCACAGGGTTTACAGGATAAAACCAATTCAAAACAACTTCGTTACAAAACTGTTTTTATTTTTCAGGTGTGTATCATGGGTGCAGCTCGTCTCGTATACTGTGAAATCTAGTATTTTTTATCTCGTGTCCGTATTTTCGGTACGAGCTGCACTTCTGGTTAGAGGCCCATTAAAATATTTTCTGTTTAAAAATTAAAGGAATACCTGCAAGCACAAAACTAGCAACACAAGAAATAAATCCAGCCAAAAAAGCATTAAAAGGAAAAGTCCCAACCAACAAGCAATAAACAAATTGCAAAACGCCTGTAATTAAAATATAGAACATGTAAGCATCAATTATTTTTAAGCGTTTAGGCGTTGTTTTTTGATAATCAGTATATAATTTTGAGAAAGCATCGACAACTCCAACCATTTTTATTTCTAAATTTCTAAAAAAAAATTTAAAGAAAATAAAATTTAATTTTTAAAATATTTCAGGGTTTCTTCAAACCTTTTTTTTTAAAAAAATTAAAAAATAAAATCAATAAAAATTCTTTATTGCTTTAAAAATCAAGCAAAAAATTCTTCAAATTTATTTAAGGTCAAATTCATCAAATTCAGAAACAGATGACGGTTCAGTCGAATTATAATGTTCTCCAAGAGAATATGCATGCCTATGGTAGGTCAAAAGTAAAGATTCTGAATCATCCTCCCCAAATTTGTTAATTGTCCCGTCGGCATTTAATACTTGAATACAAACATTTAAAACTTCACTTAGTGCACGGATCTAATTTTTAAAAATATTTGAGAAAAATTGGTTCTACTTGACTTAATGAGCCCAATCAAAAAATAATTGGATTTTTCTTTACATTTTGAATTTGGGGTTGGGTTCCATAACAGTTCTTCATGTTTGGGACCTACGCTCACTGGGACTGGGACCATTCCTTACTATTCCGTGAAATTTCTGAAAGCTAAAAACGTTTTTCTGAAATTTTAAAAATTGGCTATAACTTTCAGAAATTTCGAGGAATAGGGTAAGGAATGGTCCTAGACCCAGTGGGCGTAGGTCCCAAACAAGAAAAATTTTTGAACCATACACCTACTTTACAATACCAAGAAAAATCAACAATTTTTTTATTGGACTCATAAAGTCAAGTATAGCCAAAAATGTTTTTTAAAGAAACCTCAGGTTCTCCTCCCCAGTCACCTCCTTTAGAGCACATATGTTTTACTTTGTAATAATAGTCATCAAAAGACTCTTCATCAACCAAGTTCCCTTCAGAATTAATTAAATAACCAAGAAATTCGTTTTTGTTCTTTCTTAACTTGAAAATAAATTTTTAAAAAATAATTTTAAAAATTACTTAATAAACTTGGCTGCCATAATTCTTAAATCCTCTGCTGTGTGCTAAATAAAAATTTCAAAATTTAAATTATAAAATTCAAACCTTTATCCCTTTCAATAAAAAATACTGATGTGAAATAGCTCTGTAAAGACAATCACCATCTGGGGGAATATCTTTCAATTTATAGTTCCTCTGTACAAGAAGCTGCTTGATGGCTTCATTTTCTTTGTAGCTTTTGCTGTAAACTGCACTTTCTTGATCTTTTTGAGAAGCTTCCAATCGCTTAGCTTCTTGTTCTTTACGTTTGTTTTCCTAAAGAATTCTAAAATACTGTCAGATCTCAATGAGGTCTCAACCGGTTCATTAAATTATCATTTACCCCGCCCTAATTTTACTCAATAAAAGGGGAGAGGACATAGGCCAAAGGGCCTCCGTTCAGTTTTCAGTCTTGATTCGGTCAGGTCCTCTCCCCGGCTGGCTCATTTAGTTTGTATTTATTTAATCTATTTCAATAGTTCTAACGGTAAAGGTTTAAATTCGGCGGCCGCACTCTGTTTATTGGGTTCGCCCAATTAACGTAGTCCAACGTCCCAGCCGCACAGATTATTAACAATATTTACCTTTTTCTGTTGAGATTTGCTTAATTTAATTTCTTTAAAGAAGCTAGTAACAGACTCTACAGCAGAATCTTGCTTTGTTTCCTCCTCATGTTTTTCTTCATCTTCATTAATTTTCACATCCTCATTACCCTTCTCTAACCCAAGTAATTGCTCATCATGTCTCTTCTTCAATTCATTTTCCATTTGCTCTACTTGTTGCATTACTTCCTTCTTCTTCTTAACGTTGTTCTTGGGAATTGCATGTTTTAAAGCTGTTATTTTTGCTTAAAAATTTAAATTAGACATTCTAAATTAATCCCAAAAAAACCTCTCATTTCTTTTCGTTCCTTATTCTGTTGAGCTTTAAGGATTTTTAACGGCCCATCCGCCTCCTCCGAAGAGTCATTCTCGTCTGACATTTTCCCAACTATTTAAGGAAATTTAAAAAGATTAAGGATTTAATGGAAAGATAAAAAATTTGTAATTTAATTACAAATCAAAAATTTATTTAGAAAAATATTCAAGTCAAATATTATTAATAATAGATAAAAGGAAAAATGCAATTGGCTTAATCATTTTATAATATTTTATATGGAAGTGCATGTTTGACGTTATAGTGCACGGTTTTTCATTATAAGGGGGAACACGTGCATTCTTTTAAATTTGGGATCGGCACAAATGTTCTTTAGAGTACTTCAAGGATAACAGCAAGAAGTTTTTGAAGACCCTCCACTGTTAAACTGATGCATTGGACGGACTCTGAGCTGATCGCCTGTGGCCGAATTCCTTTCGGGCATCTAAATTAGTGAAATGTGTGAAATAAAAAGTAAACAAAACCTTGCACAAAATTGCTTCAGCCAGCTCATGGAAAGCCTTGTCAACATTAATATTAGCCTTGGCAGAGGTTTCCATAAAATTAATTCCATGGTCTGAGGCAATCTTCTCACCACGCTCTTTGGAGACTACCCGCCGATCAGACATATCGCACTTATTTCCTAATAACATCTTTACAACATCTTCGGAGGCATGCTTCAATAAAATTGGGGCTTTATAAAATAAGATTAATAGAACCTCATCAATGTGTCGAAGCCATTTGGAAATATTGTCAAAGCTCCTTGTATTAGTGATGTCATAAACCTTTAAATTAAAATTGAATTTCAGTCTCATAAAGTACTTAAAGCTTATTATAAATTATCTAGAGATCGGAACGAGTCCGGCACCCTTTCCCGGTTTTCGGGTCCCTTTTCTTGGTTTTTTTGAAGCAACTGGGATGAAACCGGGAACGGGAATTCCCGGCCCGGGTCCCTCCCGGTCAACTTTCAGAACCCGTTTCCCGGACCCGGTTTTTTCAAAATTCCGATCTCTAAAATTAATCCAACCTATATTACTCTATTAGCTCCCTCTCCCCATTCATTGTTAGTACTTTAGTATGGCTGAACAAATAATAGAAATTGGAGGATAAAATAAATAGGAGGGATTCAATTTTAAAATGCTAACACCCAAAATTTATAAAATCACCATCATAATGCCCATTGCTCCGCGGTAGTAAGAAGTTGTTATGGTGTGGAAACGTTCCTGCCCGGCTGTGTCCCTTTAAATTGTTAATTATGCGAATAACACAAACCGATATTTTACCATATTTGTAGTTTGATCTTCTTTCCTCTAAGCTCAATCGTTTTTATCTTAAAGTCAATGCCAATTGTGGAGATGAATGTGGTATTGAAAGCATCGTCACTGAATCTTAAAAATTGGGAAAATTTAAGTGGTCGTTTTAGCTTTAGAAAGACCATCTAATAGTGATCGAGCTGGGCCTGGACCAAGGCTTGGATTTTTCCTGTACCCAGAGTCCAGGCATTTTTTGACCTTCCTAGGTTTTTCATGGACTACAGGCCCAGGATCCGGCCAGGTCAATAAATCGAACCCAGAGTCCAGGAACAGGCCCCGGCTCTTAAAAAATCTCGATTTCTATTATCTGATTAACCAAAGGAAACAAAAGACAAATCAAATATTAAAATTAAAATAACCTGTATAAAATACAAGTCTTTCCCACTCCACTGTCACCAATAAGCAATAATTTAAAGAGAAGGTCATACTGCTTCTTTGCCATCTTGGCCAAGGCGATTATTGAATAAAGCAGAAAATAATATTCTTAAAAATTTCTTTAAAAAAATTAAAAAATATATCAACAGATAGATACAATTTTGCAAAAAAATTAAGAATAAAATTTGCTTATTTATTAAAAAAATCATAGGAAAGTCCAAAATGAAGAGTTTAAAAATTGATTAAAAATAATTTTTTAATTTATTTCTGGTCACTTAAATGGGCTAAAAAATTAAACATAAATATTAAATGAAATTTTGAAAGAAATGAAGAAACCAAAACATAAATAAAAGATAGAAATAAACAATGGGGGGAATTTTTTAAGTTTTTTTCGAATCAATGATATAATACACCATGTTCAAGATGCATTTCCCTAATTAAAACTGCTGTTCTCTTTTCCACTGTTGAAACATCATCAGGCTTCATCTTCTTTAAAATATTTGCCCAGTCAAGTAAAGTAAAAGTTCTTTTACTTAAAAATATAAAATTAAATAAAAATTTAAAAAATTGGCGCTGGTCTAGTTTATGCGTCCAATCAAAAGAAAATTGGATTTTTCTTTGTGTTTCAAAGTTGGGTACTGGTTCCAAAACATTTGTTCATGTTTGGGGGTCCTAGCCCCCGTGGACATATGCCCGAACATGAATAAATGTTTTGGAGCCATACCCCAACTTTGCAACACCAAGAAAAATCCAATTTTCTTTTGATCGGACGCAAACCAGACTAGCGCCAAAAAATTATTTTAAATTACTTTTCGCTAACAAATTGACGTAAACGATCATTTAATCCTTGAAAAAAGACTTCCCAATCTCCAATTTCGGGCACAGTAATAACAACAAAATATGGCACATGCGATAACCGAAGAGGATATTGAGATACTTGAAGTGGATTTCCATGCATATCCTCAACATTTTTTATTACTTTGACTGTTTGATCATTTCTTTCCAAATTAAATCGAAGATCACTTTGAACTTTTTTCATTTTATCATCAAACCAAGCATGTAAACTTTTCAGAAAATTTATAACTACTTCTTCTTGTTTAGCCTCTGGGTCAGCATAGTAAATATTTAAATCCATTCCAAGTAAGATAAAAACTAAAAAAATAAAGTTGAATAAATATAATCATTTAGACATGAACATAGGTATTTGGTGTGTGAAGCAGAGATGGGTGGGTCAGGTTACCCAAAAACCGAACTTTTTCAATCTGAAACCTGCTCCGAATTTTTTTCAGTGAATTATTCGTGCAACGCTCCCAAAATATTTAACATGAACTACCTCAGTTCCCTTCTTACACTCTTGTCGAACCTCCCCAATGGGGTTGCCATTTTCGAGTCGAGCCAACGGTCGAGGCATTTTTTTCGGGTTTGTTTTTATCGAGTCAGGCCGATACGAGTCACTTTCAAGCCAATATGTATCTTAGGCCCGACTCAATCTTTTGGTCCGAGTCGGTCCATTTTGGCAACCCAACTCCCGAGTCTAATCAGTTTTTAAAGGAAAATTTAATAACAAGAAAAGAACCTCAACAACTTTAACAAAATAAACCATTCACCTTTACTAAAATAAAAATGTTTTTGGCCACCATCTTGCCACCAACGATCTAATGCGTACATAAACCATCTAAAAATAAAAAATATTTTTGAGTATTTATAAAATAAATTACTCTGGCATACGCGGGTAACCCATAGAGAAAATGGACATATTCTTAAAAACATCTTCATCCAAAGGTTCCATTATAGAATCAACAATAAACAGTCGAGAAACACGATATTTAAAACTAAAGAATTTCGTTAAAAGCTCCATAAATTCTTTTCGAATAGTTTCTTTTAACTCAGCAATTTCTTGTGCTTTCTTTATTAGAGGATTGTCTCTCTGAAAGAATAACGGGTTAAATAAAAATATAAAAAATTATTAAATACCCTTGAAATTTTTATAGGAAAATCAGAGCTTGGGACTTTTTTGTAAAGGGTAGATGATCCACTTGCGACAGCTGGAGCATTTTCTCTCGACGATAGAATGCGATGAGTCTAAAAACTTGCCAAAGATTAGTTAAAAAATATTTAAATTTTACCTTTGTAAAAACTCTTTTTGTTTGGCCTGTTAATGTAACCGTTTTATGCTTGAGAAAAGCTGGACTTGTCTACAAAAAAAATATTTGATTACCAAAATTAAATAAAATACAGCTTGGAAGACATTAGGAAACACGGTATCTTCAGTATAATGAACACTCTTTTCGCATCTAATTCCATTTTTTGATCTCAAAGTTGATCTGAGCGATGAACTTTCTGAAAATTAAATTAAGAATTTCAATTTTTGAAAATTATACGAACTTTTAATTTTAATAAATTGAATACTACTCGATGAACTGGAACAAATTTGAATACTAGATTGATTACTACTGCTTGGAGAAGTGTCTTCGAGTTCACTGTCCTCAACTTCAGAAGCCGAAGAGCTGAAAAAACAAAAAGAATGATATTGACAAGAAAATTTTTTTAAAAAACCTTAAAGTCTCTTCCAAACATGCAAAATTATTTTCACGGATATTTCGGGGTTTTTGAACGGGTTCCAAACGAACTCGACTCTTTACGGCAGTTGCTTTTGGTTGTTTAATTTTGGGTTGTTTGATTCTTTGTCTAATTCTTCCTCGAGTTTCAAAAACGTAGTTTGGGGGTATAGTATCGTAAGTATCGTCCGAGATTCTTTGTATGATTTGTTGTCGTCTAGTTGGCTCATTAGGTTTTTGTTTGATTCCGTCTGAAAAAGAAAAATAGAATAGGATAATTTAACTAAAACCTATTGAAGCTATTGGAATGGCAATTGCTTGACTAACATTATTCAATGGTTGACTATATTCTTCATCATCATTTGAGTCAATAGTAGTAACTTCTGGAGCAGGTTCAGGAACTGGCGAGGGTTGCTTAGCAAAGATATCCTCAATCTCTTCTGTTCGTTTCAAATAAGGATCAAATTCATCATCAGACTGGACTCGATTCTAAACAAAAATTGATAGCATAAATAGAAAAAATTTAAAACAAACCTCAGAAGATTCAACAGTCCGTGCCCTTTTTCTAGGTGGCGGCAGACCACGTTTTCTAAGTGAATTTGAGTTATCTTTTTCATCAACTTTCAATCGAATGTTAAGAAGTTGTCGCTGAAAATAGCAAAGTTATACTGTTTAAGTTTTATAATCGAAACTGAGATAAGTTTGTCATTATTTAATTTAAGTTGAGCTTCATATTCAGCAGCTTGTGCATATTTTAATATATATTTGCGACAAAAATCCAAATCTTCCAATTGATCCGATTCAGTTGTTAATTCATTGAAACGTTTGGTTAACCAAGCAGCGTCAACCGGCACACCTTTAAATTTAATTATCATAATTCAAAAAGTAAAATTTACAGCTGCAGCTTGCCATCTCTATAATTTCAATAATTAAGGTAAAGTTTTCTTGTCTTCCTATGATTGTAGCATAACTTTCTGTGAAAGGGTTTTCCTGTAAAATGGAGATCTGTCTCTTAAGAATTGCTTCATTGCAGCGATTTAAAATAGATCTAGGGCGTTTTTGTTGAACAATTTTTGGCTTTACTTCAGTTTCGCCTTCAGATTCGTCAGAGGAAAAAGAAGGAAGGGTAATATTCATTTCCATTCTAAAAACCAATCAATTATAAAATTAGGGAACAATTTAGTTTTTGTCACGCCTCATGTAATTACTAATGAACAACTAACTCATTGTCTGAAAGTCCCCAAATATTTATGGGAAAACGTTGACAAAAAATTTTACAACGTACTAAAAGAGTAAGTACAGCACACTTGGGCGCAGGGACATCGGCGTAAGCCAAAAAAATATTTCTTGAAGCGGGAAGAGTTGAAAACGGGAGTTCACGGAGGTTAACTTCCAAGACTTTGTTCTTGACTCCTAGATATTTTAATTTGAACATTTGCAAAAATATGTTGTGAAGTAGGTTAAGGGGTAATACTTCGGCTGACGCCCTCCCCCCCCCCCCTTTTCTCGTTTCCCTGACCATTTTGAGCTTTTTTGCTTGATATGCCGCAAGGGGTTAAAACAAACGGTAACAGCTATGTGGATTCAAGTCAGATTTCGTTAATTTTAGTGCGAATCGACTCGGTTCGAAGAGCTGAGTCGATCTAATGTATCCACAGTTTTTAAAGTGCAAATCATTTAAATTACTTTCAGACTTTTTATAGTTCGGGTTTTCTGTAATGGATACAGAATCTGATAAATATGGACGAAATATTTTGCAGCAAAATATTCGTGATTTGCTTGATTCCAGTCTGCCTGCACAAATATCTCAACTAGAAGAAAGTACTAGCCGTTTAGAGCATTTAGCAGCTTATTGTGAAGCCAACTACCTCCAAGTATTTGAACTAATTTTTAAAATTTTTTACTCAAAATTTTTTAATTTTTAGTCACAAAATAAAGCAGACGCCCTACTTTCAACAAAACAATGTACTCTCCAAAGCCTTGCTGGTGTAGCCTATATTGTTGGGGAATTATCTCGCTCTCTACAAAATTCTTTAGAGCTAGAGCAAATTAATTTGTCTCAAAAGACGGGGGAAATTGAAAATATCTGTCAGGTTAAAATTTAAAAACATAATCTTTAATTCATTTTTTGAATTCTTTAGCTTATTGCAATCAGAAAAGAGAAGGCAGCAAGACGGGAAATTGGCAAATTGACAACTGCTAAGAATGTGGTACGCCAAACAAAAATAATTTATCCATCAACAGAGGTTGACAGAAATTTTTTAACGATATTTATTTTTTAAATTCAGGAACCAACTCCTCGTTATCAACGGACAGCGATTGATTTTTCTATTTTGGACGGTGTTGGACATGGCAGACGCATTACCACTTTACACAATAATGATTATGGAAGTATTGGGCATTCATTAGGTGTTATGAATGCATATGCTGCTTTTGCTGGGCATATTTCGGGTGATAGATCTTTATCAACAACTTCAGCTGAAAGCACTGATGGGGTAGCTATTGGTGGCGTTGTTCAACAGCAACGTTTACAACCCGTTTATGACTACTATTCTCGGTCGGGCAACTATGGAACGGTAAGATATTTTTGGAATATAATTCTTTGATTTGGGAGAAACTTTTGGATTAAAGGGAAGCCAGGGTGTCACTTTCCAAATCACCAAAAAGGGGCATGGACCTCAAAGAATTTCGGGGCTCAGTCGGCCAGATTTTTTTCATTTTAAGCGCCACAGGCGCTGAAAATTTTGATAAATGCCAATAAGTGGCAAAAAAGTGGCAATGCAGAAAAGGGGCTAGAAGGTCATAAAAGGAGAAAATGCCCCTAAAAAGAGGTAAAAGGGATACCCTGAGGGAAAATGAACTTTTGACTGGGGTTGTTTTAATTTCAAATATTTAGCTAACTCGAGGTTCAATCCGCTCCGCAATGGGTGGCGAAGCAACTAATCAAACTCAATCTGCTCATCAACAGTTAAATTCTTCTCAAAACTACAATCGTTACCATTCTTCAATGCTTCAGCCAGCAATAAATGTTGTAAGTCAACAACAGATTTATGGGGATGGACAACACGCACGTTATGCTTCAACAATTGGATTAAATGAACAAACAAGGCGACAGACAATTGGAAATACAAATAGATATAACAATAATAATTGTGATTATGGAACGTTAAGACCGCAACAAGTAACTACAACAATGCCAATTCAAAGTGCCGTATCACAACAGGATCAACATTATATGATTAATTGTCATCGAGGAATGGAGGTTTTGAAATTTTTTTTTTAAATTTTTCTTTTTTAGTTTAATGAACTTGGAAATAACGAACCTCTAGACAAATCTGCAGATTATTCAGGTTTTAAGTAGTAAAGAACCGGACAGACCCACTTTATTCCTCCCCAATTTAGGGAGGGCAAATTGAAAGTAAAATATAAAAAATAATCCTTTATGTTTGATTTAGGCAAAAATTAGAAAGGCAATTTGGATGGAAGAAAGGAAAAAGTCTGACCATTTTGCTAAAATATAGGGGAAAATTGGGGAGGAAAAAAATGGGGTCTGCCCGGTTCAATATTACCAATATTTTTTTAAAGATGACGCTCTTCCTCTTCCCCCTCCTTTGTTATTAAGTGCTGTAAACATAAAGGATGACCAACATATTCAACGGTTTGGCAATGAGCACGATGATAGTTTTCCACTTCCCCCGCCTCCATTAACAGTCGAACAAGAATCTATTAATTGTATGGCTGTCCCAAACTGGGTGCCTCATCAATATATCGAAAAAGGTTTTTATTGAGTATTTTAATTTGAAAGAAATTTTTATTTTATAGCGTACGTGTTATATGATTATGAATCAAGAAATGCTGATGAACTACGTTTATATCAGGGAGCGACTGTTTATGTGTTGAAAAAGAATGAGGATGGGTGGTTTGAGGGAGTAATGGATGGAATTACTGGACTTTTCCCTGGAAATTATGTTCAGACATTACAAAATTAAATTCCAGATTCTCTTTAAGATATACTTAATATTTATTAAAATTAAATACATTTCTATGCCTTTCTTTGCCTAGTTTTTTTTTTAATTTTTCATTTCATTATTTATTATAAACGAAATAATTAAAGCTTTAATTAATTTTATTTTTTAAAAGTGCTCATTGGGCAAAACAAACTGTTAAATGTCAGTTTAAATATCTCAAAATATGTTTGACTGGGGAGCAGGCCGATAAACTGCGAGCCCAGTATACTGCCGATCTATTCCAAGGCCTCCCGGATTCGAACTTTTGAACGAAAATAGCTCGGCGGTATATTGGGCTCGCGGCATATCGGTGGTACCCGTTTGACCGTTTATGTCATGTTTGTTTGAAACCAATTGTCTTTTTGCAAATTGTCTATTTGGCAAAGCATACTTGATTTGGCGTCCTTTTTCGATTTTTAATTTTTTTTTTAAATTTTCTAAAAATTTTAGATTTATTAAAATCATCAATAATATGGAAAATCTGGAAATGAACTATGTCTTACATACTTTTATGGATTATTCCCATACAAAACTCTCGTATATTCTTAAAATGCATGATAAACTTGAGCAACATTGGTTGAGATTAAAGGATATTTTGGAGCAGGTTTTTTTATTTTTTAAATCTTTGAATTACAAAATTTCAACAGAAATGGTTTGTGATGGATGGGAATGAAGAATTGATTAATTTAAAAGTTGAATGTTCACCGACAATTCAGAGAGAGAACAAGGCTGCGAGTATAATTCAGGTGAATTTTTAATGACTTCATAATTAGTACATTAGATTCTTATCTCCAAAAATTTTTTTAGTTTTATTATGAATTTTGGGGCCACTTTTGACAATTATTTCGATACCCTAATCATTCTCCTTTTTAAATTTTGATTTTTAGGCATGGTGGCGCGGTCTTTGTTATCGCAAATTTATGTTGCAAGAACATAAGGAAAAGCTAAAATGTTGTGTTTTGCAACTTAGAGAAGCACCTTGTAGTGAGGAAAATCCAAAAGAAGAGCGTTGTGAACCATTAAAACAACGGATTTTGCGTTACTTGAATGGTCTTTTGTCTACTGTGCTTACTGAACGGAAAGTTATGGCTTTACGTTTAAGTATGTTTTCTATTTGTTAGTAATTTAATTATAATTTTAAAGATCGTCTGGCTGATAGTTCACATGTGGCTATGGAATGTATGTTACAAAATCGTGCTCTTCCAGTGATACTTGAATGCATAACAGATTTGAATCGAAGCGTTGCCCATCTCTATGTTATCCGACCTTTATGCACGCTTCTCGTCAAGCTTCTTTCGGTTTGGAACTTTCTAAGAATTTTAAAATTCAATTTTTATTTTTTAAAGTATAAGCCTTTTGTCAATCAATATGTAATTGTTTGCTTGGACAAACTTCTTTCCAATGCCATCCACCAAATTCACAATAATTACACTGATTCCAGTATAGTTTCTGATCAAATAAATGTAATTAAAGAGTTATCTTGCTATTCTGGATTTGCTGAAAAGGTTTTTTTTTAAATTATTTGTAAAACTCAATTGTATGGCAGTTAAGCTTGGTAGGGCAGTTTATAGGGTCTAGCAGTTATGTATTGCTGACAATTAGCTAAGGTCCTAGCATTAACTTGGTAGTGTGTCGATTTGTGTCCGTAGCTTTTGAACCTCTATTAAAATAACTAGATTTTTAAACAAGTTTTAAAATTCGTTTCTATTTTATTGGGAAGTTTCGATTTTTTGGCCGTTTTCTTACTTTATTACTCCTATCAAAAAAAAAGTAGTTTTTTAGAGTAAAATTTGGAAAATTGGTAAAAACGTTGCATTCTCTTACAAAAAATATTTCTGTAAACAATTTATATTTTTAAATGTTTTGTTGATTGATTTAAGTAGAAAAGGGGGAAAAATCCTCAAAAATCTGTCCGCAATTGCTAACCTTCCCCAATCTTTACATTTTCTAATTTATTTTTTTAAAGATGAGAGCACTTCATTTTGATTGGTTTATGCAAAAATATAAGCAACATTTTGGGAAATTGAAGCAAAACGATCCACGTTTTAATGCTTATCGTTTTCTTTGTAATGTACAAAAGAATTTAAACAATACTTTGGCAATTAAAAATGATTGAATAAATATCAATTTTTTGGAGAACGGGTGGAAAAAATTAAAAATTTAAAAAACTCTTTCTCTCTCTCTTCACTTTTACTTTTTTTTAAAAATATTTTATATAAATTTGGATTTTTTCTGATACTCAAAATATGCCACATTAAATGATTTTTATTGTGTTTTGCTTCCATTTATTTTTATGTTTGGATAAATAAATGCTTTTTTTTGGAAGGATTTTGATTTTTTAAAATTTTTGTTAAATTTATTTAATTTTTTTTAAATAGCTAGTATTTAAATATTATATTTACCCAACTTTTCCAAATTTTGATTTTTAGAATTGATCTTCAAAAATTTATTATAAAATGTGAGCAAATAAAAAAATGATAGGTAAATATGCTTAACGTATATGCTCGAATAATTACCCTAGGTAATTATTGTTTCGACCTACCGCTGGAGGGGGTAGTTAATCGAGAGGATGTGCTAAACTTGGGGCCCTATTTTTGACCAATTTCGCCCTATTTTTGCCACATTTTTGAGTGGCTGCGCCATTTACGTGGTTTGGAAAGGGTCATCCAGCTTGGGGTATATCTCAATAAATCGAGGAGGAAATCCATTTATTTTTTGTCTTAATTCTTTAATGTTTCAATAATTAAAATTGACAATGATTTTCTCAATATTTTTAAAATTAGAGAAGGAAAAGGAGGGGGTAATTATTAAAGAGGGTAATTATTAAAGAGGGTAATTATTCGAGCATTTACGGTATATTTTAATTTTCCGCCTAAAAATAATATTAGTAATTTTAAGTTGTATAAAAAATTATTTTTTTTTAAAGAAACATTTAAACACGTTTCGATAAAAACAAATATTTTAAATTTTTAGATGGTCTAGGCAAACAAAAGGCAACAATGTTTTCATTCAGTTTTATTTCCTTAATGTGTATTACTTGAATGGATAGAATTTAAGTCTCATTTTATCAATGAAGAATAATTCAAAAATGGTCAATAATATTTCTGTAGAAAATAAAGAATCTTTAAAAAATAATTTGTATATTCCAAATATTCCAAAAAATAACAACAAAAATGAAATACTTCAAAGGCAAAAAATGTGGAAAGCTCAACCAATTCAAATTAAAGTAGGATTTTTGAAAAAAAGAGACTTTAAAAATATTTCTTTTTTAGACTACTCTAAGTCCAGAATTACAACAAATAGTCCAAAATGTGTCTCTAATCTTTTTAACTTTCTCTCAAACAATCAACCCTTTAATTGCTCGTATAGCACATAAACATGCAAAAGAAACCTCAGAACCTTTTATTGGTTCAACAATTGTTCTTATTATTGAAAGTAAGTTTGTCAGTTTTTGGAAAATCTTTGGATATCCGGAACCGAATCGAAATTTTCAATGAGAGAATTTTCATTAAGCGAAACAGAAATAGGCTAGAGGCAAAATTTTTGGATCGGGTGAAGCTAGTAATCCTCCATTTTCTGGCGATTTTCGGTTCGGTTTTGTGAGGGTAACTGTAATTTTTAAAAAAAGTAAAAAGAAATATGGGCGGTTAACCAAAAAGCAGAGGTGGGTCGGAATTATTCCGATTTCCGAAAAAGAATTTTAATTTCCGATTTCCAACTGTTGAGCCAGTTCCGATTTCCGGCTCTTCCGATTTCCGACACCTCTAACTGTTCCGATCCACCTCTGCCAAAAAGTACCGGTTAGACACGATTCAGCGCGCACGATTCAGCGCACACGTTTCAGCGCACACGATTCAGCGCACACGATTCAGCGCCATCACGATTCAGCGCACACGGTTCAGCGCCAGTTATAGTTCAGCGCCAGTCTATTAACTTTTTTTATCAGCTTTTTTTTATCAACTTTTTATTCTTATCAACTTTTTTTAAAAAAGTTCTATTTTTTATCAACTTATCAACTTTGCTTCAATATTTTTCTTTTCAATTCAAAAAATTTACGCGGAAAAAAGTTTTTGCCGCTGCGGAGGAAGCCGGGCATGTCGAGCGGAACGACGGCCGCCGCTTCGCTACGGTCGCCGCGAGCGTAGCGAGCACGACCGCAGCGAAGCACGGCCATCGTGTAGCGAAGACCATGCCCGGCCTACCCTCCGTAGCAGCACAAAAACAGTTTTTCCAGCGAAGATTCTGTTGGTCATAGGTTTGTGCATAATTACAAATCAAGTTGGTCTCGGTAATTTGACTCTGTTCGTCGAACTCATGCAAATGAATTGATGTGCGCTGAAACGTGCCTTCTATAACTGGCGCTGAACCGTGTGCGCTGAATCGTGGGCGCTGAATCGTGGTGGTGCTGAATCGTGTGCGCTGAATCGTGTGCGCTGAATCGTGCGCGCTGAATCGTGCGCGCTGAATCATACCCCACCGAAAAAGTACATGTCAATTTCAGTTGCAAAATTATTATTTTGTTGTACTATTCTTTTGTTTTCTAATGGCCTTCAAAAGTAATTTTCAAATTTTAATATTTAATCTTTAATAATTTGCTCTTTTTTGGTTTTGTGATGATCTTTCTTGTGCTTTTCTTAAAAACAAAAAAGAAACGCTTAAAGTTTGTGTGCCAGCAATTATTTATGTTGTACAAAACAACCTTTACTTTTTTGTTCTTAAAAGGGTTGATGCAACTCTCTATACTGTAGGGTTTTCTGAACTTTAAAAAAAGTAAAATTTATTTGAAAAATGAATTTTGAAGGGGTGGGTTTCCAATGGCTAAAGTGTAAGGTAATGTTCGAATCCTCGCCGAATTATTCCGGAATCCGAGTTTTTTTCTGTTATCTCCGGATTATCACAGGACACTATATAATTCTGAATTTGGTCATTCTTGAAAGGATTACTCTCAATAAAATTACTTTCCCAGGATATGGATGGTCCAACATGAGTACCGGATTTGTTCTAAGAACTTCAGTCCTTAATATAATCACTCCAAATGGAGGGGTTTAAAAATAGAACCACATGTGGTACTATTAGAATAAATCCGGTATATAACATCCAAAATCCGAATTTCCTAGTCGATATATCCATTCTATCGGATATTAGTATAAGAATTATGCGTGTGGAATATTTTTTTCGTTTTCAAACTTTTCTTATTTTTTTTAATTTTTAATTATAAAATTTTAAAACTTAAATAACGTTCCAAATAAAGATGACCTTTCAACTTAAAATATTGGCTACAGCACTTTTGTCAATGCTTTTATTAAGTAGAATTTTCTCTCGTATTCAATGGGGAGCCCTTTGTATTTCTGTTTTGGGTGTTTGTCTTGTACAAATTTCAAAAGATTCTGGGAATGAATCACCCGAACATAAAAATGAGGAATTAATTGGTTTATTAACTATTTTTGTTATGTGTTGGACATCTGCTTTTGCCGGTAATTTTTAATTTAAAATTAATGATTAACAAAATATTATGTGTTTAATATGAAAAAAATTTGAGTCCACCCCAAAAGACCTAAACCCAGAAGACCTTTCACCCAAGAAACCTACAAATTTTTAAAGCGAATGTCGAGGGATTTAGAGGGATTAAGGACGATAAATACTCAGCTATATGAAGATAAATACCCGGTATGTATTTTAGACCCAACGATGCCGTATTTTTTGTGTGTACCATAACTCTGGCTGACAGAGTTCTCTATCCCCTTCAATCACACCAAATCCATCGATATCCCCTCCAAATCCCTTGATATTCTCTTTAAAATTTGAGGTCTTTTGGGTTTACCCCAAAAATTTAGTTAAAAAATCTGTCAAAAAAAATGAATTATTAACCAATACGAGTTAATAAATAATAAAAAAATATCCTTAAAACTCACAAAATTTTCAGGAGTTTATTTGGAAGCAGTTCTTAAACAAAGTTCTTGTGATATTTGGATGCAGGTAATTAATAAATTTAAAGAATTAAAAAAACACTTGATTATCTCAATATTATCTTCCCCCCATTTGTCCTATAAAATGGTGGGAAATAATGAATAAATACCAAAAAAACAATTAAACATAATTCTTTAAAATTATCTCTTATTGTAATTATAGAATATTCGTATTAGTTTAATTACTCTTCCGTTTGCTTTACTCACAATTGTTAATGATGCAGATAAAATCCAGAAAAGTTTAATTATTTGTTAAAATATTATATTCAATTTTAATTGGTAGGGGGAAGTTTCTTTGCTGGTTGGACTTGGCGACTTTGGTTAATTGTATTGTATGGAAATATATATTTAATTTTTTTTAAATACAGTCAGTAGGTGGGGGATGAAGAAATGTATTATAGATTAGAGACAGGATCGAGACGTCGAACGAAAATCTCGTTTATCGAGATATCCTGTACGACACTCCCAAAGTGGAAGTCTCTCTGTCTGTCAGATCTGTCAGTTTTGTCAGTCTCTGTAAAGACTTTCTCCAGCAGTCCCAGTCCCTATTCTAATTCATTATTGGGGTGACTTTTAGTCCCCAATTCATTATTGGGGACTTTTACATTTACCAGGAAAAAAAAATTTTTTTTTGAAAAGAGCGGGGTCTGATTCTATAGTATTATTTATTTTTAAATAAATGGTAACTTATTTTTCCTTACTTTTAGAAGTAGCTCTGCTAATGGACTTATTGTTGCTTTTGTAGTGAAGGTAAAATTAATTATTTTAATCTAAAATATAATTTCAAAAGTATGCCGACAATATCAAAAAAAGTTATTGCCAAACTGTGGCACTTGGCGGCACAGCTATCTTGTCAATACTTTTGGGAGACTCACAATTCTCCTTTTCCTTAATAGGAGGTGTTTCTTTGGTTATCTGTTCAGTATTTTTGTATACATTAAATCCTCCAAAATTGTCAACACTTGAAGTGTCGAACGATGAAAAATTTTTAATGGATGAGGACAATGAAAGTAGTGAAGAGGAGGATGAAGAGAGATTGGAAATGTGTTTGGATTACAAAAAAAGTGAGTGGCTACTAATTAAATTTATTCTAGAGTTGTTAACGAAAAATACATGTTTTTGAAGTGGAATGATTAAATTTAAATAATTCCTGGGCTTAAAATATAATAAAAGAATTAGGGTAGAGTAAAGCTAAATAATTTAGTAAAATATATAATTTAAATGAGAATAAAATGAAGGAAAAACTAAATTTTTCTAGAAAGTCAAGATGTTACCCCCATAGACCCAACTCTAAAACAACAATCTAATGAAGCATTAATATCTTTTGAAAGTCCAACATTTCGCACGGCAGCTTCAAAATTGCAAATTGTGATTGGTAACATAAAAGAACGATTGAGCCTTTCGGTTAGTAATTTTGAGGAAAAGAAGAATGGCGTCAATTTTTTTAAATTAAAATTTAAATAAACGAGACATTTTTCTAAAAAATGAGTTATTTAAGAAATTGACGCTCTCCCTTTAAATACTTAAAATAAATCCGTTTTAATATCGTGGAAATGTATCATCAATTTTCAGAGCCCATTCTTCCAAACCACCAAAAATGTCCCGGACATTGGTAAATCTGCTGCCCAATAAACCAGCAGTTGAGAGGCGCTCACGAAGATGACGAGTAGCAAGTTGTGAATCGTTGCCGCGATGGCAGCAGACAAAAACTGTAAAAATAAATTTATGAATTACTTAATTCAGTGTATCTTGTGATTCTTTGGTTTTCTGTTTTTTGGATTTTGAAAACTATTCAAAAATTTTTTGGTAGATAATTTTAGAAGTCAAAGAATCACAGGTACAATCAAAATTTCTCTAAATTTTAATTTCCTTTATACTTAATGATGTGACCTTAAAAATAACTTAAGTCAAAAATTAAATTATTTCTTACAGCTTTTCTATTATTATTAATTTATTGGTGTGATACTCGTTTAATTCTAATTTTATTTTATTAATTTGTTAAAATTTGGGTAGCACCCCGCCCCCGAAACCCGACATTTCTGCCCCTGCAGGCTCGGGGTGCTACTCTAGTTAAAATAATTATACCATTTATTCCTTCTCCATTTTCCTGCCTTCTCTCTTTCTCTTCATTAAGTTGTTCAATAACTGTTTCAATGCTGACTTTTTTCATTTCGTCCCAAGGAATATCTAACAATAAAATATTTTTTAAAGATATAGTCGAACTCGTTTCTAGATATCACCTAAATTAGATACTCTTCAATTTAAGATTTTTATTTAGTAGAAACTTCCAAGACTCTTAGTCCTTCGGGTTTTTTCAGTCTGGGTCTTGGGGTCTAGTCTTGGGTCTTGGAAATCTTTCGGTCTTGGAAGTCTCTATTATTTAGGTTTTCACAGGGCAGAGAAATACTCTCTATTTATGATAACTTTACAATGTTCGATTTTTCTTCCTCAAGTGAGATTAACATAATAATGGGGTTCGACTATATCTCGAATTAAATTTCTAAAAGATTATCTAACAATTATAATTTTGTAAATAATTTACTTATTGCCTCAGGCAAATGACAAATTTCGAATTCGCTGTGTGGTCTAACATCCAACAAAATATTTCCTTTAGCATGCCTAAGCTTTGAATATTCTGCCGTCGTAATTCGTTGATCATTTGGAAGTAAATCAAGCGAACGAACCTTTGAAAGAATTTAAAAAATTATTTTTTTAAATTATTAAAAATACTTTGTCAGTTGGACCAGACCCACAAAACTTCTCATAATCTTGTAATTCTGTAATTTTTGGATTTTCACTGCAAATTGCACATCCAGCAATTTTTTCACGTCTAAAATTTAAAAAATAATTTTTAAAATATTAAAAATATTTACAAAGAAATCATTTTAGTTTTTCCATCAAACCCATCAAAAAGCCATAAATTACCAGCAAAAGAAGCTTTAAAATACAAAAATTAGAGCTGAAACCCGGACAGGCTCCCGACCGGATTTTTGGGATCCGATGGTCTCGATCCGGGTATTTTGATAAAAATCGGGATTTGATCCCAAAAATTCGGTCCGGGTCATGACAGAAAAACCCGGTCCAGTCCACAGAAATTAAGAAAAATGAATAAAATTTGGAGGAAAATGAACAAAATGTGAATTTTTGCTTATTGTTAGATAATCTAAAATTCTCAAAATTTCCGAAAATCTTCCCGAAAATCCGGTCCGGATAAAAAAATTCATAAATCCCGAAACGTGATCCGGCATTTCCCAGACTTTCAACTCTAATAAAAATTAAAAGAAAAAACCAAACATTTTCCCAAAACAGCAATTTTAATAATTTCCAGCGCCTGTAAACTTCCAATTACACCCACAACTGGGCCAAGAACACCACCTTCAGAACAACTAGTTACCATTTCGGGGCTGGGAGGTTCAGGGAAAATACAACGATAACATGGGCATTTCTATAAAATTAAGAAAAAAAATAAAAATATTTCTTTAAAATAAATTTAAACCTGTCCATTATTGTAAACAGTTAATTGACCTTCCCAACCTAGAGCACTGCCAGAAACTAATGGCTTCCCAGTAAGTACACAAGCATCATTAATTAAATACCTTAAATTTTTTGAAGAATAAAAGTAATTTTGAGTTTTTATGCCCAGTGATTGGAAACTCGTACCAAACTCTTTAGAAATTAGGCAGTTACGAGTACGAATAAATTTTGAATTTCCTAACTGTTTATGATTCCCTATTTTTCTTTTTCTCCTCAATCCCTCTATGCATCTAGCAACTAAATAAAAAATATGCTGAAATTCAATCGTTTTTGGGTACTTTATGGATATACCACCCCCTCCCTCTATTTTGAGTATCAAAGTTTTTTCAATATGTGCTTTCTTCCTTCTTCGATTTCATTCTGTATTCCTTCGGATATTAATGAATAAGAGATCAATTTTTCAAGCCTTTATTTGTTGATCAAAGGGAAATTGAATGAAATCGAGGAAGGAAGCACGTATTGAAAAAACTTTGATACTCAAATAGGGGGGGTGTATATCCCTAAAGTACCAGTTTTTGATTGATTTAGTTGTCAAAGGCATATAACGGAAAAATTTGAGAGAAAAGAATGTGGACAAGTCTTAAACCCCAAATCAACAAAAAACATTAAATTAATTTATAACCTTGTTGCAACATTATCTGAACAATCAGCTACAATATCATAATCACAAAATATTTGTTGAGCATTTTTACTAGTTAAAAGTACATTAAGAGCTACTACATCGACTTTACTATTGATACTAAAAAATAAAAAGGAAACGTTTAAAAAATAATTTCTCCCTACCTAAGCAATGACTGTTTTATCGAATCAACTTTGGGTTCCTCCAATCGATTTTCATTATGTGCAATTTGTCTATGGAGGTTATCAACACTTACAATCTTTGAAATTTTATTTTTTAATTTAAAAATAAAAAATTTTCAAACATCATGGTCAACAATTCCAATTTTACCAACGCCTGCAGCAGCCAAATATAGAGCAACTGGACAACCTAAACCTCCGGCTCCGACAATAAGAACTAAATTGTTTTTAAAATTATTTTTCAAGTAAATTTCAAACCTCGAATTTCGCGTAAACGTTCTTGACCTAAAAAAATAAAAAAAAAATTTATTCACAATTAAAATCCAACCTGATGGCCCAATTCCTTTAAGCATTAATTGTCGACTAAATCGAGCAATTTCTTCTTTGCTGAGTGAATGTGAATGTGGTGAAACCATAATTTATTGAAAATATGTAAATCTACTGAAAATTCTACATATTAAAATAAGAAAACTATAAGGTAAAAAATATCTGGAAGTTTTATTAAATTATCCTAAAATTCCTATATATTAGAGGTCGGTAAAATCACATTTGCAGGATCCTATATCAGGCAGGATCCTATACCCGCGTTGTTTTGGGCTGTACCCTTTGGGACATGATCCTGAAAAATCCTGTGCAGGATCCTGTCCTGCGCCGTCCTCTACTATATATTTCTGCAATTTATAAGAATTTGCTAAAACTAGTTTTGAATCTATTAATGTACACGAAAGAATAAAAAATTAAAAAAATAATAAAATATATACACGTGCATTCGTTATATATCGATGTATTTTTTATTACTTTAAACTCTAAAAAAAGATGGTTGAACATTGAATCCTTAAATAAATCTTTCAAGGGCAAACTGGCCAAATGTTTTTACTTGCTAGCAAAATGAAAGGAAAGGGAGAAGGGTTCTCCTAGCGCGTTAAAGACGAGTAAAGCTAGCTCAAATGTGCTCTCTTTTTATTTTTTCTTGTTTCTATTTTTTTATTCCTTTTCTTTTCATTCCCACATAGTCAGTCATTCACAATTGTGATAAAAATAGTGGACCCGTGATGTTAATCTTTGAACATCTAAAAAAAGATGTTAAACATCAAAGACGAAAATACACATTAAATTTTATGAAGACAGGTTTTTTAAGGGATACGCCCAAAACGGCGCGCGGACATAACGGCGCAAAGCCATAACTTGCTTCAAGATTTTTAAATCTTTCCAAATTTAATATTAAACGATTCCTCTCATCGAGCTAAGGAGATTGGTACCTAAAATTCATAAGGGCTAACATTTTCCAGCAAATTATGGCTTTGCGCCGTTATGGGCGTGCGCCGTTTTGGACCGTACCTGTTTTTTAATGGGCGTTTGTTGTTTAGATATTTTGACGGAATAGTCTAATTGAATTTCAAAGTGTAAACTTAAATCCGGATTTAAAATTGGATTTAAAAAAACTTTTACCTTTTGTTTAGATTTTAGAAACAAGTTTTTTGATTAATTTTTGATGGAACAACAGTCTTTGAATTCCTCTGAAAATTTTGCTAAGCCAGAAATTTCATATTTTGGACACTATGGAAATCCTAGAAGTTTCACAACATGGATAGAACCTCCCTCTCTTTCAAATCCGTTTTCATGGTTAAATGGACTTCGATGGTTGTTTTTGGAAAAAGGACATCCAAAAATTTTAGATGAAGACGTATGTTTATTTTTTTGTAAAATCTCTTCAATTTATTTTTTAGGCAGAAGAAAAATTACCGGTCCATACACCGAAATTTCCAATTAATTCACCATTGGGTGCAACATGGATGGGTCATGCTACTTTATATGTTCGAATTGATGGGATTTCGTTGCTAACGGATCCGGTTAGTCTTAAAAATTTTTTTTGGAAAATTTTTCAATTTTTTGGTTAATAGGTATGGTCAAAATGTGCTTCGCCTTTCAACTTTTCTAATCGTTTCCTATCTTTCCTCAATTTTTGTCGTCGTTATCGACCTTCTCCCTGTTCTATGGATGATTTACCGGAGGTTTTTATATTTAATTGTTAAAATTATTTTTTAAATTTAGATTAATTTAATTGTTATTTCACACGACCATTATGATCATCTTGATTTAAATGCCGTTAAAAGACTTGCAGAACGTTTTCCGAATATTAAAATTGTGGTGCCAAAAGGTCTGGCAAATACTATTTGCAATGTAGTTTGTAGACAAAACGTGCATGAATTAGATTGGGTTGGTTTTTTGTGAAAAATTTTTTTGATTAACTGGACTAAATTATTTTTAAGAAATTAATTAACTTATAGAGTTGATTAGCTCTATAATTTAAGATTTGGAGTTACTCTTCCTGTCCTCAATAAATTAACAATTTTTAAATAAATTAAAATCTAATTATTAGAGCTACAATTTCCCGTTTCGCGATCCCGGTTTTTCCAAAATTCCTTTACTAATTATTTTATTCAACAGGGGGAGAGCAAGGAATTAGAAATTCCTAATACTTCTGGAGAAAAATACACTGTTTGGTCAATTCCTGCACAGCATTGGAGTCAAAGATCTATTTTTGATCGTAATAAGGTTCATACAAAATTTAAATAATTTTTAAAGATTTCTTTATTTTTAGAGTCTTTGGTTGGTATTTTGAATATTTTTGATTAATTTTTTGTTAAAAATTTTAGGAGTGGATGGGTGATTGAAGGACCGAAACATAAATTTTTCTATACTGGAGATACTGGTTTTTGTCAAGAAGAATTTAAAAAAGTTGGGAATCGATTTGGGCCAATTGATTTGTGTGCAATTCCGATTGGGTGTTATTCTCCGAGGTAAATTCTTTGGTAAATTAATTCAAAAAAATGTTTCTAAAAATTCTAGATGGTTTATGCATCCTCAACATATCGACACTTCTGAGGCTGTACAAATACATAAATTGGTTAGGTCAAAGAAAAGTATTGCTGTTCATTGGGGAACTTAGTAAGACTTGGGGAACTTAATTTTTTATTTTTAAAATTTAAAAAATAGTGAAATGGGCTCTTCTGAACCTTATATGGAACCAAAATCAAAATTAGAAGAAGACGTTCAAAAAGAAGGATTAAATTCTAATGAGTTTATAACTTTGGGACACGGGCAGAGTTGGAATATTGAAAATAATGGTTAAAGTATTTATTTTTTTTTGTTTTTTTGCAAATCTTATTCGGTTCTAACATATTTAGTTGCCATTTTTTGAATGTTAAATGATGCGGAATTTTTTTTGAATGCGGAATTCAAAAATTCCCCCATCGTTGGCAAGCTATGATTAATCCTAGTTGTGATTATCTCGTTGATTAATATTATATTTTATTGGTATTTTGAAAAAATTGGATTTAAAAAACGGCACCTAAATATGTTACAACCTAATAGAAAACAGATTTTTAAATTAAAAAATTATTTTATTTACGTTTTAGTAAAAATTATTGCATAAATTATCGAATTTTTGGAATTTTTTTTTCATCATTATATGTAATCCTCAATATAATATATTTATCAAAATTTTTTCTAAAAAATATTTATGCAAATCTTTTTTTAATATTTTTTATATCAGAAAAGAATTTTTATTTTCCATACTTTTTATATTTTAAAAGTTTTTAGTTTACTAGTTAACATAAAAATATATTTTTTACAAAAAAAGTATTCAAAAAATCCAAAAAATGTTGAAAATGACACATTCTATTAAATGTTTTTATTAAATGAAAGTTGCTTTTCTAGGACATTTAATAAATTATAAATTGAATAAAATATTTGAAAAGAAATTATTTTTTGCATTTTTTACTAATTTTATTTTAAAAAATAAAATTAATAACTTTTTTTTGAAGACTATTTTTTAGAAAAGCAAAAAAAATTATTTGCTAATTTATGTCCCATTTACTATTTTTTTAAAAGGATTTTATTGATTTAAAAGCAATTTTCATTTAATATCCAAAGTAAAGTGACGTCATTTGAATTTTAGAAGACGAGATTAAGATGTTTAATTTTTGGTCGAATTTTAAAAAATTGCCCGAAGCAATAAAAATTGTAGTAAAGCAGCTGGGCTATAGCTATTTTCTCTCCTTCAGCTAGTGCAAAAGGTTATTCGGCGACTGGGAGCGAACCAGCATCTTCAGTAGACCGGACTGATGTGTTAGCCATTACACCACGCCACCTACTGCTCAGCCTTAGGAATTAAATAGCTATATGCTTTACATGGTCTTTAGCAAAATTTTGAATCAGAATATTTTTTAAATGTCACCGTCCAAATTACATTCTTGTCCAATTTAATTTTGCCGGCCGAATTCAATTTGGTCGGCCGAATTGAATTTGGACAAGAATGTATGTAATTTGGACGGTGACATTTATAAAGACAATATTTTACAAATTTAACCTTTATTTTTTTTAGCTTATTTGAACTAATAAAAAATTATTTTTATTAATTTTATATTTTAAACTTTTCATTAATTATCAAAAAAATTTCTAGAATGGTCGACAAATTAAGTAAGTTTTACAAAGATAGACATTTTAAAATCCTCTTTTTAAAGGAAATAGTGAAGCAAATACACGCCGAATTGAAAATGTAGAAGCTTGTTTTGGTAGTTCTGGACGGAAGTTACTTGAGACTGGAAGGGTTTTGATTGGTGAAGGAATTTTAATTAAAATATGCAGGTTTGGATTTTTTGTTTTGAAATTATTTTTAAAAATAATTTTTTAATAGGAAGAAGCCTAAAGCTCGACAATTTTTTCTTTTTAATGATCTGCTTATTTATGGATCAATAATTATTAACAGAAAACGTTATAGCAATCAACATATTATTCCTCTAGGTTATTTTTTAATTATTAAATTTTTAAATCAAATATTTTAGAGGAAGTTAAACTCGAAAATATCGAGGATGAAGGGGATGCAAGGAATGGCTGGTTAATTAAAACTCGAATAAAGGTAATAGTAAATTGTTTGATTTTTTGGTGTTTTTGGTAGGAATATAGATAGGAAACACATTTCTTCCTTGCAGTTTTAAATTCTTTCTTGCATAATTTTTATTTAAATTCTGCAAGGAAGAGATGACTGACCATTTTGTTCATTTGTAAAAAAGCTGACTGGGGGAGGGAATAAGACCAGAATTAAAACAAAAATTATATTTTAAGTGATGCTAGTGTGTATCTTTTTGTTAATACCGAGCTTCGTCCCTTTTCCTATTTTTCCTTAAGATGTACATACATAATGGTCAGACTTCCTCAATTTTACTTTTATTACCCTGTGGCCTTTTTTGGCTGCCTGAATGCCAAGGCAAAAAAAGTGAAATTGAGAAAGGAAAAATAAAAGGTGAATGAATTCATTGTCTGTATTACTTTGTTTGTGGTGTACGTTTTGAATGTGTTTCTGTTAATTTTTTAATTTCTACAAGTATCCTCTACTCTTTCAGTCATTTCTTGTCTACGCTTCTACTCCTTCAGAAAAACGTGAATGGATGTTGCATATTGAACGTTGTATTCAAGACCTTCTTAAAGAAGGTAGACTGCCCCCCTCTGACTATGCGGCATTATGGGTGCCTGACAAAGAAGCTGTTAAATGCATGGTTTGAAACTTTTAAATTTTTTAAAACTTTTTTGGAACTATTTTTAGTTTATTCTTTTTTAGTGTTGTCATACAAGCCATTTCACTGTAATACAGCGACGACATCATTGCCGAGCGTGTGGCAAAGGTTTGAAAGGAAATTTTTAATTTAGTTACCAGTATATTTTCCTTGTAGTTGTTTGTAGTAGTTGTTCATCCAAATCATTTATGTTGGAGGGAATTAGCAAAAAACCTGTTCGAGTCTGTGACACGGTTTTTGAATTTTTTAAAAATTTTATTTTTGGTTTTTTCTTTCAGTGTTATAATAAACTCTGTCAAGGGATGAGTCCTAAACCTGTTGCTCCTTTAGGACAATTAGTTGGAGGAGGAGGAGAAAATTCATTACGAACTCGAGATTCATCACCAATAAATGCAAATGATTCTTCTGATTCTGATGGGGAAGAGCCGTTGCAACAACAAAATGACTGGGAAAGGGCACATGATGAGGTATTAAATTCTTATTTCAAGTGGAATTGTTGACTAATGAATGCCCGTGGATACCTAGGGTGTATTCAGGAGGTAGAGCTGGGGGAGCTAGGGAGTGCTAGAAACGCTAAACTTACACCACCCTAATGATGAAAATTTTTAAAATAAATTGGGGGAAGGATGATCAAAAAAGTGAATTTTCTGTCTACATTTTGACTTCTTGGCCTTTCTATATTATAAAAATTTTGGCGTTGTTTTTGGTCGATTCTGGTGTTTGGCCTGATTTCAAAATGTAAAAAAATCGCGTTTGGTGCGCCACTCGAAAACCTGGCGCAGTCCCGGTTTTGGTTGTTCGGAATTAAAACTCTTTTTAAATATTCAAAGAAAAAGGGGATGGGTCAATTATGGAAATTATTTTAATTAAATAATTGTTTAAATAGGAAATTTTTGTATTAAAAGAAAAATAAATTTTCAGCCAACATTTTATGGCATTCCGTCAACATCTACTTCTATTGAAAATAATGATACGCAATTAACAACACAACAACAAATTTTGCCTTCAAATTCTCATAATGAAGATGAAAAACTTATTTGATGACACAACTTATTGGAAGATTAATTGGAGATTAAAATATTTTTCAGACCCGTGATGAAGTTAATAAATTATAAATTGACTTTTTTATATCCAAATTAGAGTTTAAAGTTAGCAAAATGCCGGATCTGGTTTCCTGGATTTTTATTTTTCTTTTAAACCGGACCGGATTTTCCGGATAAAAATTCGGAGAATCCGGGTTGTATCAAAATACCCGGATTCCGGACCACTGGATCCGGAAACTCCGGACCCGGGGTTAAACTCTAATCCAAACATACACATTTTTTATCTTTTAGTTTTCAAATTTTTCCTAAGACGCCTTAAAAATTGAATTTCTTTCTATATTTTTAATTTCGAGACTTCCAGTATATCTTCGCTTAATTTAAGTAGACTAAAATTATCCATTTCTCTCTGAATAAATTTATACGTTCACTTAAACTATTAAATAATTTACATTTGTAATTTAATTATTTGGGAGATAAATTGTTTTTCTGATGAGTTAAAAGTTAGTAAAGTGTTTAATGTAAACATATGATAGAATTTAGACCGTTAGCAAATTCGGGATTTCCGGGATCGGGACCTACTATGGCAAATTGGTCTGTGTGAGTACAGTAAAGCAGCTGGGCTAGCGCAGAAGGTTATTCAGCGGCTGAGAGCGAACAAGCATCTTTAGTAGACCGGACTGATGTTATTACACCACGCCATCTACTGCACAGCTTTTTCCATTAATTATCAACATGTTAAAAGATTAGTTCCCAACAGGATTTTGACGAATTAGATGAAAACCTAAATAGGTAGTAATGGTGTGAAGACCTTTGGTTCACAAAAAAAAAGCATGGTTGTTAACATATCGGCCTATATAAAAGGGAAATAAACATGAACTACTTAACATTCTTCAAGTAAAAACAACAGAAAATATCAAGCACGTCAACGGAACATTCGTCAACTTCATGCTTGCGATCGGAGGTTTGTGTTTGCTGCTTTGGCTGGCTGTCGTAAATTCTTCGGAAGTTCAAGTGGGATCCGGCAATTATACGCTAAAGGATGAAAAAGTTACCTTAAGTGATGAATTCGGGATTTACGATTGGCGTACTAGCTTCATTGTGCCAGAGCATCTCTATCCTAATTGTTCTGTTAAAATATATAACGATACAATGTATGTTTAAATTTATTTATTAAATTTATATTTACAACAATTTTCAGTTCGTTGTGGTATAATGCAGCGTCAAAGGAGGTTTGTACGGTGGATCTTCTGACAGATAGAGATGACATCGAGTTCACAACTTCCCTGACACTTTGCGATGATAATAAGAAAGAAGACCTCAAGGACCCTATCGTGTAAGTTTATATTTAAAATTGAGAAGAGAATAATTTGTATTTTCAGTCTGCCTTTTGCGTACAGTTTAAACAATGAAGAAATAAATATGATCAAAAATGGACCCCTCTATGGAAAAAGTGCAACTTGTCCAAACAAAGAAGGATGTAAATCATTTAAATCTGAAAATTGGACTGAAATTCCCACACCGGATTGTATGCCATGGGCAGCGCTGGAAATTGAATGGCGATGCAAACATGATCTGGAAGTTGATTGTCGATCCAAACCTGCTTATGCAGCAAAAGTCTACTTTAGTGAGTTAATCTTAATATTATGTATTTAGCAGAGGTCGTCTTGATTCAATATATCGTCTCCCGGTTTTTTCGATTTAGCTTTTTTGTGATATATTCGATCGAGCCTCTCCACCTAAGGTGTAGTAGTAAAATTTTCATTTTTAGTTGGCGAGATGGCTGGCTATGTAACACATTTTTCGATAGAAGACTTCAAAGAAAAGGTGTCCTTCACCGTAAAAATAAATAAAACCGGAGGCGTTGATAGTGGGGGTCTTGTGATAGATGGCATACCGAGTAATACAACAAGTCAACAAAATCTACATCATTTCACATGTATCGAGGCCTCCACAATTATCAAACCCAAGGCGTGGAAAATTGATGGGAACGTTAAAGACGAAATTAAAGTGAAAAAGTTGATGACATTCCATCTCCTTCCAAGATCGGCAGCTCGTGCGCGTACAAGTGATAATCAATTTTATGGAAAATTACCTGATATTGCATCTAGCAAAGAATGCAGGAGGGGAATGTCGATTCGTTTTGTGAGTTATCCATTCTCAATTTCCATGAAAAATTTTATTATTTTTATTCTAGAATCGAACAGATTATGAACTTCTAGAGAGATTACCAAAAGTTGTAGAAGCTAATTCATCAACTACAACAACAACTGCTCAACCTTCAACAAATTCTTCAGCCACCAATGAGACAATCAGTCAAGAGCCAACGGATTCTACTTCACCAAATGCAACAATTCCTTCGTCAAAGAGTGACCCACCTACAAAGCCTATGACAGCAAATACATCATCAGAAGTACCACCAACAAATTCTAGTTCTCCACCACCTTCAGTTAACACTACTTCAAAACCGGAACAGAGTAAAACAAAATATAATTATAATTTAATAAAAATAAATAATTTCAGACAACGAAACTTTGCCACAATCGAGTAATGGGACTACTACTGTTGGCACTTCTCCACCAATGAATTACTCTACTTTAACCCAAAACTTTACTTCTACTATTTCTGTGAATGAGACAAACGGAACATTTAATTCCAACTTAACAACATCCACAACATTCTCTACTTCAATGCCTACAATCATCCAATCTCTAAACACAACAACTTCTACTAAACTTCCCGACTTGACAAATGGAACAACAAAAGGAATTAAAGGGACACCAAAAGTTGCATTTCCTTCCTATTATTTCTATATTGTTGGTGGTGGTGGTGCTGTGGTTATTCTATTGTAAGTTTTGTATTCAGAAACTCAGTTTGGATACTTCCAAAGACACCAATTTGAGATAGGGGTTTTTTTGGAAATTTGGTTGATTAGAGGGTGGGAGAACTGCCCAAACAATACCTCTCTTGGATGCTAACAATAAGCATTATAAGATTTGATTTTCTCGGCCCCAAGGGGATATCCTAAAAGAGATTCTAAGATAGGTCTTCCTAGAGAATCTGTTTGGCCATTGGGTTGAAGGACTGTCCAAACGATACCTATCTATTTAGAATACAAAAATTATAAGATAAAATTTTCTAACCCCAAGGGGTATCTAAAGAGATCCAACTGTATAAATAATTTTCCTTTTTAAGGCTTGTCATCATTTGTGTATGCAGTATCGTTCGAAAGAATAAGAAGAAAGCAAGTAATGAGGATGAAAGTTCTGAAGGCTCTGGAGGAACAACGGAAGAACTTTTATCAATGGAAGCAAAAAATATGTCTGGTACACAATTGGAAACTCAAGGAAGTCACGTATCTTTAAAGAAGAGTGTAGTTGATAAAAAAGAAGTTGAGCTAAGCAAAAAAGAAGAAATTAGCAAAAAAGAAGTTTCCAAAGAAGATATGAAGAAAACTCTCTCAAAAGATGTTGGCGGTGGTGGTGGTGGTGGGGCTGTTGGTGGGGCTGTTGTTCCAAATACGATCGAATCTAAAGAATTTACTGGGGAACAAACAACAGAAGAAGAAGTTGCCGTTAAACCACCAACAACACCTAAAGCAACAGATCCGCAAGTCTCTACATTTTCGGCTCCATATGAAGTAGATCGAAAGCGATTGATTGTGCCGATGAAAGATAAGGGGGATCCAACTACTGAATCTAAAAAATCTATCGAATCAATTGTCTCGGCAGAGAAGAAAGAAGAATCTAAACCTGAGTTGACTGTATCTTCTGATGAAGTTGTTGGGAAGAAAGAAGAGGGTGGTGATAATAATAATAAGAAGAAGAAAGAAGAAAGTGATGATAAAAAGGAGGAAGAAGGGGACGATAATAATAAGAAGGAAGAGGGAGGAGAGGGAGATAATAATAAAGAAGCAGATGTCTATGATTAATTTTGTTTTTCTTATTTGTATATAAAATGTTGAGTAGTATGGAGGGTATTTGTTTTTGTTGTTAATTAGTATATGTTAATCCTTAAAGGTTTTCCTATTCTTTGTTTTGTATACTTGTATCTTAATTATATCTACATATTTTAATCTATTTTGTGTAATTGTTCGCATTAAACGTATGAAATAAATTGTTTTGATGAAGTTTGAATAATTTTGTTTTTGTATTTTTCCGATCACAAAAAACTATGTGGAAAACTGGAAATACATACATATTACTGGATTCCTTTTTTTGCCAACCTTTAGGAAACATTTAAAAATAAACTTTAAAATAGTACATTAATTGACAAGTACATTAATTGACAAGTAACAAAAAATTAAAAATAACATTGGAACATTCATTTAATTCAGGGCTTCGATATGTGCGGATTTTTCCTCATTTTGTGGTTTTTTGATAGGGCGATAAGACACCCTTTTTTATAAGTTTTAGTGTTTGTGATTTTGCCGTAAGGATGGTGTAAAAGGAAAACGATTCATCTTTCCATGCCAGGGTAACTCTATTAACAGACAAGAAACTGAACCTTCTATATTCCCTTTAATGCGGAAATCCGTGATTTGTTAGTTCCATGATTTGTTCCTTCCATAGTATTTTGATCATTCCGTGATTTCGTTGTTACAATTGTGTTCTGTAACAAATGATGGATTTGCCCAAAAAATCACGGATTCGCCGAGCGGATAACGAACTTAACTCCATTCATTATCAGTATGCTAAAAATTTGTTTCCCAAAATGATTTTGGCGAATTTGATAAAGAAAGCCTAAATAGTGCCACTACTTTTGAACGGACACAGGACTATATAAAAGGAAGTAAACATGAATCACTCAGCATTCTTCAAGTAAAATCATCAGAAAATATCAAGCACGTCAACGGAACATTCGTCAACTTCATGTTTGCAATCGGAGGTTTGTGTTTGCTGCTTTGGTTGGCTGTCGTAGATGCAAGCAATTCTTCGGAAGTTCAAGTGGGATCCGGCAATTATACGCTAAAGGATGGAAATGTTACCTTAAGTGATGAATTCGGGATTTACAATTGGCCTGGCCTCACTGTGGTGCCAGATCATCTCTATCCTAATTGTTCCATTCAAATAGATGAGGATTTTATGTATGTTTCAATTTAATAAATTTATATTTACAACAATTTTCAGTTGGTTAAAGTATAATGAAACGTCAAAGGAGGTTTGTACGGTGGATCTTCTGACAAAGAGAGACGACATCGAGTTTACAACTTTCCTGCAGCTTTGCGATGATACTAAAAAAGAAGACCTCAAGGACCCTGACATGTAAAATTTTATATTTGAAAAATTGAGGAGTAATTTGTACATAATTTCAGCTTGCCTTTTGCGTACAGTTTAAACAATAAAGAAGTAAATGAGATCAAGAATGGACCTCTCTATGGAAAAGACAATGCATCTTGCCCAGGAGATAGAAGTCATTGTACAAGATTAAAATCTGAAAATTGGACTGAAATTCCTACACCGGATTGTATGCCATGGACAGCGCTGGAAATTGAATGGCGATACGAAAATATATGGGTTGATCTGCATGTTCAATTTACGAAATACACAGATGTGCTGACAGCAAAAGTCAACCTTAGTGAGTTAATTTTATTCCTATGTTTAATAGAGTTCAATATATCTGTTTCGGATTTTTTAAATTTTGATTTTTTGTGATATATTTGATAGAGACTCCGCTGGTCAATAGTATACATACAATGTAGTAAAATAAATAAATAATTTTAGTTGGTGATATTGAATATGAAACACTGTTTCTGTTAAATGATTTCAAGAAAAAAGTGCAATTCACCGTAAATGTAGACAAAGAAGGAAATGTTAAGAGTACGAATCTTTTAAAAGACGACATTTGGAGTGACAAAAAAAGCTACAGCCTACTTAATTTCAAATGTATCAAGGCCTCCTCAATTATCAAACCTAAGGCGTGGAAAATTGATGGGAACGTTAGAAATGAAATTACAGGAAAAAAGTTGATGACATTCCATCTCCTTCCAAGATCAGCATCTCGTGCGCGTACAAATGATGAGAATGATAGTACATATCTTTCTGGAAAATTACCTGATCTTACACCTGGAAAAAAATGCAGGAGGGAAATGTCGATTCGTTTTGTGAGTTTAATCATTCTCTTTTCTTTGCAAAATTTTTCTAGAATCGAACAGATTATGAACTTCTAGAGAGATTATCAAAAGTTGTAGAAGCTAATTCATCAACTACAACAACAACAACTGCTCAACCATCAGCAAATTCTACAGCCACCAATGAGACAATCAGTCAAAAGCCAACGAATTCTACTCCACCAAATGCAACAAATCCTTCAAATAAAACAGAGACTACGGCAGCAAATAAATCATCAGAATTACCACCAAAAAATTCTAGTTCTCCACCTACTCCACCACCAAAAACGTCTTCAACAAAACCGTCAGCCGACCCAAATCCTTCAGTTAACACTACTTCAAAACCGGAACAGAGTAAAACAAAATATAGTTAATTCAATAAAAATAAATAATTTCAGACAATGAAACTTCATCACAATCGAGTATTCCAAATACAAGCACTGGAGGTAGTAATGGGACTACTACTGTTGGCACTTCTCCACCAATGAATTACTCTACTTTGACCCAAAACTTTACTTCTACTATTTCTGTGAATGAGACAAACGGAACATTTAATTCCAACTTAACAACATCCACAACATTCTCTACTTCAATGCCTACAATCATCCAATCTCTAAACACAACAACTTCTACTAAACTTCCCGGCATTACAAATGGAACAACAAAAGGAATTAAAGGGACACCAAAAGAAGTATTTCCTTCCTATTATTTCTATATTGTTGGTGGTGGTGGTGCTGTGGTTATTCTATTGTAAGTTTTGTATTCAGAAACTCATTTTAGATACTCCAAGAAGCCTCAACTTAGGGTTTTTCTTAGAAAATTTGGTTGGCCATTGGTATGAGGCAAAAAACTGCCAAACGTCACCTCTCTATCTAGTATGCCCTTAATCATGAGATACGACTTTCCTAGCCCCTCAAGGGGGTATCTAAAAGAGGTAGATACTTCCAAAGAAATCTCAATTTAAGATGGGGTTATCTTAGAAAATTTGGTTGATCAGAGGGATGAAAAGTTAGTGGGTGGAAGAACTGCATGGGATACCCTTCATTATAAGATAAAATTTTCTAACCCCAAGGGGTATCTAAAGAGATCCAACTGTATAAATAATTTTCCTTTTTAAGGCTTGTCATCATTTGTGTATGCAGTATCGTTCGAAAGAATAAGAAGAAAGCAAGTAATGAGGATGAAAGTTCTGAAGGCTCTGGAGGAACAACGGAAGAACTTTTATCAATGGAAGCAAAAAATATGTCTGGTACACAATTGGAAACTCAAGGAAGTCACGTATCTTTAAAGAAGAGTGTAGTTGATAAAAAAGAAGTTGAGCTAAGCAAAAAAGAAGAAATTAGCAAAAAAGAAGTTTCCAAAGAAGATATGAAGAAAACTCTCTCAAAAGATGTTGGCGGTGGTGGTGGTGGTGGGGCTGTTGGTGGGGCTGTTGTTCCAAATACGATCGAATCTAAAGAATTTACTGGGGAACAAACAACAGAAGAAGAAGTTGCCGTTAAACCACCAACAACACCTAAAGCAACAGATCCGCAAGTCTCTACATTTTCGGCTCCATATGAAGTAGATCGAAAGCGATTGATTGTGCCGATGAAAGATAAGGGGGATCCAACTACTGAATCTAAAAAATCTATCGAATCAATTGTCTCGGCAGAGAAGAAAGAAGAATCTAAACCTGAGTTGACTGTATCTTCTGATGAAGTTGTTGGGAAGAAAGAAGAGGGTGGTGATAATAATAATAAGAAGAAGAAAGAAGAAAGTGATGATAAAAAGGAGGAAGAAGGGGACGATAATAATAAGAAGGAAGAGGGAGGAGAGGGAGATAATAATAAAGAAGCAGATGTCTATGATTAATTTTGTTTTTCTTATTTGTATATAAAATGTTGAGTAGTATGGAGGGTATTTGTTGTTAGTTAGTCCTTAAAGTTTTTCTTATTCTTGTTTTGTTTAATTTATATATGTAAATTGTATTGTTTATAAGTGTATTTAAATTGTCCTTGAGTTTATTTTAAATGTTCGGATTGAATGTATAATGAAGATAAAATGTTTTGATTAACTTTGAACAACTTTTAAAATTATCTTCATCAATTTCTAAAATACCTAAACGTAAAAATATACGTTTAAAAAATTTATTGATAAATAAAAAACTGAAAAATTAAAATATTGAAACATCCTTCTAATTATACTGCGAATCTGTTGTTATGTATTATCTCTTTTGAGAAGTTGAATTAAATTATAAATTCTCCACTACATTTTAATTGAAATATGTAAATATTAAATTAAAATCCGATATACCCTAATAAATAATTTATGTACAAAAATGCCAATGTCACAAGCACATAAATACTAGGAGAGATTAATTGCAAACAAACATTTCTTGATTGCAATATTAAGGGTAAAATATTAATGGGAAGATAAAAACTAATTTTTTTAAAGTGTAGGGAAACAATTAATGAAATTTGCAATTTTGCGAGCAAACTTCCTTTACTTGAATCCCATATGATTTTTCATAACTTGCAAAAATGCAATTATTAATTATGATTAGTCTCAGACCCAATACAATAATGTCTATATTTTATGCCATTAATGTTAAGAGCTATAGTGTGCACCAGGGTTGCCGCGGGTACAAAAAATTTTCGGGTACGGGTTTCGGGTATCGGGTTGGAGCGTTTTCATTTCGGGTCACGGGTTTCGGGTTGGCAAAAATATCGGGTACGGGTTTCGGGTCATAAAATTTTCATTTCGGGTATCGGGTTTCGGGTTGGCAAAAATTTCGGGTACGGGTTTCGGGTTTGGCGAAAAATTCGGGTTATTTTCGGGTGTCAGGTATTTGTGATCTAAATTGTAAGGCGACAAGCTATGTTGCATAATATGATTTTGTGTGATATAGAGAGAGGCAAAGAGATTAAAGAGAGATTGGGATTTTGGGATTAAGAACGATATCTTGGTATTGACACTTGTTGGATAGGATTATGAAAGATTGTAAAGAAAGACCTCCAAGCTTTCTATATCACTTGGTATATATTCAAATCCCTTTAATTGCAAGGCAATGATATCAGATGATTAAGGCAGATATAATGATTTAGAGGATATCGGTGGATTAATCATCAGGTCCCTTGATAAAATCCCACTATATACTAATATCCTCCGCTTTATTTCCATTAATACTCCAATTTTCTCCCGTTTTCAGCGCCGCAGGCGAAAATTTTGGGAATTTTAAAGGCCAGTAGGCAATATTTCTTCTTATTTCAGCGCCGCAGGCGAAAATTTTGAAAATTTCGGAAGGCCTTAGGCAAAAAATTCACTTTTTAGTGGCCAAAGGAAAATTTTTTAAGAATTTTAGAGGGTAAAAATATGTAGAATAATTTTAAAAACAAAATTAAATCATAAAATAAAGTCATTTATGGAAAGAAAAATTTGAAAATTCCTCGTCTTCTGACAAGGCATCGAACCTACATAACGACTGGGGTGAAGCCTAACACATTAACCATTAGACCACCGACTAATATAAAATAGATTGGAAAAAAATAAACATACATATTTCTTTCTATTTTTCTAAGTTTAAAAAATCGGGTAAGGCTAAGATTTCGGGTAGAAATTTCGGGTTTTAACCAATTTCGGGTCACGGGTTTCGGGTTGGAAAAAATATCGGGTACGGGTTTCGGGTTTCGGGTTGGAAAATTTTCTTTTCGGGTATCGGGTTTCGGGTACAAAAAAAGGCCGGGTTTCGGGTTTCGGGTATCGGGTTTCGGGTTTCGGGCGGCAACCCTGGTGTGCACTGAGATTGAATATCGAAGGAGCTACAGGAACGGTTAAATTTTGGAAGGATGTTCCGCCTTAGGGTGTTGAAGCATTCTCCCCAGATGATGTAATACTAGTTGAGGGGGAATCTAAAAATAAAAAGTTGAGTTTAGATTTATTGTAAAAATAATAAAATTAAAAAAATAATTTAAGATAGATTTTTCTTTGGGGTAGAACATGCGCTAATCGGATGTACGCAAGTCCTGTCAAGAGTTAATAGTATTTATTTTTTGATTTGAGCGCAATACTAAGGAATTAACAGAATGTGGCCATTGACCGAACCAGTGACCGAATGCCCCTAAATAATGTTAAGGAAATTCCGACAACAAAGCAATCATTATAAAGCTTATTGTTAGTATGTATATTTATTTGGGACGCAATTCTAAAATAGATTTATCTGTGAAATAAAAAGCAAAAAACACTTATACATACATAATTTTAGAAATTTTTAGTTAAATAAATATTGATTTGCTTAGAAAGCATCTGTTACTTAAATGTAAAATGCAAAGAATGACCAATGGCATAAAAGGACGACGAAAAGCTATGCAGATATAGAAAAACTATCCTGCAGGGTCTATATTCTTATTTTGCTTATTGGATAACATACAGAGTATACTAGAAACATAAGCTATGTTTTTTTGAAATTTTAAGAGAAAATAAAAATTAGAGGAGGGATAATAGTAATTTTCTATTGTATGTATGTCTTTTCGTACCATGGATGGAAGAAAGAGCCAAAAATCAACGGAAAGATAAAAATCAACAAAAATCATAGTCGAGATAAAAATTCATTCGAGAGTATAATAACCGATACAGTTTAAAGTATTAACTAGATAGTTTCTAAATGGTATAGTTTTAAATGTGTGTATGTAAATGTTTAGGACATACATATTAAAATTAATTCTGTTAGTAAAACAAGATCTTAGTTAGTTGACAAGATCATTGGATCTAGAATAGTTCGCTTTCTTTACATTCTACTATATGTTAAAATTTACTAATCATTTAACTATTCGAACCAAAAAAACATGTACAATTTGATAATTTTAATTTTGTTGTGTTCAGGACAAAATTAAAATAAATTTTGAAAAACTGTCCTTGGATTTATTAATTTAAAATTAGAAAAAATAATTTTTTTCTAATTTGAAAAATTTAGATTAAATGTACATATTGTAAGGCCAAGTCCATCCTAAAATCACGTGAACAATAATGGCGCTCTGAACTTTGCGCTAAATAACGGAAGTTCCCAGAGCGATCCAAAGTATAGCACAAACGGCCATTCTCAGAGAGCAAATAGGCTCACTTATCTGATCGCATTAGCCATATTCACTCAGCCTTAAGGCGGTTCTAGGAATAAATGTACAAACAATAAAAGCTTTAAGAGAATAAGGAAAAAGGGTTCAGTCGACTAATCTTCTCTTCAATTATTGTGCAGCATTATTCCACCGGCCGGTGAAGGAAGTATTAAATAACAGCTAGCCTAGTGTCGATCCGGAGGGAAGACGTCTCCCAATCCGGAACTCCCCTGTATCCAGCGCTTGCCTATATTCTATACTCTGCGGAGTTCACACAAGGACGCTTGCGAGACTCCAATCCAACAACCCCACTTAGAAGGCACTGGGAAACGGGACCAACCGCTTTACTGGTAGCACCGGATGGTTCCCCGACCTTTGCCGAAATTGGGAAGATGAGTTGGAAATAGGCTGGGGAGACGGCAAATAGTATTTTAGCGCTCCAAATCCCGGGTCCTAAAAAAAAATACAAATTAAATAAAGTCTGAACCGAAAGAGATGACAGTATCCTCCGCGGGGGCCAAAAACTATTTAAGACTTGAATTTCTACCAATGGGTATAATGTGAAAAGGGGGAAGGAAGAATTTAATACCAGTCCGCGAACAGGAAAATTAATTTCATCAAAAAATATTTTTCTTAATTAATTTATAGGCAGACGCGCATGAACAAAAAAATGATCTTATCGTCCCAAGTAAAAAAAAACGAGTTAAAAAAAAAGTTTTAATTGAAACTTCTATTATTTTTATCAGATTTTTCATTCCTCGAAAATTTTTATTCCAAACTCCTTTCTTTTGTCGTAAAAATCCTTTTTTTGGCGCTGTCATATTTCTTTACAAATTTTCCTCTCATTTGTTAAGTTGAAAACTCTCATTAATCTAACACAAGATTAAAAAAAGATGTTCAACATTTTTTTTCACTTTCAATCTTACTTTTATAAAATTGTCTTTTCTCACATAACTGTTTAATATTAAACTGTAAATAAAAAAAAATATATTTGTATTGAGAAAAGCATTTAAAAAAAAAGGAGCACATATACATTTTTAAAAAAAATTTTCTCATAGTAGTCCTATCCTTGTTTCTAGTTTCATTCGTACTTTATTTTTCCATTTTTTAAAACTTCCCCGCGGGGTCTCGAAATTGTTTTTTCCTTTTTCTTTTTTCCACTTTACCTTTTTTATGCTATTATCTGAAATCTTTTGTGGCAAATGAATGTTTTGGTGGCAAATGAATGTCTTTAATGGCAAATGAATGTATTTGGTCAGATTCTGGGACTCAGGAAGTTGGCATTGCAAGTTTACCCTTTTAGAACTCTAAAAAAAACTGAAATTACTACCAGGGATTAATTAAAAAAAAAGGTGTTTTGAAGTTTTGTTATACACCGTAGATCCTTAATAACCACCCTGGGGAATTATTGTTTTGACCTTCTGTTGGAGGGAGTAATAATTCGAGGGAGGGCAATTAATACAGTGTATACGGTAATGCCTCACTGGGATAGCAATTTTTTCTCTCTAAGTCATGCATGACACTCATTCCTTCATTATTATTAGCCTTATTTTTTTTCAAATGATTATTTTTACTTCTCTCTTCTATCAAGCACTCTCAAAATTTTATTTTAATGATTTTATTTTAATTTTAATTTAATCATTTTTGATGATCATATATAAGGGAGGGAGAACTTTAGAAAATTTTTAATGCCCCGCGGGGTCCTTTTACTTGTCCATTGAAATCAAATTCATTTATAATCCTAACATAAAGAGATTTTACTCCTTCGTTGAAATATATTTTTTTTAAATATGTTCTCTTTCTCTCCAATTTTTAATGTCTTCTATTTG